TAGCACATTCTCCTCAGTTATTTTAAGACCTCAAGTGTTGGTCCAGCCGGGGCTCAAACCCTCGACCTCCTGCACAACAGTCCAGCGCTCTAACCAATTGAGCTAACCGGGAGGCTGTTTCTGTAGTAATGCAAATTACATTCGGAATTGACAAGGACACTGTACAGCACAGTACACCATTAAAACAAAAACAGAGGTGTAATAGTTTGTGAAGAGTCTCAACATCTGTTCCTTTTGAAACTGTTCGTGTTCATCCTAAAACATTACCTGAGTCAATGGTGTTTTTCCTTTCTTCTTCCTCTTCTGATTTCTTTTTGTTTTTTTTGTTTTCAGGCAATGTCATCATCTTCACTGCTTGATAAACTCTGCCCAGAAAATCAACAATTACATATTTTTATTCACACAAATGTGAGATAAATTCACCTCTTTGGACCTAATAATAACAACTGGATAAGATCAAGGTGGGTGTTGTTCCTCAGAGCAGGACTTTCTTACAAAACATTTTCCTTCCAGCTCAGAAAATCAAGAGAAGACACCAGCATTGTGGAAGACATGGTTTGGGTTAGGTGAAGTCTCAATGCTTCTTTATCATTCATCTTCAAGTTAATCAACAATTTCACTTTCCCTTCAGTCTGAATAAATGAAAATTAACTAGTACTTGTCAAAATTGTGAAATAAGCATTAGTATTACATACTGCAACTGCTCTGCTGACTAAATAAGCTGCAGTTTGAACAAATTTACAGGGAATGCTAATGTCCAAGATATTTCAAACTTGAGTGAAATTTAGGCGGCAGTGTATCACATAATGCTGTTTAACCCTTAAACTCCCAGATGTGATTAACATGTAACTTCTCCCAAGACTATACATACAATGTCCAACAAAAGGGTTGTGAAAAAATTTTTTATCTTGATCTAAGAACAAATTCCTATCACAAATGTACAGGGAAATGTGAAGCAACAAGAAGGGAGAATTAGCAAACAGATCTTAGAAGGTAAAGGATGGATACAAAATTGCTTCATTTTACAACCCTGTTTAGGATGAAAAAAAAGGCAAAAGATTTTAACTTATCAGCCTCACTCAGCTACCCTGACATACTCCAACAGACCATTGAAAATTATACCAACAAAGTTAGTTAACATACTGTACCACACCATTTCTCACACTCCAGTCCAGAAAGATACCTTGGGTTATATAAATGTAGTGGAATGAAACTCTTGGTTTAAACATGTTGTAAAATTATCTACCATGTGCAAAATTAAAGATTCACGACAAAGGAAATTTTACCGTGTATGGCAATCAATGCCAATTTTGGCGAAATAAGGTGTCCCCCCATCCCCAGGAGAAGATAGATGGGAATGTGAATTGCCCACGAATATATAGACACACGTACATGATGATCGATTCAGTCAGACAGGGGCTGTGATATGGGCAGATCTTTTCTCCGTCACCTCTGAAGTCGAATTCCCTGATAACACAAATAACTTTCTCTTTCAAATGCTACATAATCCATTACTTACCTTGCTTTTCGTTCGGCTCTTTCCTACATCATGTTTCGTTAATGACTTCACAGTAGAATCTTTGCCGCGCTTATTTTCTACTTTCGAAGCGCCTTGTTTCGCTGCTTTTCCAGCAAGGCTAAAGAACGATCGAGTATCCTGTAAAAAATATGTAATTATAATTGAAACACCGGTTAAAAGACTGCCGCTGAGAGCCAAAAGGACTCACAAACCATTTTAGTATAGTGACATGTTCACATTACTCTCCTACATTTCGCGCCATCTTTGAAAATCTCCTGTACTTTAGTCAGCGGTCACTAACCTAGCTAGCCTCCAGACTCCTGCTATTTCTCTTCCGCTAATTTTCCGAGAAAAACAATAGGTCATAAGATAAACATAATTTAATTCTAATTCACGGAACCAAATGAAAGGAGCTGCAAGGCGAGGGAGGTTGAACCACGTGCAGTTGCCCAACAGGTTGCTTTGAAAATGGCAAATAGATCCGCGGAGAACACTTCTCAGGGGTACGTACTCTGTTGTGGATGTCGATATTTCCATGAATGAATGCGCCCTAGATTCGCGCACGCTCCTTCAGTGATTTGGTTGTTTCGTTTTGCTATCGTCTCCTCGAGGTATATTGTTTATTTATCGAAAAATACTCAAAATTCGCAGAAACTTGCAAAAGGTTATTTGAAGTTTTATACGCTGTCATTCAAAAACAATTTCATTTAATATAAAATGACTCTATATAGAAAAAAAAAAAAAAAAAAAACTACGCATAAAAGTTTTACCGATTGGACTTGAATGGAACAAACGTGGTCGTGTTACGATTGGTGCGTATTTTCCCAAAGTTAAAATTACACTGGTTTCTAAATTGTATCTGCTTGAGTGGTAGCAGATGATGGAGTTTATGCGCAGAATTGGATACAACTGAGTCAAAGAATTAACGTTTGTAACACTGTCCTTGCGCCTGTCTTTCAAAGATCTGATGTCATACAATGCATTCAGTCTCAATTGTAAAACTAGAATCGACCATATCTCCGGAATTTTTTAGCGCTTACTGTAATTTGCCAAACGAAACGAAACGAATTGAAAATATGAACATCTCCGTGGTGTTCTTGGCTGAATCTTCACTACGTTCGCGAAGAGATCAATCTTCTACTGTATTTATAGGAAGGACTGCGCCATTTGGCCATAAAATGCAAATCTATAATTCAAATCAAAATTCCGTGAGGCTGGAGCTGTACAATTTACAAGTTGTCCAGTATCGATGTTCGTAGTCGATGAATAATTCGATTGCGTGACATGACACCTTCCCTGAATAATATCGCGTGACTAAAGTTGGTTTGCAGCATGTTTCTGATTGAAAAATTAAAAAAAACAAAGTTTTCGTTGAGGTTTCAGTAATAGTAACGTTTGTTCTGTTATCATTTGTATGATTTGTGGACTGAACTGACCGATTCATCCTTAAGGGGGGCATTGAGATGTGCTAAAGAATTTCGGTTTTTCAGATTGAATGTTCACTGCGGTTTGCAAATTTTCCGGTTTTCGTCAAAAATACCTGTCTAATGGGCTACGGATTTAGTTTCTGATGAAGTTTTCGGATTGTCCTATTTGGATTCCGTTTTCTCTCCGATCCAAGCGGTCATCATGCGCCCCACTGATCTCGAATAGCCGCGAAACCTCTGTATGCTCCACTTGTCAACACCGTATCGGATCGATTAGGGTTTTGCGATCTGGGATGTGAACGTTTATCGATTTTGACTGTTTAGCATGCAGTTTTCAGTTCTGGTCGAATTTTTTTTGCGGTTTTGCGGTTGTGGATGATTTTTTTCGAAGGCTTTGAGGTTTCTAATAGACCCTCTCATACTTCCATACAGTGGAGTTGCACACGGTTCTTGCTTTGCAAATTGAAAATCTCTCTTTCTAAAAGTACAGATCTTCCCTTTTGTTCTGTTCCGTGTCTTAAATTACAGTAGGCCTTGTTTAGTTATTTCCTCTGAAATGGTATGAGGAATTCTTTTAATTTTTTATTTTTAATTTTCTTTTTAATTTTTCTGGAAATGAAGTGCTGTTGTCTTTCTCATTTCACACTTGAGTTTGGGACTGAAAATGAGGGGAATGCAGGCTGAAAGCTGGGGTGTCTGTGCCAGACAGCTTGATCCTGCCTTTGTCTGCATTATCATGTATTATCTTTTTAATTTTCCATTCCAGCATGAATTTTTAATGTTCTGTAACACCTTTTTTTTCTTCTTGAATACTAATAATATAACACATTAATTTTATTTTAATCCAAAGATGTCTTTGTAATTCTGTTTTTTGAGACATGTTGATGGATTTTCAATCTCAAAAATTATCAATTTAGGTGCCCCATAGTTATCAAGGAGAGTCTGTTTGATCTTGGCTGTCTTCCTCCAGCTGTAAGTGAAATACTGAAGTAACTTTCATGAAATAGTGATAACAAAATTGTTTACGTGTTACAATGATTTGATTTAGTGTCCTCCTTCCAATAAGCACCCCCTCTGGAATAGGGGCCCATCTCTCCCCTGTTTTAAGTCAGAAAGGTTGAAAGGTGATACTGTTTTGCTAACACTTCACCTGTAATTTCATGCTTGCATGATTGATAATAATTATTACATGTATTATTATTATTTTTAAGCTTGTCATTATTTTTATACTGGCCTATGTCAAGCAAAGGGTCAAATGTGGACTTCAAAACTGCAATGGTTATCCTGGTTTGCTGATGTGAGTACAGAATTGATTAATAGAGCAAAAAGTTCAAGGCTTATACTGAAGGTCAGCAACATATAGTCTGATCATTGCGTACTTTTAAGTAGTTGTACCCAAGTCTAAGTGACACCCAGCTAGATGTACTTTTTTTAAAAAAAGTTGCTACTTGTAATACAAGGCACGGGGTGGGCTGCTGGTCTGGGTGGCATTTTCATGACTCTCTTAGCTATAATGGAGTTACATTTTCAGTAGAGTTACAAGAGTGGGGACATTTTCATGATTTGGAAAATTTTCATACATCAAAGTAAGGATTTACAAACAGGAAGTTTCAAATTAGATTGAAATGTACCAGAATGTCAATGCACTGAAGATGAGAAGTAAAGTGTTCTAAATTCACGTAGACAAATGTGTTGCTTCATTTTAGGATCATGACCTACTTAAAAGACGACTCACTTGGCAAATAGGGTGTATAATTGGTCACAGGGTAGACTATAATGGGGCAGGTTTTCTGAGAGGCCGCAGCAGTACATACACAGCAAAAATTGACCCAAAAACTCTCCCACCCCTGATCTATCAGAAAATTGTGCCATTTCAGTCAGAATATAAACACAGTGCAATAATATGAGGCATTCTGTTATTGAATGGGTTTAATAGGAGTGTACTTTTAAGTGAGCTATTAATTGGTGCCACTGTTTAACTAATGTTCATGTGGTTTCCTTTCAGACCATTTGATTTTTTAAGTGGTTTTGGCAACAGATTCACCATTGCTGTTATGTTTGGAGCCACTTCCAGCACATGCCTGAATATGTTTTTACAACCAAGAAATGGAATTTTTCAGATGCCTGACCCAGCTGGATGGGTGCAGGGTGAGTGGTCATACCATAGCAACCTGATTTTGAATAAATTGAGTGTTTGTTTGTTTTGTTTTGCTTTTTTTCTCTCACTGTTAAAATCATTTTAAAGACTATAGTAAGTATAGGTTAACGCAGTTGCCATGGGCCAGTATTAGTTTATGAACAAATTTTAATAATTAAGCTTACATAACGTAGCCTCATAACTATACAAAATAGTAGTAGTAACCCATCAAGCCAGAAAAATTTGGATGTATAACCATATGACCATACAAGGTGCTAATTTTAACATGCGTGGTCAACCGTACTGCAGGCATGCCAATGCCACAGCTTTGTTCAGTAGTCCAGTGGTCAGAGCACTGGGCTCCAAGTCAGACAACCCAGGTTCTAGTCCTGGCCGGGGCAAGGCGTTGTGCCCTTGAGACATGCAGGAAAAAAAAAAATGTGAGCTCTGCTTTTAGGCTTGGCTAAATCTATATATTATTGGTTATATGGAATTCAACATACAGTTTAAACGACTAGGAGCAAATAAATGTATGGTCAGTAGCATTTTGAGGCATTTGGTTTGTGTCTCAGCCAGTATTTGTTGTGTTCCGCAGAGTTTGCAACAGTACTGCTGTGGATGTTAGGACCTTGGGACCATCCTCATCCAGCAGTATACCTTATCAGTGCATGCATTGTTCCACCATGTGCCCGTGTTGTGTTTGCTGTTCTATAGCATGGGATTATTGTCCTTGAGGATGGTGTTTCTTGGTGTTTCCTCCCCTCAAACCTAACTGCTGGGTTTCTTTTGGCACTTGGGTAGGCCTGCAGTTGGGTTTTCTAGCTCCTTGAAGTGTGACTGTAGTTGCAGCTCCTGGGCCTCCAGTAGCCTCCATTTGTGATTTTGTGTGAACTTGATATTAAGTTATTTATTTGGAATATTTAGACAGGCTGGCTCAGTTTGGCTTTTAAAAGCAGGTTTAAAAGTGGGCCTCTATAAATGATAACAATGATCACACTGGGAGCCACATTCGTTATTCTTTGTTGAAGTCTGTGAGTTGTTTTTCTAATTAACTCTCAAGATCTGATTATTAATTAATTCTCCCACTAGCTGCCATACATTTGCATATTCATCAGTTATGAGAACTTTTTTATTAGATCAAGAAAACATTCTCTACCTGATTAGTTTGAGTATTCTCATTGCCTGTTTGCTGGATAATCTAAGGGTATTATAGGGAGAAGTTACCTTCTAATCATTTCTGGGAGTTAAAGGGTTAATGTCCCCTGCTTATAACCAGCACAGAGAAGATGAAGGAGAGTATGGGGCCTATGGTTTATCATCCTTAACCAAGAAGACTTATAGAACATCTAACCATTTGCAGATGTTGTATCAAAGGTAGCACATCCTCCTCAGTTATTTTAAGACCCTGAGTGTTGTTGTGGTCTGGGACTTGAACCCTCAACTACCAACACAGTCATACCACCTTCATGATGTAAAAAGAAATGACAAGGGTACATCCAAACCACTTGCTAGATACTTTAATCTCTCTAATCATTCTGGGCAGCATATGGCACTTTGCAGCCTTTCCCTACATCTAGGCAGTTCGGAGGGCCGCAAAACTCCAGAACAAAAATTATCTTTCAAATAAGCACTCTAAAGCCCCGCAGTATCAACGAACGATTTTCAATTAACTAATTTATTCTTGTTTTCTTGTCACCATATTCCCACCAATAGCATAGCTCCATTTTCTGCATATAAATATATACACACACAACTCACAATTCCTCCAGTTGCTCTGATGAAAGGCTATTGCACTTGAAATGTCAGCTTTTAAACTCTATACAGTGGCCAATTTACATTATCAACTCAGTCATAAATACTAAATTACCCTGTTATACTCTCCCACTGAGCAGCACCACAGTTTCTTTAGAAACTTACCCCTTTACCTGAACAGCAGTCCAGCACTCAACATGAGCAAGCAGAAAAATATTTCCTCTGTTTTAATTAGTTTTTCAGAATATTGTCACTGTTCTTGTGTACGGGATCCTGTTCTACCCATTTTTGCCTGTCTGACAACTGACAATAGACTGGTTGGGTCCTTGCTGGGTTTTTTTTTATGTTACAATCAGGTGAGCTAGCTATTACTTTTTGTTTATGAATACCAATTTAATCAGACTGTGAGTTTGATTTTTAATATGCAAATACAGTTCTCAGAACTCTACAGTTGTCAATACTTAATTCAAATATTACTCTAATGTGGAATTTTACTCTTGGCTTTGAAATAAGTGATGTTTTTGTTAATTTTGGAGCATGTTTTGTACACATGTACTAGTAAATAGGGAACACAGTACAGCATGGCTCACAAGTGAAACAATAGACTAATTTGGTTCTCTCAGCTTAATTAACCCTATCAGCCCAAAGGGTAGTCAACATGTAAGTTCTCCTTCCAGTAATATTGCTGACTCATTCATTAAGAACATGAGAATAAAAAAAAAAAAGATTCCCAACTCAAGATGCTCTGATTACAACATGAATTCTTCTTATCAGTACCAGAGGAAATTTATAGTGAAGAGTCTAGAGAATATGTATATTGATGTTAACCCTTTAACTCCCGTGAGTGACCAAGACAGAATTTCTCCTCACAACATCAATACAATATCAAGCAGACAACTGATGAACATAACTGCACTTATGCGGAATCTGCAGCATGAATTAACAACTCCACGCCTTTACAAACACGATCTTTAATACGACTGACGTTGGTTGAAACTAAAGAAAATAACAAACTAACTGACAAGGAAAGCAAACCAGCGTATTCTAATTAATTTCTTAGATTCTTCTTCAAACTGGGAATAGAGTTTCAGTGTATGAAGTACTTGAAGGTAAGGATATGAAGGAATCAAGTGAAATTGTACGTTTTTAATACTCGGCTTTTTTTGTTTTTGTTTTGATATTTCTTAAAGTGATATTTAACAAATCAAACACAATTCTCCTTGGTCTGCAGTCTTATTGGTCATAGAAATGATGCCAACAATATTCAAAACTAAAGTGAATCCACAAGTGGTGGTCAAGTGGTTTCACCACAAGTAGTATTTCTTCTAGAGTATAAAGGGGGTGGAGGGGGAGTTTGCATAGAGTATAAACAAGGGACTGTAGAAAATTGATTGCCAATAGCAGCCAATGAGTGTATATGTGTGTGTGTGTGGGGGGTGTGATGGGATGGGGGAGGGGGGTCATAAGGATATTAAAGAGTCTCATGGGGTGATCAATTCAATTTATTATATTAAAGAACCAAAATCCTCCTAACCCACCCCCCCCCCCTCCAGGTGATGAATAATGACCACCTCCCATTTAGCTATTTATTCATATATATTCTTTTATTCTATTTTATTTATTTATTTATTTATTCATTTTTAATTACTTTTTTTTTTTCACTAAGGGAGAGTACCAGAAGGAATTATTTTACCTGACATATTTGGGGTTAGTTCCAATCACCCTTTGCCTTGCATTCATTTGGATGAGGTTCGGTATCCTGCTGTATCGTGAAGTGAGAAAGAAGTGGTTCCCATCTGAGAGAAGGGTAAGTCACTGGTGAGGAACACGGCACACAGCAGTTTAACATCAGGCATGCGCGAGGTGATCAATTCTGGCTAGCCGTGCGCCAATTTCCGCCTTAAAGGATAACATAAGAAAACAACCGCTCTTTTCGCAAAATAGGCGAAATAAAATTGTAACGCTCCTAGATGTCTTTAAAAGGAAGCAAGGTACCTAACGATAATGTATATCGTTGAGTTGGATCGATATATCGCCAAGGCAAAACTTTTTGAATGGTTCAATACTATTTCGCAATTGTCTTAACAACAGCTTCTACCTCTCAGAGCCATATGACAAGTCCAAGTAAAAAACAACCAAACTTCCTGAAACGCGGGAAAACGCGGGTGACAAAGTTCTGATTGGTTTTTAGCTTTGAATCTGATTGGTTAAGAGAGGGGTGCGAGTTTTTCTGGACCAATCACAGAGCGAAGTAAAGCATAAACGAAGCGATAATTGTTACTTTCGACATTTAAAAAACAAGCGTTTGTATGGCACGATATTTCGTCGATGAGTCGCGATTTTCGCGGTAATCGTCTCACAGTTTTGTACGCTGGCTATGAAAAGCTGTCCAAGGATGGAGACTGGGGAGGAGTTACCGCTTGCTCCCCCTACCCTCAGATAGGGGTAACTGTTGTTAGTGTTTGTTTGGAAGCTTTTACTGCTGACAAAATAACATTAACTTTTCTTCTTTTCTTTTCCAGGGTGGCGAGGAAATCCGCGATACACGTTTGGCCAGAGAAACGGAGATCGCTCACATGAGGGAACTCCTGTATCCAGGATCAATTTCGTAAGCGGTTAAAATTGATAATCTATCAGGGTTGGATAACAAACTCTGACAATATCCTACATATGAATTTTATTCAGATAAACTGTTGTAAAATGGGTTTTTCCCACAGTAAGATTATTCGCATGAGATCTCTATCGCCTGACAGCTTATGAGGGAAAAGCCTGAATCGAAAATCAAGCACAGACTTCTCAGGAAAATAACAGTATTCTCTCAGCAGAAATCAACCGGGCATTAAAAACTTAACCGCAAGACGTGGCCCTTTATTTTATAATCTGTACATAGGCTATTCACGTTACGCACTGTATATCACTAATTAGTATTGAATATCAATCTCGGATTGAGCTTTTTAAAATTGAAACTATGAAATGAGAGTTGACCAAATATGTCGCTGTTGACGAGTTGACTAATAGTGTTGGCGAGCTGACATGTCGGAGAAGTGACCGGGTACAGAATGCATCTATCATCGTTGTGATAGAGAGTTAGTTTTTTTAAGGGATTAGCCTGATACCATACGGTTGTAAACAAAGAGGAAAAAACACCAGCCTGTCTTGTTGCTAAGTTTTCAACTAGTTGTTGGTTTATTCTAAACCAATAAGATTTCTCGCCTGTGATTTTCTCTGCGTTGATAGATTCAGACATCGCACTCATAACTGCTACGCGTTGTGTAATAACTAAGATGGTGACCGGTCAAGTCGCCCAAAAGTCATCTCGCCCGGAGTCGTGTCACCCGGAACCAGAGTCATGTTGCCTGAAATTCATAGTCATGTCGCCCGAAATTTTATCGAGTGTTTAATCTTGAAGAAAAGTAACAATGGCAAGGAATAAACTCGTCAAATGCTGACTCGTAAAATGTTTTCGTCCGCTAACCTGTGCAAATATGAAGTTAAATAAAGGCTCAAATATCGCTGTTCTTTTCAGCGTTAATCGTTGATATGAACTAAACTGCTCATTCAACAGTGCAGATTGAAGAAAAGTAACAATCGCCTAAAGTCATGTCGCCCGGAACAAGAGTCATGTTGCCCGAAATTCATAGTCATGTCGCCCGAAATCCTGAGTCATGTCGCCCTAAATTTTATCCAGTGTTTAATCTTGAAGAAGAGTAACAATGGTAAGGAATAAACTCATAAAATGTTTTCGTCCGCTAACCTATGGGAATATGAAGTAAAACAAAGACTCAAATATCGCTGTTCATTTCAGCGTTGTTCGTTGCTACGAACTAAACTGCTCATTCTACGGTACAAATTCTATAAGCGGAACTTTCAGTTATCAGAATTTTCCACACATATCAGAAAAATACATCATTTCTCTTAGTTTTATTTATCGTATAAAAACAACCTGGAACTTTTTTACAGCGGTTTTTTTGTTTATTGCTAACCACACGAACAAAGCTTGTTAGCATCATTTCCCTTAGGATCAGACGCGGCATAAATTATCGCGACTTGTTCAGTTGTTCCTTGTTTCCTCGGCCGGTCGCATGTAAATTTTGTTCCGGCTAACTATATATAAAGAGGTTAAATTAATAACAGCCACCTTATTCCGAGATAATCAGCAAGCTGAAACACGAGATCGTTACCCGTAGGCAAAAAATTATATAGTGAGCCTTCATCCTTGTATCGAGTGCGGAAATGAAGTTCGACCACGCCAGCAAGCCCTTCAGTGCGACATTGCGGCTTTTGGCAGCATCGTATCTGCGGGACTGGTATCAACCAAGCCACCTACCGTTTGGCAACAATCAGAGGAAGAATAGATTGGTTGTGCGTTGCATGTTCTCTTGCGGCATCGAACCCAAGTGACCAGGTCCCCGCTGCTGAGAGCACAAGAACCGACTTCGCCCAAGGTACGGAAATTTTAAGACCACTGTTTGTCCCTGAAATAATTTTATTCTTAACCAAGAACTTAACCTTTCTAGCCCAAGTTTTATCTTGAACGTTTTTATCCTTAAATGAGTTTACGATAAAAATGCGGTTTTATTTTTGCTTTGCAGATCTTTCTCCAGAGTATCCGCCTTTCTACCTACTGATTCAGCTGCTCCACCGAGAGTCCTCTGCGTGCACCGTCCAAGTTCGACTCGTCAACGCCAGAAAACTTTAGCTCGCGTTTAGGAAAATAATGATATAATTATTATTATTATTATTATTATTATTATTATTCTAGTTTAAAAGGAATAGTTTATTTTATCACGATAAAAAAAATCAGATATTTAATGTTTTTTTTTTTTTTTTAGTTTTTTTTTTTTTATGACGAACTTACCTTAAGTTGGCATTTGAATTTGTTTTCAAGGGGTGGGTGTCACTTGGTCAACCCACACGTCCTCGCGTGTAATTAGGTTTAAATGCAAGCAATAAATATGTTTGTATTAATGCGTGTCTGAATTTACCGCAACATCACAATCTGCTTTGTTCTAAGTTATACTACCAATAGACCCCAATTTTTATTGGTTTACCAGCGTGAAAACCCACTTGGGATGTTAAAAGAACGCAGGAGAAATTTGTTAATAAGGAGCCTGGGGCGAGTGATTTACAAACTTTTGTCGTGTTCTCCCAACAACTCAAGTAGGTTACTATGCCGGTACACCGATAGAAAGTTCGGTCTGTTGCTCAAATAAAAATCTTGCACTCTTATTGTTAATTAGTGAAGGATTAGCAAAGCCAATCAGACTGCAGAACTTTTGACTAAACGCTTTTAGATTTATACTTGAATCTTTCAATTCGCTCATTATTCCTTATGATTGGTCTGGAAAGCGCTCCAATCAGTCTTGATTCCTTTGGCCTACGTGTAAGGTTGTCATGTTCGGTTGAAAAGAACGTGTACGTAAAGAAAAGAGCTGCCATTGATCACCAACGATAACATAAACGTGGGATTGATGCCTACATGAGTTATGAATATATAAAGTGACATATTTCTTTCGTTTTTGCCGAAGCTTATTCAGATGATAATGATTTTCTAATTACTCGGGATCGGTGGTATAATTTCTTTTTGTGTTGCTTCAAACAGGGGAAATATGGTTGGATTAAACTGGTTTTCAACGCTGCTTCGTTGTTTCTACAAACCAAGGAAAGGTAAAAATGTTTTGTTCGCGCCATGTCTGAGCCACGAACAGGAACCATTTGAATAAGGAGATGATTTAAATGACACCCAGTCGTTTGTTGTTAAAATTTGTTTTTTAACTTCATCTGAATTTCATTTTTAGATTTCAAATTTTCGACGCAATTCATTTCAACAACTTTGGTTAGCGCTTTAATGATCCTTCAGGTGAGTTGGATAATTTGTATCGATTTAACTATTGTATATTTGCTTTCGCTTTTGGTAATACTGTGATGGCAGAATGATTGATTGACTGACTGACTGTGCGACTTGCTTACGGAGTGAATTACACTATCTCCATGGTCATCGTCACCGTGGTCATAGTTTACCACGCTCATTACTGTTTTTGTGTTGGATTTCTTTTCTCATACATATCTACGTACATAAATGCATTTTATTTCTTACCGTCGAGACAGATTATAAGTTTCCAGCCCACAGGTAGCTCGAGTGCTATTCTCTCCAATTCTGGGAAAAGAGTGCCAGCGGTCGAGTTGAAAATCAAGAGCTTTGTTTATAAAATTTCTTAGGGGCAGAAGATCGGGTGTGATAAGAACGGATCTCATAAATATCGTGGAAGAGTTTTTGAATGCTACAAAGTGCAAATCTATGTCTGAAGTCAAACATCAAATTAGCTGTAGGTTCACAGCAGGAGAATTTTAATGGTAAAACAACAGCATTAGTATATAGAGGAATTACATGCCGGTACTTTCTTCTAAAGTGTTACGCTCTACTCAGGTTTTCATGGCAGTTCTTTCCCTAATGGACGTGATGAGAAGGGTATATATTGAAAAATACAAAACTCATGGGGACACCAGCTCGGCTAATTTTGTAGACGTCCTCTTTGGTAAGTTTTTGTGTCTGTAATCAAGAAAATAGCTTGTTCCAGGTGTTCAGTTAGAAAACCATGTGTGGAAGTAAAATTCCAAGCATGATGCTATCGACGGAGCGAATGACAGAACGTTTGGGTCGAGTCGAAAAAAACTGAACAAGGGATTGGTAGTAGGGAACACGACCTGGCTCAAACCTCCTGGCTGATTGCTACTCGACCCAAATCTCCCTCGAGTTTTCTACCCAAATCTCCTGTGGCGTTGCAGTTGTGCCTTCCGTTGTAGCTATGTCCTCACACCTAATAACCAACAGAGCGTGGTTTTTTTTTTCCAATCAAATTGCGTTGTGATCGTGTTTTCTGCGAGTCACTTCCCAACTAGGGGAGAGAAGCGATGCAAAAGTGTGACAAGATCGTAAAGATTTCCTTGCTCGAAGTTTGACAATTTCAAAAGGTGTAAATTCTTTAAAATTGATCCTTAAAGTGGAATAAATCCTATGGACTTACCGTAGCCATCTTTACACCGATTTTCCATTTGATCAGTGGATTCTAGAATAACGGGGTAAATTCTGGGAAATTCATCCTTTAAGAGGACTACATCCTACTGACTTGCCTACATCACGATCTTTACCCCGATTTTCGATTTGATCCTTGTGTGAATTTGTCATAAACGGGGTAAATTATGACAAATCCACCCACAAGTGCGATACACCCTTCAATGATTTAGAAACTGTACTAAAAAAAAGATGTGTTTAGGTGATGGGATCGGGAAAACGAGCATGGCTCAGGGGATAGTGTATATTCGTGAACGGCTACCATACTGGCTTTCATGTGATGTACGTGCTCACAAGTTTCAGAGGAATTTGGTTTTCAAAGATCATTGTCTTTTAGATCTCTGAGCTTGAAGCGCGCTGCGGAATAACTACAAAGCGCTCTCGATCTGTGACAGTATAAAATATGCAGCTAGCTGTAACAGCTGAAATCAGCGGAACCGCAATAAAATCACAATATACTAATTCAACTTTTTTTAATAGAGGGCTCAGTGCGATACAGCAAAAACCCACAGTATTCCAAATTAATAACTGAAGGTCAAACTTCTGTGTTTGAAGGAAGACTTCGTGACGCAGACAAATAATCCCAACTTTGACCTCTCAGTCGATCTCACCTCCGACAGATCAGGGTGAAGCGTCAAAAAAGATATAATTTTGCGTCGACGAATCATAATCTATGATCTTCAACGGTTAAAAAAAAAATAAATTAACTATGATATGACACCACATTGAGCTTTTGTCTTAGCTTGTGGGTAAAATGTTGTCATCACAGGAGTCGCAAGTCGAGCAATGAAGACTGTAAATAAAGCAAGACTGCAAATTAAGCGTGAGCAATAACGTATCCCTTGGTCGAAAATCGCTTTGTTATTTACGGATGTTGTTTGTGGATGACAAGTTTTCCTGAAATCAGCAGGAGGTTGTTCATCCGTTGTTACTGGAAAACACTGGTCAAATTTTCCGCTTATCCCGACCCATCCCGACCCCCTTGAATGTGTACTTTTGCTTAAAGATAAAACTACAACGGAGTCTCTTAACCAGTCCCAAGCTGCGTGTTGCTCGATAGATCACAAAATATGATTGGCCACTGTATCACATTACGTCAGAGGACATATCTACAATAAGGGGGCATAACTATTACAAACGACAGATGAGTAAATAGACTTGGTTGGATGGTAAATTTTTATGGTGATTTTTTTTTTCTTTTTTTCAATTTTCTTTGCAGGCGGGATAGAAGCAGGACTTGTCTTGTCTGCGGTCATTTCTCTTTTGATGTTGCTTCACTTCATGAAATGCCATCGGTGAGTTTTCACCTTAATTTGGAAACGCTGAAGCTTTTCCTGAGTCAGTCATCGTGTTCTCAATTTTTTATTGAGGAAGACTTTTCGCTTTTACAGCTTCCTCCACATGTAGGTCGATACAAATTAAGTGTCAGGGGAAAGGTGATGAAATTTTATATATATATATTTTTTTTTTTTTTTTCAATTTAATATCCTTACACGCATTTCTGCTTGATGGTCCTTTTCGTTTTTTCTTCGTTATTGTTTTTTATTATTTTTTTACTCTTTTTTATACTGTTCAAAAAATAAAGTATTCCGTGGCAATTATGCTCCCTTGCAAAATAGAGTTGTTGTTGTAAACGATTTCGAATCCAAGGCGCTCACGTCCAACGTTTAAATCTTTTTTTTCAGAGAACACGTGCTTCAGTTGTATCAAGGGCAAGCAATATATTCAAAGGACCTGCTCTTGACACCTGCAGCTTCAGTGGTACGTACTGTGGTTAAGTGACGGATGATAGGAAGTTTAAGAAACGACGACAGCGGTTGGTTAAAAAATGAACTTATATTTGACCTACGAATCTCGCGATACTCTAAAGTCATGTACTTTCTTCCTCGCTTTCAAAATATCTCAAAACTGAATATGGAACACAGCGTTAAATTAGAAATGGAAGTTTTAAAAGAAATAGCTGTTGCCGTTCACGCTCAACAGACAACGCAAAGTTGGGTCATTTCACGTTGTTGTTTTGCAGATTTACACAAAGAAATTTACAAAGATTTTTTTTACCCTCGTGCACAGCCGTTGTTCTGCTTATCTAACGTTTTGTTTCGTTTCGTTCCCGTTCCCGCTTTGATTTTCTTAAACTGCTTGACTAGTCGTTGTAGTCAGGATGGATCCTGGAACAACAAATCCATTTTCTAGTCTTCTTGTTGCTTTTCAAATAAACATCAAACCCTGTTCCTTACATTTTGCTGTTTCTCGAAGAAGAAAAAAAGAAAAAAGAAGAAAATGAGCCCTGTCCCTAACAAGCGCCCTGTTTCGATTAAGCACCCTTCCTTGAAGTATCAAACGTAGGTGAGCGCCCGGGCGCTAAATCGAATCATTGCTGTATGACAATAATGATGATAATAGCACTAATATTTAAGATACTACTACTAATAATAATGACAATGATAATAATGATGATGATGATGATGATGACGACAATAGTTGTGTTGGGGAAAATGATAACCATAAAGATGATAAGGATAACACAAGAAAATGACAGAAATATAATGATGATGAACGGAAGATTTTCAAGAACTCTAGACCCGGAAATATGTGTTACTCCTTGGTTGGACCGTAAGACTTCTGTTATAAAATTTGGGAGTGAAGATTTTGTTGTTGCCTTTTTTTTTCTTTTTATCCCTGCTAGGGAAAGAGTCTCCGATATTCTGGATATCAGATAGCGTACACATTGCTTGGTATAAGAAAATGAATTTGATGTCACACAGTATCTTAAATGCTAATCTTCTGTTTGTCCCTTTCTTTGTTTGAATGATCGACATCAGTATCTGAGCAATTGCCACCTACCCCTCCCCTAAGCCAACATCAGTCAACTGATAATAAGTTAGGGTTAATGTTGGGTTAGTGGAGGGGTAGGAGCGCAATTTCTTAGATACTGACACTGGCCTTGTTTGAACATGATACAAATGTACTAAAGAAATACGCAATAATAGGGATTTGAAATTCTGAGGATAAAGTTTGCGTGGTCCTTTAAGCGGGCTATTTAACGTTTTTTTTCCTCGGTGACTTTCATTCTCTAGCAGAGTTGTCGCGTTTGAATGAATGTTTACCGTTGATTCATGAAACGACACCTTTATGTTGTCGCCAAAACTTAAATTTGAAGAGATTCAGATTGTTTATGATTAAACCATAGTTGAGAAGCAACGCGGTCTTTAAAGGGAAGTAATAGTATTTCATGAACCTGCAAATTTTAATTTATTGTTTATACTAGCAGGTGGGCTCGTAATTTGGCAATGCTCTTGGTACAAATGTGATCTCACCATGAAGCTCTTTGATGTTTTATCTTCGTTTCTTTTGTAGGTTTTGGCACTCTGACAATTTTTCTGTCAACTGTGGTTGCTGCTCTGGCAATCGTTTTCAAATCGAAAGAACTGCTCGCCCCAGAATTATGGAAACATTTGAAAGAAACTGGAATTGCTTTTTTGTAAGTTTTACCGATGTATATGTTGTATCAATTTGAATCTTAAGAATGAGAGTCATATGATTGTATCACATTGTTGTCTTCTGGTTATTGTGATCGTTGTGGGCGTACTGCGTAAAAGGCGGGAAAATACGAATGATCAAATCACGATTTGTTCAAGTTTTGAATCTGATTGGTTGAGAAGGTGGCGCGAGCTTTCTGGACCAATCACACGGGGAAGTTAAACAAAATCACAGCAATCCTCGATTACCTTCGACACTCAATTGAAAAATACTCTACTACATGAAGAATGCAACTCTAAAGATTGTTTAAGCATCAAAACAAGATACAGTAACATATTTGCAGGATCAGGATTTCGTGGCTAAGCTGGTTTTATAATTATAATCATAATTTCATAATTATAGTGAGACTTGAAGGCTTTTCGAAAGACGTAATCTAGTACTCATGGGATGTTGTTTTTACAGACCCACTTTGGCCTTGGCTATTTTTCTGATGTTGTTCCAGTTGTTTCTGACACATTTCGTCTTCCGGTACTCGAATTATCCAAACATCACTGTCACAATTGATAATAGGTATTGTTGTATATCATTCTGAGCTGAATCTCTTGTTGTGTGATACGCACGCCCTGAACAACTGATCTACTTATTACAAACACGTGCAGGCATCTATGACTAGTACTAGGCCTGACAGAGTGCAGTCCGATTCGGTCCGTAATTCATCAAGTGATTGACAAAATTATAACAGTACTCATATATCGCGTATAGTCACATAAGCATGCTACGTTAAATGGCCAGTTACAAGCATAACGTGAACTGTACACTGTCCCTTTAGTGCACTAATCAAAACTATAGCAAAATTCGCGAACGTGATTAATTATCACCAGCCCGATTTGAGAACTAATAGGACGGTGTACGCATCATGTGTGTAATTGGACAGTGTAAGAGGATAGTTAAAGAGACAGTTAACACGTCATGCCAGGGTAAGTGGACAGAACGCGTCGTGTGCTGTTGTCTCGCATTTTGCCGAGTTAACGGTTGCTTTTTTTTCTTTTTCTCTTTTTAATGAAAACGTACAACCACAACCGATCTCTAGTTTCTTTCTCAAATTTTGTTACGACTACTGACCGAATTGGACTCCGCTCGGTCCTATTTGGCTGCTGAAGACCGATGGCGTAGCAAATTTTATCATTGTGTTGATTGGATATGTCATATGCTACTGTATGTTTTGTGGTCAACTCACGCCTTGCCGAGAAAACATTCAATACAAAGCGGCGGTAGATTAATTGAACGTCGACACAACAACTCATCGACAGAAACGTCTCTGATGAGAAGATTTTTGCCATATATCTTTGTTATCATTGTATGTGTGTTTATTGTTGTTGTTGATGTTGTTGTAGTGGTAGTGGGTGTTGTTGTTTTCGTTGCTGTGATGGTTGTTGTTGTTGTTGTTGTTGCTGTAGTTGTTGTTGCTGTAGTTGTGGTCGTTGGTTTGTTGTGTGTTGCATCCAGGTTAATTAGTAATTCTCCTAGATTCACATCTTGCTTATGGGTCACGAAGCTTAAAATACTCGATCAGCCCGTATCGTGTACACTTTATTTTTGGTCTCTTTCTCTCTCTTTCAGGCGGCTATTCTCCATCATGTCATACTTTTTCTTCTTCTACAACATAATTCTTGGACTTTTCTCTGGTTTTATGCGAATTCTAAAGGGCATGCTTTTAGGAGTGATTTTCATCTCTCGTATCGATCGTACATCACTGATGCAGGGTTTCCAGGCTTGGGACAAAGGTAAGGAGCACGCACCCAGTACAAGCAATTTATAAGTGGCAGAGGCAATGTGAAGTGAGATATACAACATACAGACCTATGATGCTGCCATGTTGTCACTATTTCCTAAAACAACTTTTAACCAATGAATTAATGTTTGTAAGACTTCTGGGACGAAAGGAAGGTCGAACAGAAATTCCTCAGTGATAAGATCCAAGAAATTGCCTAGAACGCAGCAAACGGTAGTGGTTTAGTAGCGATTTGTAATAGCTTTACGTCTGATTGTTCGAGAGAGTTGCACGAGATTTATAGAGTTGTCATTGTGCTAACGAAAGCATAACCTATGGGATCCTGGACAACCTCTGACTCTCAATTAAAATTTTCTTCATTTTCTTTTCAGCTTTTGTCGCATACCTTGGTTTTGTGACTGTGCTGGTTGCCCACAGCCATCCCGTGATGCTGGTGTTCTGTCAGTTGCTTATTGACAGAAAAAAAGATCACCAGCCCCCGCAAGACCGTAAGTAAATAGTCTCTAGAATCATGACTCGGCTGGGATGATTCTGATTGGCTCGATTGATAAACGGACAGATGAGCGTGCGCACGAATGGACTGACAAACGAATGGGCAACTGTGGCTTAGAGACAATTGGCATGTTTGTTTCCTTTATAAGATCAAAACACAGCGCTGTTTATGCACTGGCAACGGACACTCAGCAACCAATCAGAACATTAGAAATGATCTTTTCACAGAGGGCAAGAAGCACATAATATTCTTTTGTTAAGCGTCGTTATTAATGTCAAAAACGTGGAAAATTTGGCAGAAAATGTACCCCATTCCCCGAGTCAGATAAGAAGATAAGATAATTTGATAAGAAATGTGTAATATTGAGAAGAAACTTACGATGCGAGCTATGTTCGGTTGGTTACTATTCATTTCATATCCATTCTGTGGTCACGCGGGAATATTGAAAGTTAGCCTTTCTTCTTTGCCACTTTGCACAGTTTTTTGAGGAACTAAAACGTATCTCGCTGACTGTTACTTTTCAAGCCGACCTTTAAAAAAACGATTGTATTCTGGGTGATACAGAACAGTTTAAGGCTTTTCATGAGGAGAAAAAGAAACATCCCTACGTGTGTAATCTTTTTTTCAACTTGAGTCTGAAGTGCTTAAGTACTCCGTTCTTAACGTTAAAATTAGTTTTCAAGTACCGTGTTTTAAGGCATCTATTTTGTCGCCGGATCTCTGACAAAGCCTGTATATTGTAGGTTTGGCATTGAGGCAGGACGCTCTGAAGCTTTGTAATATTTGTTTTAAATGACATTTCGTTGCCATTCCAAAACAATAGTAAAGGAAGCAAAAGACATTTTGTCTCCTTTCTTACTCAAAGTACGAAAGAAATTTCTCTCTTTTGCCCTATTTTCTCTATTGCTATGATTCCTTTGTTGTCATGAACTAATTTTTTGAAGGGTAATTAACTTGAAATACTCGACGAAGTCCCTCCAGATCTGTTCCAAACCTCTCAAACGTAGCTTATATTGCCATTCCTCTCTCTTTGTCTTTCAGGCTTTATGCGGGAGCCCCGTCGGCCGCGCATGTCTCAAAAGGCTGTCAACCGCTGGTTCCTGGCCGTGACTCTCCTACGCAACCCATCTTTTATCAAGTACCGCCGCCAAGGCCGCCATTTTACGGCATCTGTTGTGACTTTTGGAAGCGTCAACTTTGACGTTCCAGTGTAAAACTTTGAGACAAACTCAGAAGGAAGACCACCGTTCTTTCTTTATGGTTCACTTTTCCGGAGATCTGCTGTAGCTTGGGGTAAAAGTTTCGTTTTTTACCACAGTATAATACAGTCTGTATCTTGGTGTTGTTATTGTTGTTGTAGTTGTTTTTTTTTTGTATTTTAAATTTTTTGAGTCAACATGTTACTCCTCTAATGAAAGCTACTCTAACTTCTGGGCTAAACTTTATTAAACACGTAGATTGTGGTAGAGAAGTGAGCAAAGAAGCACACAAAGTACTTATTGAAAAACAATTTAAAATTGTGGATTTTTATTGCTGGCTTCGGAAATGGGAATTACATTATCTGGCAAACATGGAGAGGCAAATGGTAACATTTGCAATTTAAGATGAAGTTTTGGGAAATCTACTTCTCTGTGAACGATAATGGATTCTAAATATTGATTAATTTTCTTTGGTACATTTGAATTTGATGGGTTTTTTTTAAAGATAATATATCGAGTATTGAAAAGTAATATATACAAAAAGAGCAAGCAGTTTACGTTAGGCTAAAAGCCAAGTATATAGGAAGGAAAAAAAAAGAGAAAAATAATAAATAAATATTACAGTTTGCTTAGGCGTTTTAAGCGGAAGTTTTTGGTTTTTTATTTTTTTTTTGTTTGTTTGGTTTTTTTTTGTTTTGTCGTTGTTTTTGTTGTTGTTTTCCTTTAATTATTATGAAAGTAAGAAAAGTAAAAATTGGCTCACGATACCAAATAATGTTGTGAATTTATGAGGTCCGTGATTGGGGGAAAGACTTGGGAAGGAAGGTGTGCGTTTGGAACTTAGGAGCAAAGAACCAGTGGCAATAAAAAATACGTAATTGACAGGCAGCTGTGAGCATTAGCCACACGAGTGCTTTAGCGAAGGCCGATTTCTTTCACGTGCGAATATATTCATATACAACTAGCGAACTCCAACATCGTTAAGACCTCTGATCTTTCTCGGAAAAAAATTAGCGGCAGTGGAAAGTGAGGTGGGAGTGAAATATTGGATTGGTGGGACTACCGGCGAAACCGGATTTCATTCAATTTTGTTTGCTCGTTTTTATGCGCGCGGGGATCCCGGTCGAATTCCCACTGGCTCCCAGGTACAAATCTCCTCACCGGCATCCCAAGAGATACTGACAGGTGTCACGTGGGAATCTGGACGGAAACTTGCGAAAATACCAACGTACACTTCAGAGGGTAATGACACCAAGGAACTCGCCTTTTTAACTCGTGAATTGCGCGCATACGCAAGAGCGAGTTAGAGATATGATGTGGAGAATGGCACTCGCTCGCTCGCTCGATTGGTCGATTCCTGTAAACTTTTTTCGATTTTAGGCTTTTGAGTACATTTGATAGTTGTTGACGAGTAATAACCAAACGAAATGGTGACCTTTGTTGCTAAGAAGAGTGGTGGGGTGAAAAAGAAGCCGATGATAATCTTAAAAGAGTTTATTTTTTTCGTTTTAGTTTCAACAAGCGGCGTCGAAAAACGGCGTTGAAAACGATCCGAAGATTCATTAAAAATATCACTTACTCCGAAGCGCTCGGAGTTTGCAAGTGTTCAAAAGCTTTTTCTGTAATGGCGTGAGATCGTGGACAAAATCGATCGTTACATTCCGTATGGTGTGTTTTTTCTGTGTGAAGCAACAAAAGGTGCCGGCGATTAACGAAACTACAGGTTAACACGAAAAACAAATAATTTTGGCTACCGATTTTAAGTGAATTTTTAAAGAACAATTTTCTTTTAAGTTTCAAGAATATTTGAAGATTCAAAATAAATATTACGTACTAAAATGCGAAAGTTGAACATCACAAAATTGATAAATAGGCTTGAAATGAAATTCTATCTTGTTCTTGATTATACGTTGCCTAGCACGTGACCAAAATCTACCCAGGCGGAAATCCAAAATGACAGTGGCAGTCTGGGCTTAGTTATATCACTCAAAACTCGTTCTCGTTTGTCTCATTTGATAAAGAGGAATCATTAATTGTTTCATTAAGACAGTATTGCCTTGATTTTCCAATATTTAAAATAGACAGTAAATTTCACTTTTCACCTACACTCACTTCCAACCTTTTCTTTTGAACCAGAAACAAAAATGATATATTTTTAAAACACATGACATCATCCACCCTTGTCAAACTTAATAGCCTGATCATTACTGGGATACCTATGGTAGCCCAGTCAGAAAATGCCTTCCCGCCACAAATTGGAAAAATTGCCCAATAGTACCTAGTGGTCATTGGGCCCTCAACACCATGACAACTAATTATGATCCAAGGTGTTCACAGGCTGATCACGCGTGTCATCTTGATGATGATTGACGCTGTCATGCACGGACAGGGCCAGGTCACATGGCGAACCACGAGATTTTTGCTTATAAAACTCTTTTATCGGTCGTTTTGTATTTCAACGTGTTTGGATTACGATCACCCAGAGCACTATGGCGCAAACGCTCAAAATACTTACAGACGCATACACAAGTCGCATTGTTCGCGGCCAATCGACACTAAAAGATGTTACTGAGCGGTAATTTTGGACCGGATTGAGTCTTGAAACTGCACATACTCTATGCAATCTATTGAACAACAATACTACCGTGAGACTGAAGAACAAACTCTGATGGTGCAAACTGCTTGTGAAGAACGGCACCATGTTGGATTCACTTGATTCCAGGGAACGTAGCTACGATAACAGTGCGAATGGTATTAATTTCACGATCAGAAAGGTGAATCTTACGTTTGTTTTCATTGTAGTTGTATGTATATCATTTTTTAATAAATACATGATCCAAAATCCTGTGTTTTTGTGTATAATGTTATTATGTTAAGTATTGTTTACGCAATTGTCTTGTCACAGGCGGCCCAAGCTCACGCCTCGAGAAAAAGCCAACGATTAATTCATGAACGCGTCACGCGTAGTTATTCACGTCATCTACTTTTATTACGTTGGTAAAATCTGTGCAGACATCACATCAACCAACTCGCGCGCAAAGTAAGAAGACTACATTGAAGGCTTGAAATTGTATTTCGATCGATTGTCATCAAGAAATGGGCCAGGAAGTTTCCACAATAGTGCAAATAACCGTGAAGGCTGATCGCGGAGAAGTGATTGCGTGACGCTCGGTAAGCTGTAAGCTGACATGTTATTATATACCAGACGTAAACTCTTCAAATTCTCAGTCTGCATTTTGTACCACTCTGCGGTCTGCAGTCTATATTTTGTATCCGGTCTGCTGTCTGCATTTTGTACTAACAGGTATCCGTGCACCAATACAGTTTATTTTTGGTTACATTTATTCGCACAACACACTTAATCTACCACAAAATACCTGTGTGTGAGGTAATTCGACATTTTCGTTCTTTTCCGCGTTAATACTCTTCTTTCCTTTTGTAAGAATGTAGACAACTTACAATGTTTCAAGTAATCCACCCACCCTACAAAAAAGTAACTCTTGCATGCATTGCATGTCTATGTTTTGAAATAGGTGTATGCCATTGGCCAGACTTGAGCTCACTATTTCAGTATACTAGTCCGACACCCGTAATATCACTACACTTGATTCCAAGGATCCAGAACCATCCAGGTATCCCGGTTACCCTGCTCACAGTGTCTAGTTTCAATTTTAATGCCTTCTTATCCCAACGTTACTTTGTTCTTTGCTACATCAGCAAACACTGATCTACTATGGGTAGGTCTTCCAGTGATCATGGAGGCCATTTCACTTGGCATCGCTGCTGGAAAAGATAAATAGTAAGAAAAAAGTTCAAAGGTTTCTTCTTGCTCTTCTTTTTATTCGTAGCATTTAATACTTTGTTTTTTTTTGTATATATTTTGGGACAAGTATCATTTCCTTTGCTTTCACTTCTTCGAGTTTAGTTGCTGGCTTTCCTCGACTAACAACCTGATCTGGATATTCGTCACCTTGGTGGCTTTCATATAAGTTGTGAGTTTATGATTCGTGTTGCTGAATGTGATTGGTATACCTGGACTTATTGCTGCCACAGACTTTTTTCTCTGCTCTTTAAAAAAACAAATTATGATATGACCCTCCACAATATTTACCACTTCCCTTTTCCTACTTACTCGCAAAAAAATGTGGACGTTGTTGCTGTTTGCAGGGTTGCTGGTCAATCTTAACATAATGATCGCCTTCAATTGCGAGAAAAACCTCTCGAGACAATGTCTTCACAGGCGTAAGATAGCTTCATAAATTCTCCAACTTTTACTACATAGTATGAAAAAAGAAATTCTTCCCTCTCCTTGTTAATGTTTTCTCACTGTTTCACATTGATATGCCAAGATATGTTTTTCGCCCAAAAATAATTCATAAAAAAAACCCTTGAAAAAGATGAATGGAGCAGGAAAAGTAGGAGATGTTGAGTTTATAAAATTTAAAATGAGACTTCACTTGGTGTGGTTCAGTCAGTTTGGACAATTTTGTTCGCGATTTCTTTGGCTCATTGTCAATGTATCGAACCTCATAATCTCCTGGTTAAGAGTTGTTTTCCCTGTAAATGACTCCTCATCACACCCTTGTTGCCAAACTAGTAACTTCTTTGGCGAGGATCCCCTCATGCTTTGGCTATTCAACAACCATATCTAAATAATTAATTTATTTCTATTGTATTCTTCAGCTCGACATCATGATACTCGTACGAGTCATAGAGAAGATGACCAATTTGTTGCAGCCAATAGCGGAAGACAAGCATTTTCAGCAAATACGGTAACATTCACAACATAAAACTAAAACGAAATAGTGGAAAATATTGCCATGTCCTCCTGTAAAGCAAAATTCGCCTAGCTTACTCATTCCTTAATCAGCGAGGCATTGCGATATCTAATAATGAAAATTTATTGTCAAAGGAAATTAATTTAATGCTTTGTTTTGTTTTTTTTTTTGTTTCTTAACTCCTAGACTTGGCATCAAAGCATGCGTAGTAATAATTCCCCAGCTGGGTGTCACGTGGCTATTTGGTCTCTTTTCGCCTAAACACAAAGCTTTTGCTTACCTCTTAACCATACTCAACGCTACTCAGGTCAGTGTTCGATAGTAACTCTCAAAAATCATTCGATCTCGATTATATGTTTTGTTTTCTAACTACGTAAGAAACTATTACATTGCTTAGATGGTATTTTTTGAAACAGTAAAACCAAAAAGCTGTTAACTATGCAAGAGAAGACAGATTTCTTCTTTTTTTCTAGGATATGCAATTCCCCTCCTTCTTAAATTTCTTTTCATACTAACAGAAATCTTACTAGATATATGACCAATTTATTTGAATATTGTGAAAGTAATGATCTTAAAATCATGTTTATGCTGCAGGGTTTCCTGATTTTCGCTCAACACTACACGCGAAACAATCAGGTAAGAGAAAACATCAAAATCACTATACACTAACTTCATATCACCAAATTTTTGGGTTTAAATCAATATCGGTGGAATGCTAAGAACCATATTTCATGTTGCCTGTCTATCTGCAGATCAGAGAGGGATTCAAAAGAAAGATGAACATCTTTTTCCATTTTCTATATGAGACAATTCCAGAGGAGAGAGCTCACGGGTCAATCCAAGTAAGGTTGGGGATGTATGGGCAGCTGAATTGCAGTCTTGTGCTGAATTTGAATCGAAATCGCACTTAATTTAAATAACTAGATCCAGCTAGCCGGAAATAACAGTCAATTAATTAGTACAATCACTTAGTTAAAAGCAATGAGTCGGTTGTGATCGGTCTGATTTATGACCTGCAGGTAAAAAGACGTCATTATATTCATCTTTGTTCAGGCGCTTAACTAGTTGTAGTTGTAACCTGTCTTTTTCATGATTATAAGTTTATTTTCTAGGCTATCAGATATATTTGCCGACAAAATTTATCGAAATAAAATAATCAATCTAATCTATAAATTATGTTGATGATTGCCCTTCAAATAAGACCACAGTCTGCAATAGACGAGGCGGGTATTTATGCCAGGAAATCAAGACTCTTCTTTCTTTAAAAAGCACTCTAACACGCAGCTTTAATTGAATGTATTTACCTTTGATTCATGCGTGCTAGCTTGCTGCGCTTACTGCATGACTGTTTCATGTTCGAAGTTTCACTTACTGAGTTTCAAACTTCTCATCAAACACTGTTATTACTATTAACAATGATTATGGATACTAATTGTAACCATAAGTTTCTAGAAATTTTTAGAATGCTGACATGTATGCCAAGGAACTTTCTGGAGCATTTGACTGGGTTATGTAGCCATGGTGCATCCCTATGATATGTATTATCGTTTTGAATCGAAAATAAATCGATTCATTTGGAATTAAATTGGGGCAAAGTTAGCTGGAAATGGCATAAACCAATAAAAAATTAAAGGAAAAGCTTAGCGAGAGAAATGTGGAATATTTCCATGGGCCTGGTCTTCAAATATCACTACAACAACGACGTAGCATTGAAGATGAATTTCAACAAGCCAGAGAAGGTGTCGATTATGTAGATGTGCCTAACAGTTTACAATAGTCTAGGTTACGTCATACCCATTTATAAATAAACATGGATGACGAAGCGCACGATTTTGGCGAAAGAACAACAGCAAACAAAAGAATTATTCTATAATATACAAAACGCGATAGGTCAAAACTCTTCAAGCGTCAACTGACTAAATATTGCAGCTAAGATTAGGGAATATATTTATTCAAGAATAAATGGTCAATTATTCCATGAGCGTGGAGAGATACTAGGAGAGTAGAATGTCTGGCCCACAGAGCACATCACTATGACCCAGGAACGTCTCGCACTCAGACCTTTTCATCCCAACGCTCCTTCTAAAATGTTGGAATTCAAACATTTGGACACAAAAGTGATGGTCTGTATGACGCTTTTGGAGGAAGAGTTGTTTTTGAGACTGAACAGTAAACCGTAAGGCCGTTAGCCTCTGATGGTTTTCTGATCAATTAACGACCAACTTTATTTAAATTCACACCGAACTCATGATCTAAGAAAACCGAGAAGAAATCCTTTGACTCGGAGTTTGCCGTGGTATAAAAATAATAATACATGTTAATTAACACACGAGCGAGTAAGTCCATCAACGTTAAACGCATACGAAGTAATTAGACCCACCAACTGAAACGCGCAGCATGTCGTAGGCGAGATGAATAACTAATAATCATTCCCATTATTTTATGCATACGAACAAATGGCATACTAGCTCCAGCTGCCAGTTGATAAAACAGAAGTTTGTTCGAGACAACTTTCATTTAGCAGAGCTCAAAAAGAAATAATCATTCTGAGAATAAATTATTTTTAAACTGCTTCTCTACAAAACTTTAACTACAAAAAGTGTTTTAATGCTGTGAGGTTTTTCGATTGTATTAAGAAAAACAATACTCCACATCTGATGTAAGTCGCCTTTTTGTCTATTGGTCCGTCTATGACAGAAAAATAAAAATGGAGATTAAGGCCATAAATATGCGATCACAGATCATGATTTGAATTAAAATCAAACTCGTACGAAAGCGTTTTATAAGGATGCCGCAAATCCAAAACTCTCAAGCGAGGTGAATCAAATTTAAAAAGAAATTTGAATATCTTTGGCACGATGAAGTGGATGATAAATGGAACTGAATCCGGCAAAATTTTCAAAACCCTTTGTTTATGTTGTTTGCTGGGTAAGTACGACGCTGGTTATTCCTGTTTGTTCTGCTGTAGCAATGAAACCGTCGAAACTAACTTTCCAATTTGTGAAATATTTATTTCCATTTTAAACCAACTGAACTCTTATAACGAAACATACCAAACTCTACACATGTCCTTCTGAACTATTTGTTAACCATTTAAGCAAACCTTGGGGATGTTTGTTAATCATTGTTATTATTATTAGTTTCTCGATATTAATCACTTTCCGTACATTGCTAGTTGATTGAAAAAGAAATAACTGGAATGAAACATTCGTAAAAGCGTAAAGACAGCTTAATGACAGCAGCTTACAATGGTATCGTGCGCTTGATGAATTGTGTGATGAGTACAACTGAATCCGGCAAAGTGTCCAAAATGTTTTTTAATAAGTTGTGCGTAAAGTAAGTACCACCGTAATTATATCTTGACTTTCCATTTGCGAAACATTTATATCGATTTTGTCACGTCCCGTGAAATTAAGCCAAACCAAACAGAGAAAAAATGTCTGGTGGCGGATATTTGGCTCTGTTAATTAAAACAAAATTGACCAAACTCCAAAGATGTCCGCATTAAACTCTTAGTTCATAATCAGAATAGGATCTTTTATAAATTGGATTCCTGAAGCCTTTTAGATTCCATAAAGTGCAAAGTAATCAAAGATCAAATAGCACAGGCGAGACATTCAGGCGGTGGTCACGTTGTCTGCGTCATGGTTGTCTACACAACAGCTTTGGCAGCCATATCTAGGATAACAGGAACACAATAGCTTAGTTGCTATCGTTTTATGCTGTTATGACGAGATATTAAAGGGAAAAACGTCTCCTCTTCAGTTAGCTGCTAAACGTTTGACATACTCAGACAAGAGATCGAACTTAATCATCAGGGTCTACTTAAAATGGCATTAGGTTAGACAAATACAAAGTTTATCATTCGATCAGGGGTTTGGAATAAAAATGGTTGAATTGATGTACTTTTTCCTTTCTCATCGCAAGTTAAAACACCATTGGTATCCATGAAGTTCAATAGTTGATTTCCTGAATGAGCTGAGGGGTTAAAGTGACGTGCACTCACAGAAAAATGATTAAAAGAACCCTTAAAATTAAACAATTTTTACGTATTAAAATTCAGCGATGAAACTGCTGACAGCCACACGGAGACAGTTTTTTGATTTAAGCTTGATTTAAAAATTCTGTCTTTGGCTTTTAATAAAGTCCTGTTATTAGTCATGTTTAATAGATCACCGGACGATGATGTTACTTTACGCCTCGTTTTCCTCATTGAAGGGTCATGCACAATGAATTCCAGCCTAAAACTTTACCGAGAGCCTTCCGATGAGGCGTTATTCAGACATTGCGGTACCCAAACCGTTAGAGCTTTCAAATTTTTGTTCAGTTTTTAACACTGAGAGTATATGACTGCTGAATGCTCGCCAAGTTGGACGTCATGGACAAGTAAAACATATTTCTCTTTTAAATTATTCTTCTTTGTACCCGAAAGCAAACTTTATACCTCTCTCATTGCTCTTCTTTTACAAAAAAATATATGTGTATATTATATGGGTTCCACAGGCTCCACAGTCTGCTGATCCATAGTTTAATAACACACAAGAATATGGAAGAATCACAACAAAATTTTGGACACCAACCCGTCAAGATTTAAGTTGAGCAGAAGTTTTATTTGAGAGGTTAGAATTGATATCTGGTCAATTCGCTGAAAGAAACATCGTCTCTTTCGAATTGTTGCGAGCTAAAGCGAAACTCCGAATAGCCCGTGTAAAAAAGTTTTTCGAAGGAAATTCGCGAAGGTCTACCGCATCCTTGGGAATGATTTCCACATGCAACACTTTCTGTTTAGCTGGTTGGTAAATGCGAAGATGCCGCATGTTTTAAAATTTCTCCGTCTGCTCCCAAGGAAAGGAAGTCCTGCGTAGATGTTGAAGGGCATATAGCGATTCAAATGCTGTAGTACTCGTATAACTCGACATCTAATAAACCCCTTTTGATTGTTTCAAGTGTTTTTCTTGAGATAACGATCAATTTATTTGCTCATTTTCTCTTCTACAGTCATACTTCATCTGTTGATGGAATTGCCAGGAACGGGTGAGGCAGCGTAATTTCAATTTGCACCTTAAAATGAGCGAGAACAAAATATATGTATGTGACTGATTATCATAAAAGTTAGTCATAAAATTCCAGTTGAAATTACATTGGATTGTGATTAAAAGCGTAAGTTGGAAAGCAGAACAAAGACGTCGTAGAATAACGGTGCTATTACCCTGATCTCCCCAATTTCCACTTTTAAAACAGAGCCTAATTCTAATTTCTGCCTCAGTGAGGTAGAGGGTTTTGATGCCCATCGTTTTTTTTTAAATTAATGATATAAAAATACTTACTCGTTTCTATCATTATCGTTATCACTATTCTTATCATCAGTATACATTTTTCGCTTATTTATTACTTCATATATTTTCCTCTCATAGAGTGCCAAGCGACCTGTTTCAAAAACTCCTCTTACATATTTTCCAAAAGCGGAGTAGATTGGTCCTTCAACAGGTTTGTCTGCTTGAGACAGGGAGGTGATTTAGTCTCCATCGAAACTGAAAAAGAATGGAAGTTTATCAATCGTGAGATTCAAAACCGTGATACTTGGAATACTGGTGCGTGGCACATTGGTTTAAGGAAGATAAACGAGGTTTGGAGATGGGTGAGTGGAGAACAACTTAATATTTCGAAATGGCGAGATTCTGAGCCAGGTGGGAACCACAAAAGGGCGGAAATATCCAAGAATGAATGCCTCTTTAATGGTATCTCTTGGTATGATGAAAATGCCTACATTTGCGAGATGCCCGGAGGTAAGATCAAATTCTAACCTTAAAGTATGTTATGTGCTAAAACGTTAGAGTCTTACACTTGTGTCGTGAAAATTTCTATTGCTTCTTAAAAGTAAAAATATTGTTCACAGAATATGCTCAGCTCACCTAACTTGTGTTGCGTGAATGAATGAACTTTTAGGCGCGTATAAGTAGTTGATAATGATGCCCGTGAAAAGTTCCGGGACACATGTTTCAAAAAATTAATTTGATCACTCTAGAATTATCCTTTTTGCATGGCATGCAGCTGGAAAAACAGCAATCGAAATTGTACATTTCACAACTTTTGTCGGGTACGTTGTGTTTGGGATAATCTAACCAACGGAATTTTCCCTTGTTACAAATTACAAAGCGTGTTCACTAAGGTCAGAGAGAGAACGTAACACGTCGACGCATTTTATCTTTTATTTCATTCAGATATAAAATGAATGAAAGTTCTATTAGTGATTTCAATTGTGAACAAATACCTCACGTTTTAGCTTTCTGAGTTACTTCATGCGAAGGTTTAGGTTAATTGCAAATGGCTTTAAGGTTGCGTGTCCACCCGTTTAATGACATATTTGCCACCAAAATTCATTTCAAAACCGTTTTTTTTTTTGGTGGCAACCAAATTGATTTGAGAGATAGAAAGAGAGAATTAATAATTACCAATGGGCTTGATTTTCATTAAAATGGTTTGCTTTAAAATGCTGCTCAGCCGGCAAAACGAAATATATTTATAAATTTTAGCAACGAAGCTAAGGATGTAGTCGTAAGAAGAGATAAGAAAATCCAGGCCGCATTAAGAACCAATAAGATCGCAGGATTCGCTACCGTACCCTCTAAGAAAAACAAATAAAAATTACAGTTCTTCCGAGAAAGGTTGTCATGAAAAAACGTATCGGAAATTTAAGCGATAACCCATAATGGTATTGCGGGTAGCTTTCAGGTCGTCAAGGACGAGGCATCACGGGTTTGATGAACCTATTTTATTTACAAGACTGACTTTAAATTCTTAATAGCATGAAAAACGAAAACAGGAACGAGGGGGGAGAGGGTGGTGTCAACTCAACAGGAACTAATTAATATTCAAAAACATAACTACAAAAGTTACGTGAACTCACAAATAATCTTAGCTGATGTGAAGTTAACTAATTCAGAAAAGCAGGTCAGGGAATTGGCGGACACCGTAGTGAAGAAAGATGTATTGTATTAATTGATACTGATCAAATAGCAATCAAAGAGAGAATAAGTCAGGTTTCCTTTCTCATTTAGTTTTCTATTTTATTGTGACTGTGATTGTAATCTTTCTATGTTAACATTATTATTATAATTATTACTTTGTTTATCATCATTATGATAATTAGCATATTTGGTTTCGCTCTTATCATTATATAGAGTGCCCCAATATAACTTTTAAAAATTCTTGGTAAATAATTTCGGTGTATGGATTACCCTGGCACTTGAACAGAGACATCTGCCAAAGCCTGGGAGCTGACCTAGTTTCCATTGAAAACGAACAAGAATGGAATATCATCAAGGACGAGATTGGAAGGCGAAATATTAAAAGAAGCCATTCCAAAAAATGGACTATTGGTTTAACGAAAAAGGCCGGGAATTGGACCTGGGTGAATGGAAGACCGCTGACTATTCGCAAATGGGGACAAGGGGAACCAAGTGGTGAACACAACGCGGCTTTCATCTACGAGCTGGACAGTAATGGCGGATGGAGCGTGTTTTTTGGTAGTGTTAATCGTACGCGTTGGGGAAACCTGTACGCCTATATTTGTGAGATCTCCAAAGGTAAGTTTTTTTTCTGCTTTTTTGTTTTTTATTACTGTTATTATAATTATTTTGAGTAAACCTAAAGGTAATTGAATAGCTGTGTTGCTCAGAACTAAACAATTTATTTTCTTTTTGGAATAATTAATTCCTCTGCATTTTATTTGTGATTTTTTTTTTGCAGATTCAGCTCCTGGACAAAACTTTTCGCAGGACTCTTACCAAGCCTACGTTGGACCACCATGCGCGCAACAATATGGTAAGAGGAGTTGGTCCCTATAATGGCGTGAAATATGTCCCAAGTACAACAAATAACCCATTCTCGAGAAAAATAAAGCTAAAGAATGAAAAGAAAAACATTGCTCGTTAGTCTTTTCCATTTACATCAGTTTTAACAAAAGGGATGTTCGAGGAACCGGTTAATGTATTCCAATAATGTCTGTTGGCATGGCCCACTTCAGGTTAAGCACTTCGTTACAGTGGCCACGTATAGTGTTAAAACACATATCGTAAAACCTGTGTTGAAAGGAAACCAAAAGGATTCTCTCTAGCGTCCACTTATTACAAAATATTCGTTTCATCCAAGTTTTGAAAATTGTACAATGTGACAAGTTTTAATTTTCGAACTTTAAGCCGTTTGCGTTTCCTGTCATTCGCTTCCCGATACTTTAAAATATACAAACACGAGCTAAAAAAAAGCCGTGTCACTGTTGTTATCATCAGTATACATTTTTCCTTTATTTATTATTTCATTTATTTTTTCTCATAGTGTGCCAGCCAACCTGTTTCAAAAACTCCTCTTACATATTTTCCAAAAGCGGAGGAGATTGGGCTTTAAACAGGTTTGTCTGCTCCAGACAGGGAGGTTACTTAGTCTCCATCGAAACTGAAGAAGAATGGCAGTTTATTAGTAATGAGATTCAAAAGCGTGTTACTTGGAATACTAGTGCGTGGCACATTGGTTTACAGGAGATAGACAAGGTTTGGACTTGGCTGAGTGGAGAACGACTGAATATTTCGAAATGGCGTAATTTTAAGCCAGGTGGGAACTACAAAAAGGCGGAAATATCCAAGAATGGAGGCCTCTTTATGCTATTTCTTGGTATGATGAAAATAAATACATTTGCGAGATGCCCGGAGGTAAGATCACATTCTAACTATAAAGTATATTAGAGTCTTGCACTTGTGTCATGAAAATTGATCTTGCTTCTTAAAGTAAAAATATTGTCCACAGAATATGCTCAGCTCACCTAACTTGTACGTGTAAGCGATGAATGAACTTTTTTGCATCGCCTGCAGCTGGAAAAACAGCGATCCAAATTTTACATTTCACAACTTTTGTCGAGGACGCTGCGGTTGGGATAATCTAGCCAACGGAATTTTCCATTGCCACATGTTCAAAGGCGTGTTCCCTGAGGTCAATGAGTGTATGCATGCTGTTTTGAGCAGAACCCATCGAAGTATTTTTATTTTTTTATTTTTAGTCAGATATAGGTTTGTATAAATGAATTCAATTCTAAACAAATACCTTACATTTTAACTTACTTCTAATGAAGCTTTAGATTAATTACAAAAGGTTTTTAATCCGCGTGTCAACCCATTTAAAGACATATTTGCTACCAAAATTCAATTCAAAACCACTTTGTTTTGAGAGAGAGAAAGAGAAGATTAATAAGTTATCAATCCGCTTGATTTGCTTTGAAATAATTTGCTTTAAAAAAATGCTCAACCCGCAAAACGAAATATATTCATGAAAAATGGCAACGAAGCTAGGGATGTAATCGGCCCGTAGGCAGAGATAAGAACATCCGGACCGCATTGGGAACCAAGAAGATTGCAGTACTCGTTACCATGCCCTCTGAGTCCTTTCAGTTTGTTTGTCATCATTATGATCATTATTATTTTTGTTTTCATCTTTATCATTTTTTAGAATGCCCAGATATAACTTTTAAAAACTCTTGGTACATAATTTCGGTAAAAAGATTCTCCTGGCACTGGAACAGGAACAAGTGCCAAAGCCAAGGAGGGGACCTAGTTTCTATTGAAACCGAAGAAGAGTGGAATTTCATCAATGACGAGATTCAAAGGCGAAATATGACAAAATATGACAATAGATGGAGTATTGGTTTAATAAAAAAGGCCGGGAATTGGACCTGGGTGAGTGAAAGACCGCTGAATATTTGCAAATGGGGACAAGGGGAGCCAAGCGGTGAACACGACGTGGCTTTCATGTACAAGCTGGACAGTAATGGCGAACAGGGCGTGTTTGGTAGCTTGGAGGGTACAAGTTGGAAAAACCAGCAGGCTTGTATTTGTGAGATTTCCAAGGGTGAGTTGATTTTTGTCGTCGTTGTTGTTAATGTTTCGAGTAAACTAAAAGGCACCAGAAGCGCTTAAGCGTAATAAAAACATTATTTGCTAAAGTTTGCGATACTCACTAATGAATTTATCAAAAACCCTTTGACAGTCAGGACCAAGTCTACACTTACCTTTGCAAGTTGTAAAGGCTAATTTCAATGCAATGCACCATGTGCAGTGAACATAATAGACTGACCATCCTGCATCCAATTCGAATATGGCGGGCATTTCGATTGACCTGACAACCATTACTCTGTAACGAGGTTAGTAAGGGTTACCTCAGTTCTCTCAGAGGGTGTAGATACATTTTCTTGTTTAAGAAATGTTCAATGCAGAGTTGGAATTTAATTGCTATTCTGCTTATAAAAATATAAACATAGGCATGCGTAACATGCAAGAGTTATTCTTTTGGCTGGGAGAGTTTAGGAGGGATGCTTTGTGTTCCTAACGCTATTAGTTCTGTAACAGAAAAAGAGCGTAACTTTTAAAGTAACGAAAATATCGTACTACTTCAACCTAGGAGAAAGAACAAAAAAAACTAATTGATCTAAGCTTACACAAGTATTTTGTGGTCTATTGTTTCTATTGTTTAAAAAACCCCTAAACAAAAATAAAAGGCATCAGAGGCACGCCTACTGTTGTCTAAGCAGTGCTCAACTTGAATAGTAGTGCTGCTCAAAACGGAACAATTTGTTACTTTTTGGATTGACTAATTCCTCTTATTGCATTTGCGATATTTTTCAGCAGATCCAGCTCATGGACAAAACTCTTCGCAGGACTCTTACCAAGGCTATGTTGAACCACCTTGCACGCAACAATATGGCAAGAAAGGTTGATCATTTTAATGGTGTGCAGTATGTCTCAAGTACAACAAATGACCCGTTCCCCGTTCTCAGAAAAGCAAAGCTACCAAATGATGACAGAGAGGGGGGGGGGGGAGGAACGCCAGACTAGCGTGATTGCTAGGGCGAGCTAATGTTATAAGCTCGCGATCATTTATCCGATCGGCCATGTTTGATTTGGAGTTAGAGTGGACGGTGGGGGTAAGGGGTGGGGGAAGTGCAGGAAGACCCCTGCCTGAGGAGAATGTTGAAAAGCAAAACATCCACCAATTAGTTGTGCCTCACTGCATTTCCGATAATGAACAGGTAACCAATCAAAATGAATTAAATTATCAACTGGAAGTACGTGAAACAGCGCTAGCGAGACAGTCTTTTTTCAGCCAGGAAAGAGATGGCTTTGACAAAACGTCCTCTGCGTCACAAACATAAGCTGATATTTATTGCACCCTATATTTCCCAAACGACAATCCTTGATTATAGCTGCCTATAATCTAGCTATTGGACGATTTTTTTTCATTTGATCGTGAACGATACTTTGAAACACAAACAACAGCACCCTAAGGTTTACGTGCCATAATTTGTTTGATGCAAATCGGCACGCTCCGGTGAAACGGTGTGGCCACTATTTTCATCAACAATAAAAAGCATCCAAAACGTCCTCTTCTGACGCAAATACGAGTTGATAGTTTTCGCACTCTATCTCGTCCAAACGACAAGCCGTGTGCGTAGCTACCGGTAATCCATTTGATCATAAACAACAATACGTGTACGAAGCTGACAAACGACAACTACGCTCGAAGGTTTCTCTCGTGCAAACCAATAACTGAAGTATCAGGCTTTTCCCAAAGCCATTTGACAACGCAGCCAGTAGATACTTTCCAGAACCAGTGTAGAAGCTTCTTTTTGTTCCGATTTTAATGCGCTAGACATATTAAATTGTGAAAGACACTTAAGTGCTTCCTCGAAAGCGGAATCGAAACTAGCAACTTCATCATTTACAGAGTTTGCCATCTTTCGCATTTTCCCGCAAGAGCTAAATCTGTAAATGCCATTTGGCTTATGATTCACAGCTGAAGCTTAACTACACCAATCAGGAACTCCGATCGTAGGCAAACGGGTTTTGCAAAATAATGATGACCTCGGACAGGCGTAATATCGATTCCCCTACCCCTACCCTTCTCCTTATTAATGACCGTCGGCCACCCATATCGCAGGCGCGAAGATCTAGAAAACTCCCGCGTGTTTTCCAAGGTTCACTTACAAGCGTTGACAGTCACCGCTGTGATTTCTTTTGTTTAACTCGACTCTTTTCTTAAATCTGCCTGCCCCACCCAAGCATTGCGGTGCTTTTGATACTTTCGACGATTAGAAATTAGGCTTTTTTAATGGCAAAATCAGGGTTTCCTTTTTCCCAAGTTTTCCTGAAAATGTGCCGGTTAGAAAAAAACAAAAAACAAACAAACCGTTGTTACATGAAAACTAAATAATTATGCTAGAAGACTTTTTCCAGCGAGACGATCAAAGTTAAACCTAAAAAATCCAAAAAGGGTCGGTAAATTAGTAGCAAACAGCTCAAGATGAAATAAGAAATTAATACAATTAGTACGTCATACTCAGTGGTTTAACAATTAATACGCGCGGATATTTTGCGACTTGCGTGGCATTTTCCGAGTCCCGTAAGGGCGAATTGAAATGACAAAAACTGGGCAAAATGTGTACTCGTATTATATGTTAAACCAGTGATTAAGGGATGTATTATTGCATCACTACCTCATTTACTAATATTTTTTAAAAACATCTTACATCCCTATCTTAGCATCGATCATACCAGACGTATGCGAAAGACAAATATAATGCAAAGGAAACAATGAGAGTGCTCTGTACAACCAATCGAGTGGATTTAAGAGTTTTGATCGTTCATAGCGGCCATTTTGTTACTCTGCTTTCCGTCGCATTTTGGCCCTCAAGTGTAATACTAAGGTAATTTTATCTTGTGATATAATCTTGATGTTTATTTTTCCTTAAAGATTCATCAATATCTACACTACCCTCGCCATCGCCCTCGCCATCGTTGTCACCATCGCCCTCGCCCTCGCCCTCGCCCTCGCCCTCGCCCTCGCCCTCGCCCTCGCCCTCGCCCTCGCCCTCGCCCTCGCCCTCGCCGTCGCCGTCGCCGTCGCCCTCGCCCTCGCCGTCGCCGTCGCCGTCGCCGTCGCTGTCGCTATCGCAGCTGGTATGTTTTCTAAATAGTCACTACAGTTTTTATGCATGTCACTTTTCAGGATCTTCTCGGTGACGCACATTTTTTTTTAATTCTAGGCAAAGGAGTATGTTTCAAAATTACGCGAAATAAATATTACCAGAAAGAGTTCCATACAGGTATCCAATGTTCATAACTTAACGGCTTTTTAACTTTGATATATGAACGATAAAAAGTAATTATTATATAGATAGCGAGATTTACGCGCCAAAAGGCATCGAGATAAAAATAGTCTCTTCGGTCTAGAGAAGCCAACTTATTGGTATTACGATTTTTTTACCAATGAAAAACGACGTATCGACGATCCCAATGGCTGTATCATTATTTTCACTGGTGAACAAAACCGTGTCGCTCACTCGCCGTTCCTCTTGACTGACAAAAAGCACATTCTAAGAGCTTAAGCGCATTTTTCTTTGGAAAGATGGCTTCAAAGCAGACTGACCATTTTCAGAGCCTAGATTCGTCAGTAGAAGAGTTCATAGACGGACAGAAAAATGAAAACACCAAGAAAAAGAGCAAACACGATGTTGCTCTCTTCCACTAATTTCTTGTTTTGAAAGGCGAGACGAGAACTGTGAGGCGGCTTGATCGCGCGTTGTTTTCCTTCGAAAGTTTATCTTTGAGTTCTGTTCGCCTTTGAATCTCGGTATGTATATAATAAATAAGTTATTTGACGGTTAGTTCCCTTGTATTATTTTTATTCACTCGTTGCGTAAAAATCGTATGCGCTCACCAACCGTGAAATAACCTTTAAATATATAGCCTTTAAGGATAAACCACCATTCAAGCCATATGAGGTGAGGATGGTGAGGCTTAAAAAATAATCCAGTCTCCTAAGAGAGTTTTTTCGCCAATGAATACCCTGAACACCATTTGGGGCCTCCTGCTGGACTTTTTTCGCATCTTTGATATGAATTGTATATATGAAACTCGCTAGTCAATGACATGGAAATATTTTATGTAATTGTAGGAAGCGGTAGCTGTGTTTGAAGATTTCACCATAAAAATCAAGAACTTCACAAAAGACAAGGCCAGCGTGAAAGAAGTTAAAACACTGAAAAAATCCATCTTTGAGGTGGCAGAGGCCGTCGAAAAATTTGCTCTTAATTATAGCAAGCGACACCAGAGTAAAATGAAGACTTCAGAAAGGATCGTTTCCCCAAAAATGGGTGAGGTTGCGGCACTCAATCCCGTTTAGTTTTAAAGCCTATTCCTTTTTCGCTTACTGACTCGCTGACTGGACCGAATAAGTGGTCTAATTCCCTATAGCTAGATAATGTAAGAACTCAGTTGTATGCATAACTTTTTAGAAACGTTATAGTTGGATGTCATCGATTGATCTGTTCTTTTACTTTGTTCGACACTTTGATTTTTCACGGTGGGGAAGGAAATTCAAGGTATTCTTGAACAATCAACAAGAAAGAATCGGAATCCTTCAAATTGTGAAACCCTTCTTCTCACTCTGTTTATTGAAACTTTTCTTAAATAATAGATCGGTGAGTAACACTTTACTAACTGAAATTGACAAATCTAATAAATACTTTCCGCTTACTTCATATAGTACACTGGGCTCAAAATTGGCCTATCGTCTGCGATGCATGTAAATGCAAGATTTTAACCGTACTTGTAAAAACTCCCCAATGAACTCTATAGTTCTCCAAAGAGGCGGTTCGAGGAACGAATTGAGTTTTGAAAATTTCATTCCGTCCACTGCTACTCACTTTTTCATCAGTTTTACATTGAAGAACGTTTTATAAATGGTTGAAATCGAATAGTCGTTGCAGGGCAAATGAGATACAAACAATACACGTTCATCAATTAAGATTATGAAATATTTGTGTACACCGCAAAACGCATTTTTGTCTAGATGTGCTATTGCAAATTTCACCGTAGGTGCTTTCATTTGTCATTTTTTTTCCGACAGTTTTGGTCATTCAAAAAGCCTAACGCCAGAATGCAAGTGGCCTCCTCTTTGAGGAACAACAATGGCAAGCGAGGATCGATATCGCTTCTTCAAATTTTGAGGAAAATGGTTCGTATTGACTATTGTGGTAACTTTACAACTTTTAGTATTACCTTGATTTCTCCAATCGAAATTTCTGTATTGAAACAAAGTCTATCTTCTTTAATCATTCGCCTTCCTTATAATGTTGTTTAATAACTTTTTTGTTGATTCTGGGGGGGTTTTAAGGATCACTGGTAGTTGCGTCTATGTACAAGGATCTCCATGATCTACTTCTGACAGATCAAGCCGTCAGGAATGAAACAGGCAACCAAAGGTGACGTTACTTTCATATTATTCCATGTCGTTTACCCCCAAAAACACATAACTCGGAAACACATAAGATCTAAATTCAACTAACCTGAACTTAGGGACTTTCCAACAACCCTAACTAAGGATGGAAGACTCCCTGTTTGTCCCTGACCGTTCCACCTTCTTAAAAAAATCGATTGAATCTATCAAAAGTATGTAATGTTGCTTCCTTGCCTCTGATCCATTTTCAAATAAAATTTCTTCATAGGTATATTAACTCCAGGATAATGGCCGTAACTATGGACCCCAAGGCAAAGAAATTGGGAGAAAATGTCATACTAAGGTTCAAAAACCTAAAGGTAACATGAAAATTAGTTGCAATGCGTTGTTTCTATTTATCCTGACAAGATAAAATCCATTTTCAGGCAAAAAAAAATGGGAGAAAATGTCATACTAAGGTTCAAAAACCTAAAGGTAACATGAAAATTAGTTGCAGAGCGTTGTTTGTATTTATCCTGACAAGATAAAATCCATTTTCAGGTCTTGGCAGCCGAGAAGCGCTGTATGTTTTGGAGTGGCCTCAGAAAAAGGTAAAAAAACTATTGTATACTATTGTATGGTATTCATTCCTTCTTAAATTAAATTAAGTACGGAGGAGAATGAATGAACTTTCTCAGATGTTTTTGCGCAGATGAACACTTTCCTGGAACATGTTGTCGTTTTTAGAGCGGAAGAATGTTCTCGCAGCTATGACTACAATGGAACAAAATCTTAGCGCAAAATTTTCAAACATCACCTCTTACCCAAACGATGAATAACTTTTTAACTTTACTTTTATTTTATGTCTGACAGCTTTTCAGAGGAAGGATGCCATGTAGTTACATCGGAAAGCAACTCAGAAGAAACAGTTTGCAGCTGTAATCATTTGACGCATTTTGCCGTCTTAATGGACTACGCCGGTAGCACAAAGGTAATAGAATTATTTTTGCCTTACTCAATAATTTTATGGGTTCAATTAACTAACTCAATATTGTCATTTAATTTTCCTTTTTTAACACAGCTCACCGAGGACGACGAAACAATTCTGAGAATTATCACTTACGCGGGACTGAGCCTTTCCATCGTCGGAATACTTTTAAGTAATGTACCTGAATAATAATGAGGTAGATTCTTAATTCTCCTCAACAAGGCTGGTAAGAAAAGAGATCTCAGTGAAACTCTCCATGCAAACAAGAACATGCATGTTGGATAATTCACAAATTCAAGCAACATTTCACGCCCCGTCACGAACTCTTGAACATCTCATGTCTTCAGTCTGTTGTTGTTGTTGTCGTTGTTGCTTTTGTCTAATTCATTTTTTTCTTCTTTTTTTTTTTTTTACTATTATCTCATCAGAGATGTTTGTCAACCTCTCTCTCAAATTCGACTGAGTGTTTCTGTGTCCCTTGGAGGTGGACAGATCATCTTCCTCGCCGGAATAAACGCCACAGAAAACAAAGTCAGTGGCGCCTCCTTCTGTCTATAGAATGAGTTTACTCTTTGCACCGTAAATATCTTGTCGAAAGGAGCACTTTAAGAAGTATACGAAAACTCTTCCTTTTCACAGGCTGCCTGTGTTACAATAGCAGCTCTGATGCAGTATTTCTTGATGGCCGCTTTCTTTTGGATTCTAATCGAGGGAATATATCTCTACTTCTTCGTTGTGAAAGTTTACAACATTAACACCAAGATGTTCATGTACCACGTCATCTCATGGGGTAAGTTCATTATTTTACATCATGCGTTGGTAACTGTAACCATGCTTTCGGATCGCCAAGTCTGGTGTTGTCATGCAGTAAAGTATATCGATTTCCTTCCTTTCTTTATGGGTAGGTCTTCCAATGATCATGGTGGCCATTTCACTTGGCATCGCTGCTAGGAAAGAAGGGTTACAAAGCTATACGAGTGATAAATAGTAAGGAAAATGATTCAACGGTTTCTTCTAACTCTTCTCCTTCATTGCATTCTTTCTTTTGTAGTTTTGTATATAGTTTAGTATCATTTCATTCGCTGAAAATTTGTCTTCCTTTTACATCCTTGAGTTTAGTTGCTGGCTTTCCTCGACTAATAACCTGACCTGGATATTCGTCGCCTTCGTCGCTTTCATTGAAGTTGTGAGTTTATGATTAGTGTTGGTGATTTGGATTGTGATTGGTATACCTGCACTAATTACTACCAAAGACTTTCACTACTCTTTCAAATGGGAGTTCAGTATTTACCATACGTCCTCACACAATATTTACCATTTCCTTTTTTCCTATTTACCCACAATAAACTTTGGACGTAGCTGCTGTCTCGGGGATGTTGGTCAATTTTTAACCTGGTGTTTGCCTTCATAGGCATGAGATAGCTTCATTTACATAGTATGAAAACAAAAACGTCTCCCCCTTCCTTGTTTCACATTGATATACCAAGATATGATTTTCGCGGAAAAATAACTCATAAAGCAACATTTCAAAAGGGGAAAGGAACAGAAAGAGTAGGAAATATTGCATTTATATCATTGAACATGAGGCTTCACTTGGCGTAGTTCTTTCAGTGTAGACACTTTCGTTCGCGATTTCTTTAGCTCATTGGTAGAGGATCGAAGCTCATACTCTAGGTCCCACGGTTGATTGTTATATTTCCTGTAGGAAGAGAACTCTACGCCCGACCCTTGTTACAAAACTAGTAACGTCTTTTGCAAGAAAGGATCCTCTCTCACTTCGGCGATTCAACTACCATATCTGAATACTTAATTTATTTTTATTGTATATTTTAGCTCAACGTCTTGATACTCCTACGAGTCATAAAGGAGATGACCAATCTGGTGCAGCCAACAGCGAAAGACAACCATTTTCAGCAAATACGGTAAGATTCACAACATAAAACTAAAAAAAAATAGTAGAAGAGATTGCCTGTGAGGTTATATTCGCCAAATGTTCTCATTCCTTGATCAGTAAGGCCTTACGATATCTAAAAATGAAAGTTCATTGTCAAACGAAAAAAAGGAACATTTTCTTTTAATTCCTAGAATTGGCATCAAAGCATGCGTGGTGATGATTCCCCTGCTGGGTGTCACATGGCTATTCGGTCTCCTCTCGCCTTTACATAAAGCTTTCGCCTACATCTTCACCATACTTAACTCTACTCAGGTGAGTGTTTGATGGTAACTCTCAAAAAGCATTCAATCTCGATTACATATTTAACTTTCTAACCAAGTGAGACACCATTAAAATGGTCAGATGATATTTATGAAAATTTTGAGAAAAAATACAACCGTTAACTACGCAAGAGAAGACAGCTCTCCATTTATGAGATATGCAAGTTTCCTCCCTTCTTGGAAATCTTAATTAGATATTTGACTAATTTATTTGAATCTTGTAAAACTAATGATCTTGGAATAACTGTTATGCTGCAGGGTTTCCTGATTTTCGCTCTACACTGTATGCGAAACACATAGGTAAGGAAAAAATGAAACTGACTATAGACTAACTGCATATCATCAAGTTTTAGTGTTTGAATAAATATCCGAGGGCTAAGAACCATATTTCATGTTTCTCATCTATCTGCAGATCAGAGAGCGATTCAAAAGAAAGATCAACATCGTTTTTCCATCCTCTATAAAGAAGAGGAAGAGCTCACGTGTCAATCCAAATGAGGTTGGGGATGTATGGGCAGTCGAACAGCAGTATTGTGCTGAATTTGAATCGAAATCGCACTTAACTTAAATAACTGGATCCAGCCGAACGGAAATGGCAGTCAATTACTTAGTACAATCACTCATTTAAAAGTGATTAGTCGCTTGCAATCGGTCTGAGTTACAATTTGCAGGTTAAAAAAGGTCGTTCTAACCATCATTGTTTAAGCATTCAACTAGTTGTAATTGTGACTATAATAACTATTATAACTATTATAATTATTATAAATAAATAAACCAAGCTATAAATTTAAATTTTTAATGGCTCGGTATGTTGATGACATGCCTTTCGAATAAGACCACAGTCTGCGACATTCGAGGCGGAAATTTATGCCAGGAAATCACGACTCGTCTTTCTTTAAAAAGCACTCTAGGACGCAGCCTTAATTACGTGTATTCATTTTTTGATTCTTGCACGCTAACTCTCTGCGCTCACTGCATGAATGTTTCATATTCGATGTTTCACTCATTGAGTTTCAAACTTCTCATCAAACACTGTTAGTACTTCTAACTATAAGTTATGGGTAATAACGGTAAAAAAAGTTTCTAGACATTTCTAGAATGCCTAGTCATGCTGACATGTATACCAAGGAACTTTCTGGAGCATTTTATGAGGTTACGTAGCTATGGTGTAACACTACAAAATAGCTGTGTTTAAAAATTTCAGAATTTTCTAGAATACTTGGTATATAAGGACTCAGTCGTACAGAAGCAGTACTTGTTGCTCTAGGGAGTGACTGACGTTTCAGAAAGCTATACCAAGAGAGAGCTACTGTGGGAGATTGCTAATTTTGGAGGACTTTGGAGACAACTGTGAGATTGTGTCGGTGGTGAACTAAGATATAGTTTGCGGTGATAGTTTGTTGTAGGATTAAATAAGTTTATTTAGGATAAATACTATAATTTTTTGGAACCGCTCTTCATTCAGAATATTATACACTTAATGTATGGTCCCGAGGAAAACAGTTAGTTTTGTTTTCCTGATAGTTCTAATGTTCCCCGAGACAAACATCAGCGCTCGAGGGAAAACAAAACTAACTAGTTTCCCGAAGGACCATTCGTTAAGTTCTTTGTTATATATTTAGACTTTTCCTTAAACTATCATATGATCAGGGCCACGTGATCAAGAATCATCCGATCACAGTGCTCATTTTCTTGACTGAAAGTCTTGGCATATAACAATACAAGTTGTTTAATAAAGTAGTTGGGTTTGTCAAAAGAAAGTGTTCTTTCTGTCAGTTAAATTATACCGCACAACAAATAATACTACTAATAGTAGCAGCTAACACAAACATTCAAAGCTGTTTCTCAATGAGTAAACAGCTGAATGAGTAGATATTTGAATAAATAAGCATCTAATTTAAAAAGAAAAGAAAAAAACTCTTATTTAGCAAATTTCATAAAACAGCGATTAAAGAACATTTACACAGAGTAGACAATTTAAAGGAAAATGTCTAGCGATAGAAATGCGGAGTATCCCCATGGGCCTGGTCTTCAAATATCCCTACAACGGAGAGGCCAGCATTGAAGAGGAATTTCGACTGGCGAGAGAAGGAGTCCACTTTGTAGATGTGCCTAGCAGTTTACAACAGTGTAGAATACGTCATGCCTATTTATAAGTCAACATGATGACGAAGTGTAGGATTTAAACGGAAGAAGGTACAAAAAGAAACATTCTGAAATGCACAACTAAATTTCTCTCTACATTGCTCAAATGCGCTGGCCGAAACGCTTCAAGCTTCGACTTACTCAATATATCGCAGCTAAGACGAGCGAATACTCCAGAATAAATAATCAATTATTCCATGAGCGCGGAGAGATACTCAGAGAGTAGAATGTCTCGCTCACAGAGCACATCACTTTGACCTAGGAACGTCTCGCACTCAGACCTTTTCACCCCACCGCTCCTTCTGAAAAGCATTAAAAGTTGGAATTCAAACATTATACTTCGAAGGTGATGGTCTGCATGACGCTTTTGTAGGAGAGAGTTGTTTGTAACCTGAACACTAAACTATAGCCGTCAGCCACCGTTGGTTTTCCGATCAATTGGCGATCAACTTCATTTAAATTCACATCGAACTCTTGATCTAAGAAAACCGAGAAGAAATCCTTTGACTCCGAGTTTGTCGTCATATTAAAATAATAATACACGTTAATAAACACATGAGCGAGTTAGTCCATCAAAGTTAAAGGTATACGAAGAAATAAGACCCATCAACTGAAACGCGTAGCATGTCATTGGCGAGATGAATAAATAGCAATCATTTCCATTTCTGCATACGGACAGATGGCATACTAACTTCAGCCGCCGGTTAATAAGACAGAGGTTTGTTTAAGACAACCTTCATTTAGCAGATCTCTTAAATAAATTATCATTCTCAAGATCAGTTATGTTTGAGCTGCTTCTTTACAAAACTTGAACTGCAAGAGTATTTCAATGCCGTGAAGTTTTTCCATTGTATTAAGGAAAACAATGCTTCACATCTGGCGCAATTTGGTTTTTGTCCATTGGTCCGTTTATGACAGAAAAAAAAATGGAGACTAAAGCCATGAACATGTGATCGGAGATCATGATTTGCATTAAACTCTAAAACGTACGAAAGGCTTTTTATGAGGATGCCGCAAATCCGCAACTCTCAAGCGTGGTGAATCAAATATAAGCGTAACGGTAACTCTCAACAGCAACCTTTGATTATCTTGGGCATGGCGAAGTGGATGGTAAATGGTAATGAATCCGTCAAAATTTCCAAAACCCTTTTAACATGCTGTGTACTGGGTAAGGACGACGCTAGTTATTCCTGTTTGTTCTTAGGTAGCTATGACACCGTCGAAATTAACTTTCCAATTGTGAAATATTTATTTCGATTTTTACTCCTACGGAACTCTAATAACGAAACAAACGGAACTCTACACATGTCCTTTCTAAACTATTTATTCACCATTGAAGCAAAACTTGGGGATCTTTTTATTATCAAGATTATCGTTATTATAAGTTTCTCAATATTTTTCACTTTCCATACAATTCCAAATTATTTAAAAAATAATAACCCGGAATGACACATTCGTATAAGTGTAAAGACAGCTATTGACAGCAACCTATATTAGTATCGTGCGCTTGATGAATTGCGAGATGAGTATAACTGAGCTTTTCAATTTTTTTTTTAAAGCTGTGTGCTAGGATAGTACCAACTCAGTAATATCTTGACTTTCCATTAGCGAAACATTTATATCGATTTTGGGACGTCCTGTGAAACTCAGCCGAACCAATCTGTAAAAAAAATTGTCAGGTGGCGGTTATTTGGCACTCTTAATTAAAACAAAACATACCAGACTCTAAAGATGTCCAAATTAAACTTTTAGTTCATAACTAGAGAAGGATCTCTTGTAAATTGGATTCCTGATGCAATTTATACAGAGTAAAGCAATCAGAAAGCAAATAGCAGCGAGACATTCATGTACTTGCTCGCCAAGTTGGACGTCATGGACAATTAAAACATATTTCTCTTTTAAATTATTCTCCTTTGTACCCGAAAGCAAACTTTACACTTATCTCATTGCTCTTCTTTCACAAAAAAAAAAGAGATTTTACGGGTTCCGAAGGTTCCACGGTCTGCTGATCGATAGATTAGTAACACCCAAGAAGATGAAAATTTCCTCACAGAACTTTGGAGACCAACCCCTCAAGATTCAAATTGTGCGGAAGTTTTATTTAAGCGATCAGAATTGATACCCGATTCATTTGCTTAAAGAAACAGCCGTCGTCCGTTTTGAATTGTTGCGAACTAAAACGAAACACTGTATTTTCCTGGATGGTGCGTTTTACATTGTTTTCAATGTTAAAAGTATTTTCCACATGTAACAAGTTTTGTTCAGCCGGTTGATTAACCGCTGAGATGCTAAATTTTATAAAATTTACCCGTCTGCTCCCTGGGAAGGTAATAAAATTCATGTGCAGATGTTAAAGGGCATATAGCTAACAAAATGCATTAGCACCGTTTAACTCGAAATCTAATAAACTTTTTCATTTTTTTAAATGTTATTCTTGAGATAAGTCAATTTATCTTTTAATTTTCTCTTCTACAGCCATCCTTCATTTGTTAATGGATTTGCCAGGAACAGGTTAGTAAGTGTAATTCCAACTTTAACATTTATGCACCTTAAAATGAACGGGAAAAAAATTTAATACCTGACTGATTGTGCTAATAATTAGTCTAAGACTTCCTGTTAGAATTACATGGGATTGTGATTTAAAACGTAAGTTGGGGAGAAAAACAAAAGAGTCAAAGAATAACGGTGCTAACTCCCTGATCTCCCTAATTTCCACTTCTAAAACGTAGCCTAATTCTAATTTTTGCTTGATGTCCATCACTTGTTCTTAAAATTAATTGTATAAAAATACTTTCTCGTGTCTATCATCAGCATTATTACTTGACTGTAAATATGTGAAAGTCATACATGTGCTCTACAGTTGAAGAAGGAATATAAAAGCGATCCTTGCAGTTATGTACACAACTGAAGTAATGGTGAAATTAAAGCCTATAAATAAAAATATTCATCGTGGCCGGCTTGTTAGCTCAGTTGGTAGAGCGCTGCACCAGTAAAAAAAAAAAAGTATCGCAGAGATCATGGGTTCAAATACCGTATATAACCGTTCATAGCGGATCGAGGATCGCTCCTATATTCGTATCAGCATTATTGTTATCATCGATATACATTTTTCATTTATTTATTTATTCCTATATTTTCTTCTCATAGAGAGCCAATCAACCTATATCAAAAACTCCTCTTATATCTTTTCGAAAAGGGGAAGAGTTTGGAATAACAACAGGCGTATCTGCTCCTCTCAGAAAGGTTATTTAGTTTCCATAGAAACTGAAGAAGAATGGCAGTTTATCAATTGTGAGATTCAAAAGCATGGTACTTCGAGTGATAGTACGTGGCACATTGGTTTAGAGAAGAAAGACGGGGTTTGGACTTGGCTGAGTGGAGAACAACTGAAAATTTCGAAATGGCGAGATTCTCAGCCTAATAGTAACGACAAGTGGGCGGAAATATCTAAGAATGGAGGCCTCTTTAATGGTATCTCTACGCTCAGTAGAAATGCCTACATTTGCGAGATGCCTGGAGGTGAGATCACATTCCAACTATAAAGTATATAATGTGCTGAGACATTAGAGTCTTGCACTTGTGTCGTGAAAATTGCTCTTGCTTCTCAGAAGTAAAAATATTGTTCAAACAATATACTTAGCTCACCTGACTTGTTCATCTGAGCGATAAATGAACTTTTAAGCGCGAATTAGTAGTTGAACATAATGCCCATGAAAATTTTCCGAACACATGTTTCCAAAAAAATTGATCACTCTAGAATTGTCCTTTTATGCATCGTCTGCAGCTGGAAAAACAGCGATCGAAATCGTACGTTTCACTACTTTTGTCGAGCGCGCTACGATTTGGATAGCCTAGACAAAAAAGCGTGTTCACTGAGGTCAGGGAGTGTATGCATGTTGTTTTGAACATAAAAAACCGAAGTATTTTTATTTTTATCTTTGTGTTTGGGTGTATGTGTGTGTGTGTGTTTCTTGTACAAGTCAGTGATAAATATGTTATTCATTAGCCGGGAGGTCCGAATTGGGTAAGACTGTGCACAAGGTCCTGAGCAGCGGTATTTTGGACAGACTGCACAGTTTTTCCCAATACGGACCGACCTAGGCTGGTGAGTAACAGCTTTTTTTCCTACGCTCAACCAAATGTTTCACCCAAACGGGTTAGTGCTGTAATTACGTCTATCCCCCCCATGAACTGAACAAATTTTGAGCGAGTAAATGGTAGTTGAAACACACTGAGGTAATGCAAATTAAAGAGAGGCTTCTACGAACTTAACAACTCTTGGTACATAATTTCGGTGCGTGGAGAGTCCTGGAAAGTGAACAGATTCATCTGCAAAAACCAAGGAGGGGACCTAATTTCCATCGAAACCGAAGAAGAATGGATTTTCATCAATAACGAAAAACAAACACTAAACTAAACTCCGACTTAAACAAACACACGCAGAGCCGATGCGTGAAACAGCGAGGCAGTCCTTTCTTAGCCAGGAGAGAGATGGCTTCGACAGAACCTCCTCCGCGTCACAAATATGAGCTGATATTTACTGCACTCTACATTTCCCAAACGACAATCCTTGATTATAGCTCCCTGTAATCTAGCTATTTGACGATTTTGTTTTTCATTTGATCGTATACAATACTTTGAAGAACCAGCAACACTGCTTTTGATACTCTCAACGATTAGAAATTAGGCTTTTTTCAATTACAAAATCAGGGTTTCCTTTTTCCCAAGCTTTCCTGAAAGTGTACCCGTTAGAAAAAACAAAGAAACAAACCGTTGTTACACGAAAACTAAATAATTATACCAGAAGGCTTTTTTTTCCAGCGAGACGATCAAAGTTAAACCGAAAAATCCAAAAAGGGTCGGTAAATTTTTAGCAAACAGCGCAAGATGAAATAAGAAATTGATACGTCATACACAGTGGTTTAATAATTAATACGCGCGGATATTTTGCGAATTGCATGGCATTTTTCTTACAGATTTTTCAGCTACTTGAGAAAACTCTACAGAAAACATATCATTCTTTAGTCTACTTTTCGAAAAACATCCCAAAGCTTTATCTAAGCATCTATCACCGAAGGCGTGTGCGAACGACTAAAATAGTAGAAAGCAAACAATAAGAGTGTTCTGTTTAACCAACAAAGCATCGAATGCATTTAAGATTTTCGATCGCTCAGAGCGGCAATTTTATTACTCTACTTTCCGTCCGCATTTTTGCCCCCACAGTGTAATACTAAGGCAATTTTATCGCCCTCGCCCTCGCCCTCGCCCTCGCCGCGGCAGCAGGTATGTTTTCTAAATAGTCATTTATCGTTTTTATGCATGCCACTTTTCAGGACCTTCTCTGTGACACACATTTTTTTTTAATTCTAGGCAAAGGAGTATGTTTCAAAATTACTCGGAATAAATATTACAAGAAAGAGTTCCATACAGGTATCCAATGTTCATAACTTAAAGGCCTTTTAACTTTCATATATAAACGATAAAAAGTAATAATTATATACATAGCGAGATTTATGCGCTAAAAAGCATCGAGATAAAAATAGTCTCTTCGCGCTAGAGATGCCAGCTGATTGGTCTTACGATCTTTTTCACCAATGAAAAACGACGTATCGACGCTCTCAATGGCTATATCATTATTTTGCTGGTGAACAAAACCGTGTCGCTCGCTCGCTGTTCCTCTTGACTGACAAATAGCACATTCTGAGAGCTTAGGCACATTTTTCTGTAGAAAGATGGCTTCATATGAGGCTAACCATTTTCAGAGCCTAGATTTGTTAGTAGAAGAGTTCAGAGACAGACAGGAAAATGAAAACACCAAGAAAAAGACCAAAGACGATGTTGCTATGTTCCACTAATTTCTTGTTTTGAAAGGTGAGACGAAACAAATGGACGAGCTGACTCCTCAGGAGTCTCGGTTTTTCGCTTCTGTATTTCAAATTTAGAACTTCAGTAGAACTATTTCAACATATTTTCAGAATTTCTTATTTTATTCCAACTAGTTCTGCCTCTTAACGGCATTTTTGCTCGATAATTTAAATGTAAAGTATTTTACAAGAAGCCATTTAAATACAGCCCTCGAACAGTGAAGCGGCTTGACGGCGCGTTTTTTTCCTTAGAAAGAAAACAAAGATATGTTTATCTTTGAGTTCTGTTCGCCTATGAATCTCGTTATGTATATAATAAATAAGTTATTTGACTGTTAGTTCGCTCGTACAATTTTTTTCACTCGTTATGTGAAAATCGTACGCGCTCACCAATCGTGAAATAACCTATAAATATGTAACCTTTTCGGATAAACCACCATTCAGGCCATATGAGGTGAGAATGGTGAGGCTTAAAAAATAATCTAGTCTCCTAAAAGAGTTCTTTAGCCAATGAATACCCTGAACACCATTTGGGGCCTCCCGCTGGACTTTTTCCGCATCTTTGATATGAATTGTATATATGAGACTCGCTGGTCACTGACGTGGAATTCTCTTATGTAATTGTAGGAAGCGGTAGCTGTGTTTGAAGATTTCACCATAAAAATCAAGAACTTCACAAAAGACAAGGCCAGCATAGAAGAAGTTAAAACACTGAAAAAAATCCATCTTTGAGGTGGCAGAGGCCGTCGAAAAATTTGCTCTTAATTATAGCAAGTGACACCAGAATGGAATGAAGACTTCAGAAAGGATCGTTTCCCCAAAAATGGGTGAGGTTGCGGCACTCAATCTCGTTTAGTTTCAGAGCCTATTCCTTTGTCGCTTACTGACTCGCTGACTGACCGAATGAGTGGTCTAATTCCCTATAGCTAGATAATGTAAGAACTCAGTTATAAGCCCAACTTTTTAGAAACGTTATTGTTGGATGTCATCGATTCATTTGTTCCTTGACTTTGTTCGACACTTTGATTTATCGCGGTGGGGAAGGAAATTCAAGGTATTCTTGAACAATCAACAAGAGAGAATCGGAATCCTTGAAATTGTGAAACCCTTCGTCTCGCTCCGTTTATTGAAACTTTTCTTAAATAATAGATTGGTGAGTAACACTTTACTAACTGAAATTGACAAATCTAATAAATACTTTCCGCTTACTTCATACTATACACTGGGCTGTCTGCGATACATGTAAATGCAAGATTTTTAACTGTACATGTAAAAACCACTCAACGAACTCTATAGTTCTCCAAAGAGACGGTTCGAGGAACGAATTGAGTTTTGAAAATTTTATTCCGTCCACTGCTACTCACTTTTTCATCAGTTTTACATTGAAAAACGTTTTATAAATGGTTGAAATCGAATAGTCGTTGAAGGGCAAAAAAGATACAAACAATACACGTCCATCCAATAAGATTATGAAATATTTTTGTTCATCGCAAAACGCATATTGTGTAGATGTGCTAGTGCAAATTTCACCGTAAGTGCTTTCATTTGTCTTTTTTTTCCGACAGTTTTGGTCATTCAAAAAGCCTATCGCCAGAATGCAAGTGGCTTCCACTTTGAGGAACAACAATGGCCGGCGAGAATAGATATCACTTCTTCAAATTTTGTGGAAAATGGTTCGTATGAACTATTGTGGTAACTTTACAACTTTTAGTATTACCTTGGTTTCTCCGATCGAAATTTCTGTATTGGAATAAAGCCTCATATAAACGCGTCTCCTTAGTTTACATAGTCTATCTTCTTAAATCATTCGGCCTCCCTAAAATGTCACATACCTCAGAACCTGATAAAAATTTCAATTTTTTTTTTTTTGATCCTTGGGGGTTTAAAGGATCAATGTTGATTGCGTGTGTGTACAAGGATTTGCATGACCTACTTCTGACGGATCAAGCCTTAAGGATTGAAACAGACAACCATAGGTGCCGTTATTTTCATATTACACCATGTCGTTTACCTCCAAAAATACATATCACGGAAACACATAAGATCTAAGTTCAACTAAACTGAACTGATGAACTTTCCAAAAACCCTAACTAGGGTTGGAAGACTCCCTGCTTGTCTCTAACCATTCCACTTCATGAAAAATTGGCTTGAATCTACAAAAAATATGTAATATTGCTTCCTTGGTTCTGGTCCATTTTCAAATACAGTTTCTTCATAGGTATATCAACTCCAGGATAATGGCTGTTACTATGGACCCCAAGCCAGAGACATTGCAAGAAAATGTCATTCTAAAGTTCAAAAACCTAAAGGTAACATGAAAATTAGTTGTTATAAGTTGTTTTGATTTATTCTGACGAGATAAAATCCATTTTCAGATCTTGACAGCGGAGAAGCGCTGTACGTTTTGGAGTGGCCTCAACAAAAGGTAAAAAAACTGCAATATGTTATTGTATTGTATTTATTTCTTCTTAATTTAAATTAAGTATGGGGGAGAGTGAATGAACTTTCTCAGATTTTTTCGCGCAGATGAACACTTTCCTGGAAGCCAATATGTTGTCGTTTTTTAGAGAGAGGAAGTCTGATTGAAATGTTCTCGTAGCTATGACTACAATGGAAGAAAATCTTAGCGCAAAATTGTCAATCACCTCTTCCCCAAACTATGAAAATTTTTTAACTTTACTTTTTTTTCATGTCCGACAGCTTTTTAGAGGAAGGATGCTATGTAGTTACATCAAAAAGCAATTCAGACGAAACAATCTGCAGCTGCAATCATTTGACGCATTTTGCCGTCTTAATGGACTACGACAGTAGCAAAAAGATAAAATTATTTTTGCCTTACTCAATAATTTTATGGGCTCAATGAACTAACTTAATATTGTCATTAAATTTTTCTTTTTTTGACACAGCTCACCGAGGAGGACGAAACAATTCTGAAAATTATCACCTACGCGGGACTGAGCCTTTCCATCGTCGGGATACTTTTAACATTAATACTTTATTCTTTGCTCACGTAAGTAATGTACCTGAATAATAATGAGGTAGATTCTTAACTCTCCTTAACACGGCTGGAGAGAAGAGAGATCTCAATGCAACTCTCCACGCAAACAAAAACATGCATGTTAGATAATTCACCAATTCAAGCTACATTTCATGTCCCATCACGAACGTTTGACCAAATCATGTCTTCAGTATATTGCTGTTATTGTCGTTTTTGCTTTTGTCTAATTCGTTACTTTCTTTTTTTTTACTATTATTTCATCAGAGTTCTTTGTCAACCTCTCTTTTAAATTCGACTGAGTGTTTCTGCGTCCCTTGGAGCTGGACAGATCATCTTCCTCGCCGGAAGGACTCGCCAGTGGCCTCTCCTTCTGTCTATGGAATGAGTTTACTCTTTGCACCGTTAAGAAGTATACGAAAACTCTTTCTTTTCACAGGCTGCCTGTGTTACAATAGCAGCTCTGATGCAGTATTTCTCGATGGCCGCTTTCTGTTAGATGCTGATCGAGGGAATTTATCTCTACCTCTTCGTCATGAAAGTTTACAACATTAACACCAAGATGTACATATATCATGTCATCTCATGGGGTTAGTTTTTTTTATTTTAAAACATGCACTTGTAACTATCACTATGCTTTCGGATCGCCAAATCTAGTGTTGTCATGCAGTAAGGTGTTTCGATTTCCTTCCTTTCTTTATTGGTAGGTCTTCCAGTGATCATGGTGGCCATTTCACTTCGCATCGCTGCTGGAAAAAAAGGGTTACAAAGCTATACGAGTAATAAACAATAAGAAAAAAAAATTAACGGTTTCTTCTTGCTCTTCTCCTTTTAATTCGTTTCTATTAATTATTTTTTTTGTTTGGTTTTGCATATAGTTTGAAATCGGTATCGTTTCATTTGCTGAGGATTTGTGTGTTTTTCCTGTGTTTCATTTCTTCGAGTTTAGTTGCTGGCTTTCCTCGAATAACAACCTGATCTGGATATTCGTCGCCTTTGTGGCTTTCATTGAAGTTGTGAGTTTATGATTAGTGCTGGTGATTGTGATTGGTATACCTGGACTACTTGCTGCTAAAAATTTTTTCTCTGCTCTTCAAAAAACGAATTAAATATTAATGATATGACCCCACGCAATATTTACCATTTTCCTTTTCCTATTTACTCACAACAAACTTTGGACGTAGCTGCTGTTTATGAGAATGCTGGTCAATTTTAATTTAATGATAGCCGCTTTCAATAGCGTGTAAAATCTGTTGAGACAATGTCTTCACAGGCAAAAGATAGCTTCATAAACTCTCCATCTTTTACTACATCGTATGAGAAAAAAGATTCTTGCCCTTCCTTGTTGATGTTCTCTCACTGTTTCACATTGATATACCAAGAAATTTTTTTCGTGCAAAAATAACTCTTAAAAAACATTGAACAAGGTGAAAGAAGCACGAGGAGTAGGAGATATCAAATTTATGTCATTTAACATAAGGAACCACTTTGCATGGTTCATTCAGTTCAGACACTATAGTTCGCGATTTCTTTAGCTCATTGTCTGATAATCGAAGCTCAAAATCTAGGTCCCCCGGTTGAGAGTTCTATTCCCTGTAAATGACTCTTTATCCCAAGCTTGTTACCAAACCAGTAACGTCTCTGTAAAGGATCCTCTCCTGCTTTGTCTACTCGATAACCATCTCTAAATAATCAATTTATTTTTATTGTATTCTTCAGCTCAATATCTTGATACTCTTACGAGTCATAAAGGAGATGACCAATTTGTTGCAGCCAACAAGAGAAGAAGACCATTCTCAGCAAATACGGTACGGTTCACATCATAAAAATATAACAAAATAGTGGAAGAGGTTGCTATGTCTTCCTGTGAGGCTCTATTCGCCCAACTTCTTCATTCCCTAATCAGTAAAGCCTTACGATATCTAAAACTGAAAAATCCTTGTCAAAGGAAAATAAAGGAATGTTCTCTTTTTAACTCCTAGAATTGGCGTCAAAGCATGCGTGGTGATGATTCCCCTGCTGGGTGTCACGTGGCTATTCGGTCTCCTCTCGACTGTACATAAAGGTTTCGTTTACATCTTCACCATACTTAACTCTGCTCAGGTCAGTGTTCGATGGTAACATTCAAAATCATTCAATCAATCTCTATCATTCATTCATTCAATCTCTATCATTATTTTATTTTCTAACCAAGTAAGACATCGTTACAATGGTCACATGATATTTTTTTGGAATTTTGAAAACAAAAAGCTATTAACTAGGCAAGATAAGACAGACCTCTTTTGAATTATGAGATATGCAATTTTCCTTCTTTCTTGGAAATCTTAATAGATATTTGACTAGTTTGTTTGCATATTGTAAAAAGTAATGATCCTAATATCATGTTTCTGCTGCAGGGTATCCTGATTTTTGCTCTGCAGTGCATGGGAAACACTCAGGTAAGAAAAAACATCAAACCGATTATTAACTCCATATCATCAGTCTTTAGTGTTTCGATAGATATCCGAGTACTAGTGTTAAGAACAATATTTCATGTTGTTCGTCTATCTGCAGATCAAAGAGCGATTCAAAAGTACAGTACAATCACTTATTTAACAGCAATAAGTCAGTTACGATCGATCTGACTTGCGATCTGCAGCTGAAGAGAGGTCTTTCTTATCATTATTGTTTAAGCACTCAACTAGCTGTGATTGTAAACTATCTTCTTTAGGATTATAAGTTTATTTTCTAGGCGATGGTATATTTTCAGGCAAGATTCATCGAAATAAACCTATAAATCTATAAATTTAAATTTCTAATGGCTCAGTACCTTGATGACTGTCCTTCGACTAAGACCACAGTCTGCAACAGACGAGGCGGGAATTTTTGCCAGGAAATTACGACTCTTCTTTCTTTAAAAACCACTCTCGCACGCATCTTTAATTAAATGTATTTATCTTTTGATTCTTTCGCGCTAACTTTCTGTGCCTACTGCATGATTATTTCATATTCGACGTTTCACTTATTAAGTTTACAAACTTCTCACCCAACACTGTCATTACTTTTTACTATGGATAATAATAACTGAAGCCCAGTCATGCAGAAATGAAAAACCAAGGAACTTTCTGGAGCATTTTATTAGGTAACGTAGTTATGATGTAAATGCACTACCAATATAGTTGTGTTGTAAGCTTCCGGAATTTTTGGAAATGCTTTGTACATAAGGCCTGACAGTCGTGCAGCAGTAGTACTTGTTGTTGTCGGGAGTGACTGACTTTTCAGAAAGCTATACAGAGAGGGAGCTACTGTAAGAGATTGTTAATTTGGAGGCACTTTGGAGACAACTGTGAGATTGTGTCAGTGTTGAGCTAACAAATAGTTTTTGGTGCGCTTCTATTAGTTTATTTAAGGATAATTATTCTACTTCCTTTAAGAGTCGCTCCTTGGTAAGAATATTACAAGTTTTTTAATAAATGAGTTGGGTTTGTTGATAAATGATGTTCTTTCTGTAGGTTAAATAATAATAATAGTCTTCGCACATGACGCTCACATTCAAAGTTGTTGCTTAATGAATAAGTAGATGAATACGTAAATTTTTTAATAAATAAACAACTAATTTAGAAAGAACAGAAAAACCCTTACGATTGGATCTTTTGTGGATCAGTAACATTTACCCATTTGTTATTCGCTATTCCTAAGATAAGGAGTATCGGTTTGAATCGAAAATACATCGATTAATAGGGAATTCAACTGGGCCAATGTTAGCCGGAAATGGCATAAACCAAGAGATTATAAACTATCCGGTACATATCATTTAACAGCGATTAAAGAACTTTTACACAGAGTATACAATTTAAAGTGAGAGGCGGAGTCGAAGCGTTGAATAGGAATTTCAACAAGCCAGAGAAGGAGTCGATTTTTTACAACAGTCTAGGTTGTCATACCCATTTATAAATATACATGGATGACGAAGCGTACGATTTAGGCAGAAGAAGTAAAAAAATAATAATAATTATCCTGGAATATGCAAGTATATTTCTATCTACACCGCTCAAGTGCAATAGGTCAAAGCGCTTCAAGCTTCGATCGACTAAATACATGGCAACTAGGACTAGGGAATATTCCAGGATAAATAATCAATTATTCCTTGAGCTCAGAGAGATTAGTAGTAGAGTATAGTGTCTCGCCCACAGAGCACATTACTCTGACCCAGGAACGTCTCGCACAAAGAGCATTTGACCTCACCGCTCCTTCTAAAATGTTGGAATTCAAACATTTGAACACAAAAGCGGTGGTCTGCATGACGCTTTTGCAGGGGAGAGTTGTTTTGGAGGCTGAACATTAAACTATGGCCGTTAGCCTCCGTTGGTTTTCTGATCAAGTAACGATTAACTTTATGTAAACTCACATAGAACTCATGATCTGACATAACCGAGAAGAAATCCTTTGACTCGGAGTTTGCCGTGGTATAAAAATAATAATACACCTTAATTAACACAAGAGCGAGTTAGTCCATCACTGTTGAAGGCATACGAAGTAATTAGACCCACCAAATGAGACGCGCAGCATGTCATAGGCGAGATGAATAAAAAGGAATCATTTCCATTTATGCATACGAACAGATGGTATACTAGCTTTAGCTACCCGTTGATAAAACAGAAGTTTGTTTAAGACAACTTTCATATAGCAGAGCTCATAAAGAAACTACCATTCTTAACATCAATAACTTTTGAGCTGCTTCTTTACAAAACTTCAACTACAAAAAGTGTTTTATAATGCGGTGGATTTTTTCGATTGTATTAATAAAAACAATGCTCTACATCTGGTGGAAGCTGCTTTTTGTCCATTGGTCCGTCTATGACAGAAAGAACAAAAATGGAGACAAACGCCATCACCATGTGATCAGAGATCATGATTTGCATTAAACTCTAAATCGTACGAAGGGGTTTTACAAAGATGCCGCAAATCCGCAACTCTAAAGCGTGGTGAATCAACTATAAGTGTAATGATAACTCTCAACGGCAAACCTTTGATTATCTTGGTTACGATGAAGTGGATGATAAATGGCAATGAATCCGTCAAAACTTCCAAAACCCTTTTAACATGCTATGTGCTGGGTAAGTACGACGCTAGTTATTCCTGTTTTTTCTTAGGTAGCTATGACACCGTCGAAATTAACTTTCCATTTTTTAAATATTAATTTCGATTTTTACTCCTACGGAACTCTAATAACGAAACAAACCGAACTCTACACATGTCCTTCCTAACCTATTGGTCCCTCATTAAAGCAAAACTTGGGGATCTTTGTATCATCGACATTATCATTATTATAGGTTTCTCAATATTTTTCACTTTCCATACAATTCCAAATAATTAGAAAAAAAATTAATAACCCGAAATGAAACATTCGTATAAATGCAAAAGACAGCTATTGACAGCAACCTATATTAGTACCGTGTGCTCGATGAATTGCGAGATGAGTAAACTGAGTCCAACAAAGTGTGAATTTTTTTTTAAAAGTTGTGCGCTATGTTAGAACTACCTCAGTAATATCTTGACTTTCCATTTGCGAAACAATTATATCGATTTCGGGACGTCCTGTGAAAGTCAGCCAAACTAATCCGCGAAAAAAATTGTCAGGTGGTGGTTATTTGGCACTCTTAATTAAAACAAAACAAACCAGACTCTAAAGATGTCCGCATTAAATTCTTAGTTTATAACTGAAGAAGGATCTCTTATAAATTGGATTCCTGAAGCAATTTATACAGAGCAAAGTAATCATAAAGCAAATAGCACAAGCGAGACATTCACGCGGTGGTCATGTTGTTTGCGTCATGGTGGTCCACAAAACAGCTTTGGCAGCCATATTAAGGATGCAGGGATAGCTTAATTGCTGTCGTTTTATGTCATTATGACAAGATATCAAAATGGATAGACGTCTCCTCTTTTTATGCTTCAGATGGTTGTTGTACATTCGACGTGCTTAGACAAACGATCGAACCTAATCAACAGGGTCCACTTAAATTGGAACTAGATTAGACTGATTTCAAGTTTGATATTCGACCCTGGGGTTGGAAAAAAATGGTTGAATTGGTGTAATTTTTTCCTTCATCGTCGTACGTTAAAACATCATAACTCTTCTTGAATTTTGATAATTGATTTTCAGAATAAGCTGAGGGGTTAATATGAAGTGCACTCACAGAAACATAATTGAAATAACCCTTAAAAATATAGCAATTTTTATGTATTAAAATTCAGCAATGAACTCCTTTTTTATTTTTTGATTTATGCTCAAATGAAAAAATTGGGCTTTTAATAAAGTCCTCTATTCAGCCATGTTCAATGGATTACCCTGAAATTCTACGAGCATTACGGGCGATGATGTTACTTTACGCCTCGTGTTCCTCGTTCCAGGGTCATATACGATAAATTCCAGCCTAAAGGTTCGCTGAGAGCCTTCGGATGAGGCGTTATTCATATATTGCGGAACCCAAACCGTTTAAGCTTTAAATTATTTTTTAATTTTTAACACTCAGGGTAAATGACTGCTGACTGCTCGCCAAGTTGGACGTCATGGAAAATTTAAACATATTTCTCTTCTTTGTACCCGAGAGCAAACTTTATACTTATCTCATTGCTCTTCATATATATATATATAAAATATATATATATATATATATGGGTTCCGGAGGTTCGAAGGTCTGCTGATCCATAGTTTAGTAACACCCAAGAATACGGAAATTTTCCCACAAAATTTTGGAGACCAATCACTCAAGATTCAAATTGTGTAGAAGTGTTATTTGAGCGGTCAGATTTGAAACCCGATTCCTTCGCTTAAAGAAACAGCCGTCGTCCGTTTTGAATTGCTGCAAACTAAAGCGAAACACTATTTTTATTCTGGATAGCGCATTTTACATCCTTTTCATTGTTTTATAATTTGGTTGCACTCCGAATAACCCGTTTAAAGAATTTTCCGAAGTACATTCGCGAAGGTCTACCGTATCCTTAAAAATATTTTCCACATCTGACAATTTTTGTTCAGCTGGTTGGTAAATTGCGGAGATGCGGCATTTATCAAAATTTCTCTGTCTGCTCCCTACTAAGGTAATAAATTCGTGGGTAGATATCAAAGGGCGTGTAGCAAATAAAATGCATTAGCAACATCTAACTCGAAATCTAATAAACTTTTTCATTGTTTCAAATGTTATTCTTGAGATAACAATCAATTTATTTGCTTAATCTCTTCCACAGTCATCCTTCGTTTGTTAATGGATTTGCCAGGAACAGGTTAGGCAGTGTAATTTCAATTTTAACATTTATGCACCTTAACATGAACGGTAAAAAAAGACAATATCTGACTGATTATGCCAATAATGAGCCATAGACTTGCTGTTAGAATTACATCGGATTGTGATTTAAAACGTAAGTTGGAGAGCAAAACAAAAATTCTATGAATAACGGTGCTATTATCCTGATCTCCCCAATTTCCACTTTTAAAACGTTACGTAGCCTAACTGTAATTTTTGCTTCAATGAGGTAGAGGATTTTGATGCCCATCATTTGTTATTAAAATTAATTGTATAAAAAACACTTTTTCGTGTCCATCATCAGCATTATTCCATACTGTAAATATATGAAAATCATATATGTGCACTGCGGCTGATGAACAGTTATGAACACTACTTAAATAGTAATGAAAATGTGGCCTGAAAAAATAAATTGAGTTCCCAGTCGGCTTGTTAGCTCAGTTGGTAGAGCGCTGCACCAGTATCGCAGAGGTCATGCATTCAATTCCCGTATATAACCGTTCATAGAGGATCGGGGATCGCTTCTATATTCGTATCAGCATTATTGTTATCATCAGTATACGTTTATTTATTTATTTATTTATTCCTTTATTTTTTCTCATAGAGTGCCAAGCAACCTGTTTCAAAAATTCCTCTTACTTTTTTTCGAAAAGCGGAAGAGATTGGGATAACAACAATCGTGCTTGCTCCGACCAGAAAGGTTATTTAGTCTCCATAGAAACTGAGGAAGAATGGCAGTTTATCAATCGTGAGATTCAAAAGCGTGGTACTTGGAATGATAGTGCGTGGCACATTGGTTTAGAGAAGAAAGGCAGGGTTTGGACTTGGCTGAGTGGAGAAACACTGAATATTTCGAAATGGCGAGATTCTGAGCCAGGTGGTAACGACAAAAGGGCGGAGATATCTAAGAATGGAGGCCTCTTTAAAAATATCTCTAAGTGTAGTAGAAATGCCTATATTTGCGAGACGCCCGGAGGTAAGATCACATTCCAACCATTAAGTTAAGAATTTGTTCATGCTTAGCGTGCGTATATCTAGTTATGGATGTACGCGAGAAGTTTGGAGAGCACGAAAAATGCGTAAGAGTAGCTCGAGGCGTAGCCGTGAGCAATTGTGGCTTTTTTGAGTGCTCTCCAAACTTCCCAAGTGCATCCATAATTCGATAGACGTACAGCTAAAAGCATAAGCAAATTCTTTTGTAACATAGCGACAACAAGGATCTGCGCGAAGAAGCCTTTTATTGTGATAGAGAGCAAAATTTTCACAACGCACAAAAAAGTAAATAAACGTCCCTACTGGCTGGTCAAAGACACGGCACATTTTATACTTTGGTTTGCGTGAGAACTTTTGATCCAGTTAACCGATAACCGTGAATGAAAAGCTCAAAGTTTACGGGGAAAATGGAGAAAATCAAAGCCAAATGAACTCATAAATGAATTCCCGGTGGATCAGGACCTAAAAGGTCAATGCTGATTGAAAAATTGGGTAGTTCTTTCTTCCGTATTTCTAGGAGAAAGAAACTGCACTGCAGCTTAACAGGACAGAAATTCTGAAGCCAGGTTAAAAAGGAGAATATAAAGATTTTGTTCATAGCAGCTCAATAGGACTTGTATAGGGCAAGCACGCGCGCTATTTTATGATATATTATGTGTTGAAAAATTACAGTCTTGCAGTTGTCTTGAAATTTGGTCTTGCTTCTTAAAAGTAAAAATATTGTTCACAGAATATGCTCAGCTTACCTAACTTGTACGTGTGAGCGGTGAACGAATTTTAAAGCGCGTATTAGTAGTTGAACATACTAATTTCCGGGACACGTGTTTCAAAAGAAAAATCGAATTACCCTAGTATTGTCCTTTTTTGCATCGACTACAGCTGGAAAACAGCGATCGAAATTGTACGTTTCACAACTTTTGCCCAGCGCGCTGCGATTAGGATAATCTAGCCGACGCAATTTTCCCTTGCCACAAGTTACAAGGCATGTTCACTGAGATCAGTGAGTGTATGTATGTTATTTTGAGCATAACGAATCGAAGTATTTTATTCTTCTGTGTGTGTGCGTGTGTCTGTTTCTTGTAGTTAGTGAGAAATGTTATTTACTGTCAGGGAGGTCCGTATTGGGTAAGATTGTACCCGAGGTCTTGACCACCGGTACTTTAGGCAGAGTGCACAGTTTTTCCCAATATGGACCGACCTTGGTTGGTGAATTACAGTTTTTTCGTATACTTTACGAAATGTTTTCCAAAATACCCTAATGAGTCAGGGCTGTAATTACGGCAAGGTCCATCATGAACTGAAAAATTTTTGAGCGAGTAAGTGGAACAGCCTGAGGTAATGCAAATTAAAGAATGGCTTCACCGAAATATTTTTATTTGTGTAAAGAAAAAGGTGATTTAAAACACTTCCGAAGAGAGTTTCAAACATTTTTTGTACAAATATCTGTCACAATCTGACACCTGTCAATTAGAAAGCGCGCAAGAAAAAAACACATCCAGGCTTTAAAAAAATCAACAACAACAACAGCAGCAGCAACCTCAACGGTGCTGGTTTGGTAAACAAACTTAAGTGAAAGTAATTGTAAGTAAATTCAAGTCTATCTTTTGAAGTTGTGGGATTTTGCTCGTTTGTTTGGTGCAATCACGTGTGTAACTCTTGTGTTTCATCGAGAGGGCGAGTTTTCATGCAGCTTCTTCTCGTTGAACTCCTTCGTTATCTGTTGTGAAATTAACGTAGCAATTTTTAATTTGAACGGAACTGCAAAGACTTATCGAAAGCGTATGTGAAATATAGAAGACTTCGCTCACTGGTTTGCAAGGGACAAAACTAAAACGAACAAAATTTTCATCAATGAACTCAATTGTAAACAAATACCTCACAGTTTAACTTACTGAGTTACTTCTAATAAAGGTTTAGGTTAATCACAAACGGTTTTAGGCAGCGCGTCAACACATTTAATGACATATTTCCTACCACAATTCATTTCAAAGCCAGTTTTTTTTCCTGGCAACCAAAGTGATTTGAGAGAGAGAAAGAGAGGATTAATAAGTTATTAATCGGCTTGGTTTTAAAATGGTTATTTAGTTTTAACAACTGAGTTACGATCGCAAATTGGCCACCGTAAAGAGTTTAAAGGCTTCAAACTCCTAACGGTGGCCAATTTGTGTTTTCATCTCAGTTGTTGACACTAAATTACCTGTTATATTCTCCCACCGACGCAGCACCACAGTTTCTTTAGAAACTTACCGCCTTTATCTCTTTGAAATGATTTGCTTAAAAATACTGCTTAGCCGGCAAAACGAAATATAGTTATGAAAAATGGCAACAAAGCTAGGGATGTAGCTTGCGACTCCCGCAAGCGATACCGTGCCTGAGGGCAGAAATAGGAAATTCCGGACCGCATTATAGATCAATAAGATTTCAGGATTCGTAACTGCGCTCTCTGAGAAAAACAAATAAATACAGTTCTTTCGAGAAAGGTTGTCGGAAAAAGCGTGTCGGAAGTGCAAGCGATAACCCCGAAAGGTATTGCGGGTAGCTTTTAGGTCGTGGTTAGACTTGACCTCAGAGTTCAGGGAAAGCTAAGAAAATGTCACTTTAGGAACGAGGCATTACAGGTTTGATGAACTTATTTTATTTACAAGACTGATTTTAAATTCTAAACTGCACGAAAAACGAAAAACAGATCGAGCTAGCCCTAAATAATTTATCCTTACTTTTTTAAATACATATTAATAACCGTTTCCCAGCTAACAATTTCCAGATTGCCGCGTGCTCTTTAAATTGCTGCTCTTTTACACCTTTCCTGTAACAACTTTATACCGCTAACTGCGTATCTCCAGTTGCACATTTATAAGAACTTATATTCACATTTGATTTTACGTTTTTAAGTCTGTTCAGGTTGGAAGGGGGGGAACTTGAGGTGTCAGCTCAACGAGGAACAAATTAATATTTAAAAACTCAACTACCAAAATTACATGAATTCACAGATGATCTTAGCTAATGGGACGTTACCTAAGTCAGAAAGGTAGGTCAGAGATGGCGGACGCCGTAGTGAAGAAAGATGTATTATATCAATTGACACTGATCAACCATCATATTAAAAAAATAGGAATCAAATAAAGAATAAGTTACGTTTCCATCTCATTTATGTTTCTCCTTTATTGAGATTGTGATTATAATCATTTTATGTTATCATCATTACTATAATTATGAGTTTATTTGTCATCATTATGATATAATTAGTATTTTTGTTGTCATCTTTACCATTTTGTAGAATGCCCAAATATAACTTTTAATAACTCTTGGTACATAATTTCTGTGGATGGATGGTCCTGGCGGTGGAGCAGAGACAGCTGCCAAAGGCAAGGAGGGGACCTAGTTTCCCTTGAAACCGAAGAGGGATGGAATTTCATTAATGACGAGATTCAAAGGCGAAACACTACGAACTATGAAAATAAATGGAGTATTGGTTTAGCAAAAAAGGCCGGAAAATGGACCTAGGTGAGTGGAAGACCGCTGACTATTTGCAAATGGGGAAAAGGGGAGCCAGGAGATAGACACTACGCGGCTTTCATGTATAAGCGGTCTAGTAATGGCAAACGAGGCGTGTTTTCATAATAAACTTACGATAAAGCAGCACGCTTATATTTGTGAGATTTCCACGGGTGAGTTAATTTTTTTGTCGTTGTTGTTGTTTTTAATGTTATTTCGATTAACCTAAAGGGCGCCAGAAGTGCTTAAGCGTAATAAAAGCATTCATTGCTAAAGTTTGTGATAAACAAGACAGAATTTATATAAACCTTCTGACAATCAGGATCAAGTTTACACTTAAATTTACATAAATGAAAAGATGGTTGAAACAATCTCAGAGAAAGTTTTCATTAAATACATGTCTAACGTTTAACCACGTGATTAGAGGGAAGTTACATATGGTTCTGTTACTATCACTATTACGAGTAACAACAGTTGTGGCACTTTCAGTCATTAGTTATTTTCATGTACCGGTAGTTCATTTATCCTTCCGCTTGAATAAAATGATGGTGAATACCAATCGCAAAGAATTATTAGTCCGATTGCTTTGTTAGATAATAACGCATGATGATGTGAAGTGCGTTATCTTTTGTGAAGAGCTTGTGACTCATGTCGGTTAAGATACATGCCAATTATCACTTTATAAAATGAATGCAAAAGACTTGTAGATGTTCTTCGCATTGGGAAATCAATTTTATGGTTATTGTATTCTATTTTAATACCCGATCGTTTTGAACTGTAAATTTGTAGGGGCTGATTTCAATGCAACGCAAAATGTGCAGTGAACATAATAAACTGACCATTCTGCATCTAATCGAAATATATCGGACATTTCGGTCGAATTAGCAACGAGCACTCTTTAGTGAGGGTTAACTCAGTTTTCATACGTCACCAGAAGGTGTAGATACATTTTCTTGAGTTGGAATTTAATTGATATAATTGTAGGTCATGATCAGGATTGGGTATGCTTGAGCGTTATCTTCATAATATGACAGAAGTAAGTAATTTAGCGTATGCATTGTGAGAGAAGGAGCAGATAAAACGCCTTTGAACTTAACTTTGAACTAAAAAGTGAAACAAAAAGTTAAATGCAAACCTTTCACATCCCGATATAGAAATCTTGACCTGAATTGACGAGACTCTTGCGAAGCCCAAAAACCATTGCACTTATTAAATGAGTCCAACATTTCTGGGTAATGTCATTATTTGTGCACGGCCTCCTGATTCCATAACATCATGTACGAGAAAAGAATTCCCAAACACTGTGATTGGTGCAAGATATCAAAATGCTACGATGTAATTGGTGTCAGATACATACCCTAACGCGGCAATCTGGCTGGTGTGAGATACATACCAAAAAAGCGACAATCCAACTGCTGCAAAGTACACACCTTTGTGCAGCGATCTGATTGGTGCGAGCAACATACCACTCTACACGCAAACATAGTTATTTTCTATGACAAAAATTACCAAAAAATCATTATTTCCGGTGCAGGCGCAAAGCAGCGCTTATCTTGAATAGTAGTGCTTCTCAGAACAGAAGAATTTTATTACTTTTTGGAATAATTAATTCTTATGTATTGCAATTGTTATATTTTTTCAGCAAATCCAGCTCCTGGACAGAACTTTTCGCAGGACTCTTACACAGAATACATTGGACCACCTTGCACGCAACAATATGGTAAGAAGAGTTGGTCACTATAATGTATTTGTGATAGAAAAACACCGTTGAAGGCTAGAGTCATGTTTTCACTTACTTTTCACTAAGGTTGTTATAGTTCCTGTGCGATTCAAGTTTCGCCTTGCGTTATGCGTTTCTTTTTGCTTGAGAGAAAACACGAAACCGGCTTTTGTAAAACTAAAAACTGTAAATTTTAATTCACTCGAAGAAATGTTTACTGGATATTACATCAGGAAAAAAATCCATCTTTAAGGTGGCAGAGGCCGTCGAGAAATTTGCAAACGACACCTGAGTGGAATGAAACCTCCAAAAAGGATCGTTTCTTCAAAAATGGGTGAGCTTGCGGCCTTGAATCCTGTTTATTTCCAAAGTCTATTCCTCTGTTACTTACTGACTTGCTGACTGACCGACTGAGTTGTCTAATTTCCTAGATATTGTAAGAACTCAGGTAGAACCCAACTATTTAGAAACGTTATTGTTGATGTCATCGCTTCATCTGTTATTTTAATTTGTTTGATACTTTGATTTTTCGCGATGGAGAAGGTAATAAAAATAGTTCTTGAACAATCAACAAGAGAAAAAAGATTCCTTCAAAATTGTAAAACCCTTAGTCTTGCTCTGTTTAATGAAACTTTTCTTGAATAACAGATTGGTGAGTAATGGTCTCCATGTCGTTTACCCCCAAAGACACATAACACGGAAACACATGATCTATGTTCAGCTAAACTGAACTCAGAAACTTTGCAAACACCCTAACTGAGGTTGGGAGACTCCTTGCTTGTCTCTGACCGTTCCACCTTCATGAAGAATTGGCTTGAATCTACCAAAAGAATGTAATTTTTTTTCGTTGTTTTTGATCCATATCCGAATACAATTTCTTCATAGGTATGTCAACTCCAGGATAATGGCCGTAACTATATGGACCCCAAGCCAGAGACATTGCGAGAAAATGTCATCCTAAAGTTCAAAAACCTAAAGGTAACATGAAAATGCGTTGCTATACATTTTTTAAAATTTATTCTGACAAGATAAAATCCATTTTCAGGTTTCGACAGCAGAGAAGCGCTGTATGTTTTGGAGTGGCATCAACAAAAGGTAAAAAGACTTAAATATATTAATGTATAGTATTCATTCCTTTACATTTATTGTTTTATAGTATTCATAGCGAAGATTAACACTTTTCCTGTAAGACAGCATGTTGTGGTTTTTATAGAGGGGAAATCTGATTGAAATGTTCTCGCAACTAAGATTCTAATGGAAGAAAAACTGAGCGGAAAATTGTCAAACATCACCTCTTCCCCAAACTCTTTGTTAACTTTACTTTTTTTTCATCTCTAACAGCTTTGCAGAAAAAGGATGCCATATAGTTGCATCAAAAAGCAACTCAGAAGAAACAGTTTGCAGCTGCAATCATTTGACGCATTTTGCCGTCTTAATGGACTACGACGGCAGCACAAAGGTAATAAAGTTATTTTTGCCTTACTTAGTAATTTTTTAGGGGCTCAGTTAACTAACTCGATGTTGTTGTTTAATTTTTCTTTTTTGGACACAGCTCACCGAGGAGGACAAAACAATTCTGAAAATTATCACCTACGTGGGACTGAGCCTTTCCATCGTCGGGATACTTTTAACATCAATACTTTATTCTTGCGTAACGTAAGTAATGTACTTGAATAATAATGAGGTAGATTCTTAACTCTCCTCAACAAGGCTGGTAAGAAAAGAGATTTCAATGCCAATCTCCATGCAAACAAGAACAGTGATGTCGGATAATTCACAAACTCAAGCTACATGCCCCCACGTTTGACCAACTCATGTCTTCAATGTATTGATGTTGTTGTCGTTGTTGCTTTTGTTTAATTCATTATTTCTTTTTTTTACGATTATTTCATCAGAGATGTTTGTCAACCTCTCTCTCAAATTCGACTGAGTGTTTCTGTGTCCCTTGGAGGTGGACAGATCATCTTCCTCGCCGGAATAAACGCCACAGAAAACAAAGTCAGTGGCCTCTCCTTCTGTCTATAGAATGAGTTTACTCTTTGCACCGTAATTATCTTGTCGAAAAGAGCACGTTAAGAAGTATACGAAAACTTTTTCTTTTCACAGGCTGCCTGTGTTACAGTAGCAGCTCTGATGCAGTATTTCTTGATGGCCGCTTTCTGTTGGATGCTGATCGTGGGAATTTATCTCTACTTCTTCGTTGTGAGAGTTTACAACATTAACACCAAGATGTACATGTATCATGTCATCTCATGGGGTGAGTTTTGTATTTTAAAACATGCACTGGTAACTTTAACCATGCTTTCGGATCGCCAAATCTGGTGTTTTTATGCAGTAAAGTGTTCGATTTCCTTCCTTTCTTCATGGGTAGGTCTTCCAGTGATCATGGTGGCCATTTCACTTGGCATCGCTGCTGGAAAAGAAGGGTTACAAAGCTATACGAGTGATAAACAGTAAGAAAAAAAACGACGGTTTGTTCTTGCTGTTCTCCTTTAATTCGTGGCAATTAATTCTTTGTTTTGTTTTTGCATATAGTTTGAAATCGGTATCATTTCATTTGCCGAGGATTTGTGTGTCTTTCTTGTGTGTAATTTCTTCGAGTTTAGTTGCTGGCTTTCCTCGACTAACAACCCTGATCTGGATATTCGTCGCCTTCGTGGCTTTCATTGAAGTTGTGAGTTTATGATTTGCGTTGGTAATTGTGATTGGTATACCTGAACTACTTGCTGCTAGGCATTTTTCCCTCTGCTCTTTTAATAACGAATTAAATACTTATGATATGACCCCACACAATATTTACCATTTTCCTTTTCCTATTTACTCATAACAAACTTTGGACGTAGGTACTGTTTACGAGGATGCTGGTCAATTTTAACCTAGTGATGGCCTTCAATAGCGAGAAAAACCTGTTGAGACAAGCAAAAGATATCTTCATAAACTCTCCAACTTTTACTACATAGTATGAGAAAAAAGATCCTTGCCCTTCCTTGTTGATGTTTTCTCACTGTTTCGCATTGATATACCAAGGTATGTTTTCGAGCAAAAATAACTCTTAAAAAACATTGATCGAGATGAAAGGAGCAGGAAGAGTAGGAGATATCAAATTTATGTAATTTAACATAAGGATTCACTTTGCATATTTCACTCAGTTCAGACACTTTAGTTCGCGATTTCTTTAGCTCATTGTCAGAGAATCGAAGCTGATAATCTAGGTCCCTCGGTTGGAAGTTCTATTCCCTGTAAATGACTCTTCATCTCACGCTTATTACCAAACTAGTAACGTCTTTGGCAAGGATCCTCTCCTACTTCAGCTATGCGATAACCGTATCTAAATAATCGATTTATTTCTATTGTATTCTTCAGCTCAACATCATGATACTCGCACGAGTCATAAAGGAGATGACCAATTTGTTGCAGCCAATAGGGGAAGACGACCATTCTCAGCAAATACGGTAACATTCACAACATAAAACTAAAACAATAAAATGGAAGAGGTTGCCTTGTCCTCCCGTGAGGCTCTATTTGCCTAACCTCCTCATTGTTTAATCAGTAAGGCCTTACGATATCTAAAAATGAAAATTCATCGTCAAAGGAAAATAAAGGAATGTTTTCTTTTTAACTCTTAGAATTAGCATCAAAACATGCTTGGTGATGATTCCCCTGCTGGGTGTCACGTGGCTATTCGGTCTACTCTCGCCTGTACATAAAGCTTTCGTTTACATCTTCACCATACTTAACTCTGCTCAGGTCAGTGTTCGATGGTAATTGTCAAAAATCATTCAATCTCTATCCTTATTTTACTTTATAACCAAGTGAGACACCCTTACAATGGTCACATCATATTTATTGGAATTTTGAAACCAAAAATGCCGCTAACTATGCAAGAGAAGACAGACTTCTTTTTTCATTATAAGATATACAATTTTCTTTCGTTCTTGGAAATCTTAATAGATATTTGGCTAATTTGTTTGTATATTGTAAAGATTAATGATCTTGAAATCATTTTTTTGTTGCAGGGTTTCCTGATTTTCGCTTTTCACTGCATGCGAAACACCCAGGTAAGATAAAACATAAAACTGATTATTAACTGCATATCATCAAGTTTTAGTGTTTCGATGGATATCCGAGTACTTGTGCTAAGAACCGTATTTCGTGTTGTTCGTCTATCTGCAGATCAGAGAGCGTCTCAAAAGAAAGAGGAATATCGTTTTTCCATCTTCTATAGAGAACAACTCCACAAGGAAGAGCTCACAGGTCAATCCAAGTGAGGTTGGGGATGTATGGGAAGTTGAATTGCAATCCTGTGCTGAGTTTGAATAGAATTCGAACTTAAATAACTAGATCCAGCCAGAAGGAAGTGACGGTCAATTATTTGGTATAGTCACTTAGTTACCAGCAGTAAGTCGGTTACGATCGATCTGATTTGCGATCTCGAGCTAAAAGAGGTCTTTCTTTTCATTATTGTTTAAGCACTCAACTAGCTGTAATTGTAATCTATCTTCTTTTGGATTATAAGTACATTTTCTCGGCGATCGTATATTTGCAGGCAAGATTTATCGAAATAAACCAATCTATAAATTTAAATTTTTATTGGCTCAGTACCTTGATGACTGTCCTTCGACTAAGACCACGGTCTGCTACAGACGAGGCGGGAATTTTTGCCAGGAAATTACGACCCTTCTGTGCTGTATTCGATTTACGTTTACATTAATTCAGCCTCGCTTCCGTTCATGATTCGATGTATGATCACTTCCGGTAATGGCGACGACACATGTTAGAAATTATTAAAAGTTCTGTGTTGAAATCCAAGAATATATCTCCGTTTCTCGTGCCATCCGAACACCACATGGTGTCAGAAGTGAACAAGAAGATATAAACTGTGTCCAGAACGGATATTGAGCGATCAGTGATCAGGAATTACGCGGAAATATGGCTACGAATCTTCCACCACCGAAAGCTCTTTGTCTATCGGGAAATGCAAGTGAGAATTTCAAGTTGTTCAAGCAGCAGTACGAATTATATGTGAACGCCATTGGATTATCTACTGCCAGTAAGGAAAGGAGAAGTGCTATACTGCTAAATCTCGCAGGTGAGGAGGCGCTGAAAATCTACAATGGCTTCACATGGGCTCCAGCTGTAGGTGACCCTGAAGGGGAGGAACATGTACCAGCAGAGGACAAACTGGATCCGGAATTAATTCTGGAGAAATTCCAGAGGTTCTGCACGCCGAAAACAAATGTTACTTATGAACGTTACAAGTTTCACAGGTATACGCAATCAGAAGGTGAGAGTTTCGATAATTTCTTATCACAAATTAACACTCTCGTGTCTACGTGTGCCTACGGTGAACTAAAGGACGATTTTGTCAGAGATAAGATCGTATTGGGTATAAATAGTGATAAGGTCAGAGCACGGCTGTTGAGAGATGGTGAACTGACTTTAGAAAAAGCGATAAATGAGTGTAGAGCAGAAGAATGTTCTGGAAGGTGGGCTCAGGATATAAAAGGAGAGACTTCTAAAGTGCAGGCAGTTCAACATAGGCGGAAAGGAGGCCCTCGTGACAAGGGACCACGTAGTAACGGGCAGCAAAGAAGTGCATCAAATTGCTCCCAGGCGTCGAATAGCCGGTCATGCCGGTGGTGTGGAAAGGAGGTGCACCCCAGAGAAAGATGCCCTGCAAAAAGACAGTAAATGTAACAAGTGCAAACGCCCAGGACATTGGGGCAAGGTCTGCAGGAGTAGTAAAGGAAAAGGGTCTGTACAAGAGGTAGCAGAAGTGCAGTCTGACTCAGATGAGTACTACTTCTTAGGAAGCATCAGTGATGAAAGTTACTCTATTGAGAGTATCAACAACAGGAAACGTAGGAGTGCATGGTTTACGGAAGTCCAGGTGTCAGGTCAGAGCCTGAAATTTGCTGTTGATACTGGAGCAGATGTGACAGTCATTTCCAAAGCTGTGTATGATACACAGTTTTCACACTTCATTTTGCAGAAGCCTGACAGGCCTCTTAGTGGCCCAGATCAAAGCAACCTTTCAACTCTTGGATTCTTTACTGCAGAACTAAAGAAAGGTGATCAGACAATCACAGAGGATATATATGTGTTCCCCAAAGGCTCTCTATTGCTAGGTAGAGACGCTTGTGCAGATCTAGGTGTCGTTAAGTTCATTGGAAAAGTTACGTCAGATCCTATCCAGTCAGCGGAGTTCGGATCAATGTTCAAAGGCTTAGGAAAGCTAGAAGGAGAATATAAGATTAAGATCGAGCAAAACGCAGAGCCATACAGTGTGATGACTCCCAGGAGGATATCTATTCCACTACTTCCTCTAGCCAAAGCTGAACTTGACAAGCTTATCGAGCTAGATGTTATAGAACGGTGCACAGAACCATCGGAATGGTGTTCTCCTATGGTCGTGGTGCCTAAAGGAAATGGCAAAGTGAGGATCTGTGTGGATCTCACGAAGCTTAACGAAGTAGTGAAGAGAGAAAGAATCATGCTCCCCACAGTGGATTATACAATTGCTCTGATGGGAGGTGCTAAGTTTTCTCTAAACTGGATGCCAATGCGGGCTTCCACCAAATCTGCTTGGATGAAGATTCAAGGAAACTGACCACGTTCATCTCACCATTTGGTCGATTTCGATACAAGCGAATTCCCTTCGGTATCAAATCTGGCCCTGAGAAGTTTCAGAGTGAGATCTACCGAATACTAGGTGGTCAACAAGGTGTGGTATGTCTCATGGATGACATTGTCGTGTTCGGAAAGAACCAGGAGGAACATGACGAGAGACTCGTACAGACATTAACACGGCTGAAAGCAGCAGGTGTCACCTTGAATAAGGATAAGTGCCAATTCAGCAAAAGCCAGATTGACTTTCTAGGTCATCGGATCGGAGTTAATGGTGTGGAAAGCTCTCCAGAGAAGGTTGAGGCTATATTGAAAATGCGTGCTCCAGAGAATGTGAGTGAGGTAAGAGGTCTGATGGGTACAGTGAACCAGCTCATGAAGTTTGTACCCAACCTTGCTACTATGACACAACCTCTACGTGAACTCTTGAGCTCTCACAGTGCATGGTGCTGGGGTCCAGCACAGGAACAGGCTTTTAAAGAGATTAAACAATGCTTGACGAGCAGCCCAGTGTTGCAAATATATGATCCTTCACTAGAGACCAAGGTGTCAGCAGATGCGTCTTCATACGGACTTGGTGGAGTGCTTTTGCAAAAGCACGGTGACAGGTGGGCGCCAGTGGCGTATGCGTCCAAAAGCCTTCTGGATGTAGAGAAAAGGTACGCCCAGATTGAAAAGGAGGCCTTGGCTAGTACCTTCGCATGTGAACGATTCACAGATTACATTCTGGGAAAGGATATTATACTAGAGACTGATCATAAGCCTCTTGTACCACTGCTATCCACGAAGGAGTTGGATCAACTACCCGTACGTATTCAACGAATGAGAATGAGGCTCATGAGATACTCGTTCACACCTGTTCATGTGCCAGGAAAACTGTTGTACACTGCCGACACGCTATCCCGTTCTCCAACACCAGCCAAATCAGGTGATTCATTTCATGAGGAAGTGAACTTATATGCTCATCAAGTCATAGCTGGAATGCCTATCAGTGATAGCAAATTAGATGATATTATGATCCATCAACAGGAGGATGAAGCATGCAGGCAAATTATGAACTATGTAGCTGAAGGTTGGCCTGAAAAACATAATGTCAAGGGTTTAGTCAGCCCTTATTTTGCTCATAGAGCAGAGCTGACAGTGGTTAAAGGGCTGTTGATGATGGGACCTCGAGTCGTTATACCATCGTCTATGAAATTGGAAGTCCTGGATAAGATCCACGACGGTCACCAAGGGATTGTCAAGTGCAAGGCATTGGCCAGAAACACAGTGTGGTGGCCAAGCATGATGAAGAATATAGAGGAGTTAATTGAAAACTGTCGCAAGTGTCAGTCTAACAGGAAAAATCCTCCAGAACCTCTAGTTCCTACCATGCTCCCACAACGACCATGGCAATACATAGCCACTGATGTCTATGAACTCAATAAAAGACTGTATTTAGTAATGATTGATTACTACTCCAGATGGATAGAGGTAGCTAGTCTGAGTTCAACCGCCTCAGCAGAGGTCATAGACAGGATGAAACGTGCATTTTCCAGATTCGGAATTCCAGATCAAGTAAAATCTGACAATGCCAGCTACTATACATCAAGGGAATTTAAGATGTTCACTTTAGATTACGGGTTTCGACATGTCACTAGCAGCCCAGGTCATGCTTCAGGCAACGGTGAAGCAGAGAAAGCAGTGCAAACAGCTAAACGTCTCCTAGCTGGCTCTCAAGATCCTTATCTTGCTTTGCTACAGTATAGAGCGACACCATTGGCTAATGGTTATTCTCCAGCTGAGCTAATGATGTCAAGGAGGCTAAAACCAAAGTGCCGGTGGCCCTGTCTCAGCTGTCCCCAAACCTTGTGCAGAATCATGCCCTACGTCAGTTTGAAGACAATCACAAAACCAAACAGAAGCTGCACTTTGACAGAAGGCATTCAGCGAGGCCTCTTGTTCCCTTAGAGAAGGGAGATGAAGTGATGGTACAAGACAGAGGACAGTCTGGAATAGTAGTGGAGAAGTGCACACCTCGTTCTTATGTGATCCATACGGACACTGGGTCATATAGAAGGAATAGAGTACAGATCAACAAGATACCACCCCACCCCCAGCTGCAGCTACAGCTCCAGCCAAACCCACACCGGTGCCAGTACCTCCATCACCTAAACTTCCTTCACCCCAAACAGCTAACACTGCAGAAGGAACTGGCACATCAAAAGTGTACACCAGATCTGGCCGTCAATCTAAGCCCTCATCTAGATTGAAGGATTATGTGCCATAAGTGAAGTTATACTTTCTGGCCAGATTTTCTCTGGTTTCTCAGACAGAAAGTCATAACTATGAACGCGTATTCTAGTGTGTGTGAGACTTAGTGCAGAGACAAACGACAATAGCTACCCAGGATGTGTTTCTTAACAAAATGACGATTACTTGAGGACATTTGATTGACGTTGTTTTGATTTTGAATTTCACGCTAGATAAGAAACAAGTATGTCTAAGTAGTTTCTCTTTTATTATCTTAAAGGGGGAGATGTGCTGTATTCGATTTACGTTTACATTAATTCAGCCTCGCTTCCGTTCATGATTCGATGTATGATCACTTCCGGTAATGGCGACGACACATGTTAGAAATTATTAAAAGTTCTGTGTTGAAATCCAAGAATATATCTCCGTTTCTCGTGCCATCCGAACACCACACCTTCTTTCTTTAAAAACCACTCTCGCACGCAGCTTTAATTAAATGTATTTATCTTTTGATTCTTGCGCGCTAACTTTCTGTGCTTACTGCATGATTATTTCATATTCGACGTTTCACTTATTAAGTTTACAAACGTCTCATCCAACACTGTCATTACTTTTTACTATGGATAATAATAACTGAAGCCTAGTCATGCAGAATTGAAAAACCAAGGAACTTTCTGGAGCATTTTATTAGGTAACGTAGTTATGATGTAAATGCACTCATATAGTTGTGTTGTAAGCTTCCGGAATTGTTGAGAATGGTTTGTACATAAGGCCTGACAGTCGTGCAGCAGTAGTGCTTGTTGTTGTCGGGAGTGACTGACTTTTCAGAAAGCTATTACGAGAGAGAGCTACTGTGGAAGATTGTTAATTTGGAGGCACTTTGGAGACAACTGTGAGATTGTGTCAGTGTTGAGCTAAGGAATAGTTTGTGGTGGGCTTCTATCAGTTTATTTAAGGATAATTATTCTACTTCCTTTAGGAGTCACTCCTTGGTAAGAATATTACAAGTTGTTTAATAAATTAGTTGGGTTTGTTGATAAATGATGTTCTTTCTGTCGGTTAAATAATAATAATAGTCTCAGCACATAACGCTGACATTCAAAGTTGTTGCTTAATGAATAAGTAGATGAATACGTAAATGTTTGAATAAATAAACAACTAATTTAGAAAGAACAGAAAAACCTCTTATGACTGGATCTTTTGTGGATCAGTTACATTAACCCATTTGTTATTCGCTATTCCTAAGATAAGGAGTATCGATTTGAATCGAAAATACATCGATTAATAGGGAATTCAACTGGGCCAATATTAGCCGGAAATGGCATAAACCAAGAGATTATAAACTATTCGGTACACATCATTCAACAGCGATTAAAGAACTTTTACACAGAGTATACAATTTAAAGTGAGAAACGGAGACGAAGTGTTGAATAGGAATTTCAACAAGCCAGAGAAGGAGTCGATTATTTACAACAGTCTGGGTTACGTCATACCCATTTATAAATATACATGGATGACGAAGCGTACGATTTAGGCGGAAGAAGTAAAAAAAAATTATCCTAGAATATGCATGTATATTTCTATCTACATCGCTCAAATGCAATAGGTCAAAGCGCTTCAAGTTTCGATTGACTAAATACATCGCAACTAGGACTAAGGAATATTCCAGAATAAATAATCAATTATTCCTTGAGCGCATAGAGATTAGTAGTAGAGTATAATACCTCGCCAACAGAGCACATCACTCTGACCCAGGAACGTCTCGCACAATGAGCATTTGACCTCACCGCTCCTTGTAAAATGTTGGAATTCAAACATTTGAACACAAAAGTGATGGTCTGCATGACGCTTTTACGGGGAGAGTTGTTTTGGAGGCTGAACATTAAACTATGGCCGTTAACCTCCTTTGGTTTTCTGATAAAATAACGATTAACTTTATGGAAACTCACATCGAACTTATGATCTGAGATAACCGAGAAGAAATCCTTTGAATCGGAGTTTGCCGTGGTATAAAAATAATAATGCACCTTAATTAACACACGAGCGAGTTAGTCCATCACTATTGAAGGCATACGAAGTAATTAGACCCATCAAATGAAACGTGCAGCATGTCATAGGCGAGATGAATAAAAAGGAATCATTTCCATTTATGCATACGAACAGATGGCATACTAGCTTTAGCTGCCCGTTGATAAAACAGAAGTTTGTTTAAGACAACTTTCATATAGCAGAGCTCATAAAGAAACTACCATTCTTAACATCAATTACTTTTGAGCTGCTTCTTTACAAAACTTCAATTACAAAAAGTGTTTTATAATGTGGTGGATTTTTTCGATTGTATTAATAGAAACAATGCTCTACATCTGGTGGAAGCTGCTTTTTGCCCATTGGTCCGTCTATGACAGAAAGAACAAAAATGGAGGCAAATGCCATGACTATGTGATCAGAGATCATGATTTGCATTAAACTCTAAATCGTACGAAGGGGTTTTACGAGGATGTCTCAAATCCTCAACTCTAAAGCGAGGTGAATCAACTATAAGCGTAACGGTAACTCTCGACGGCAACCTTTGATTATCTTGGTTACGATGAAGTGGATGATAAATGGCAGTGAATCCGTCAAAATTTTCAAAACCCTTTTAACATGCTTTATGCTGGGTAAGTACGACACTAGTTATTCCTGTTTTTTCTTAGGTAGCTATGACACCGTCGAAATTAACGTTCCATTTTTAAAATAGTTAGTTCGATTTTTACTCCTACTGAGCTCTAATTACGAAACAAACCGAACTCTACACATCTCCTTTCTTACCTATCGGTCCATCATTAAAGAAAAACTTGGGGATCTTTGTATCATCGACATCATCATTATTATAGGTTTCTCAATATTTTTCACTTTCCATACAATTCCAAATAATTTAAAAAAAAAATTAATAACCCGGAATGACACATTCGTATAAGTGCAAAGACAGCTATGCAGGAACACAATAGCTTAATTTCTGTCGTCTTAAGTCACTATGACAAGATGTCAAAAGGGAAAGACGTCTCCTCTTTTTATGCTTCAGATGGTTGTTGTACATTCGACGTGCTTAGACAAACGATCGAACTTAATCAACAGGGTCCACTTGGCACTAGATTAGACTGATTTCAAGTTTGATATTCGACCGGTGGGTTGGAAAATAATGGTTGAATTGGTGTACTTTTTCCTTAATCATCGTACGTTAAAACATCATAGCTCTTCTTGAATTTTGATAATTGATTTTCAGAAAAAGCTGAGGGGTTAATATGAAGTGCACTCACAGAAACATAATTGAAATAACCCTTAAAAATATAATATTTTTTATGTATTAAAATTCAGCAATGAAATCCTTTTTTTTCTTTTTTGATTTATGCTCAAGTAAAAAAATTGGGCTTTTAATAAAGTCCTCTATCCAGTCGTGTTTAATGGATTACCCTGAAATTCTACGAGCATTACGGGCGATGATGTTACTTTATGCCTCGTGTTCCTCATTCCAGGGTCATGTGCAATAAATTCCAGCCTAAAGGTTCGCTGAGAGCCTCAGGATGAGGCGTTATTCATATATTGCGGAACCCAATCCATTTAAGCTTTCAAATTATTTTTTAATTTTTAACACTCGGGGTAAATGACTGCTGAGTGCTCGCCAAGTTGGACGTCATGGACAATTTAAACATATTTCTCTTCTTTGTACCCGAGAGCAAACTTTATACTTATCTCATTGCTCTTCATATATATATATATATATATATATATATATATATATATATATATATATATATATATAAAAAAAGAAATATATATATATATATGGGTTCCGGAGGTTCCACGGTCTGCTGATCCATAGTTTAGTAACACCCAAGAATATGGAAATTTCCTCACAAAATTACGGAGACCAATCACTCGAGCTTCAAATTGTGCAGAAGTGTTATTTGAGCGGTCAGATTTGAAACCCGATTCCTACGCTTAAAGAAACAGCCGTAGTCCGTTTTGAATTGCTGCAAACTAAAACGAAATGCTATTTTTATTCTGGATAGCGCATTTTACATCCTTTTCATTGTTTTATAATTTGGTTGCACTCCGAATAACCCGTTTAAAGAATTTTCCGAAATACATTCGCGAAGGTCTACCGTATCCTTAAAAATATTTTCCACATTTAACAATTTTTGTTCAGATGGTTGGTAAATTGCGGAGATGCGGCATTTATCAAAATTTCTCTGTCTGCTCCCTACTAAGGTAATAAATTCGTGGGTAGATATCAAAAGGCGTGTAGCAAATAAAATGCATTAACACCATCTAACTCGAAATCTAATAGACTTTTTCATTGTTTCAAATGTTATTCTTGAGATAACAATCAATTTATTTGCTTAATCTCTTCCACAGTCATCTTTCATTTGTTGATGGATTTGCCAGGAACAGGTTAGGCAGTGTAATTTCAATTTTAACATTTATGCACCTTAACATGAACGGTAAAAATAGATAATATCCGACTGATTGTGCCAATAATGAGCCATAGACCTCCTGTTAGAATTACATCGGATTGTGATTTAAAACGTATGTTGGAGAGCAAAATAAAAATTCAATGAATAACGGTGCTATCACCCTGATCTCCCCAATTTCCACTTTTAAAACGTTACGTAGCCTAATTGTAATTTTTGCTCCAGTGAGGTAGAGGATTTTGATGCCCATCATTTGTTATTAAAATTAATTGTATAAAAAACACGTATTCGTGTCCATCATCAACATTATTACATGATTGTAAATATGTGAAAATCATATATGTGCACTGCGGTTGATGAACAGTTATGAACACTACTTAAGTAGTAGAGAAAATGTGGCCCGAAAAAAAAAATTCAGTTTCCAGTTGGCCTGTTAGCTCAGTTGGTAGAGCGCTACACCGGTATCGCAGAGGTCATGCATTCAATTCCCGTATAGAACCGTTCATAGAGGGTTGAGGATCGCTTCTATATTCGTATCAGCTTTATTGTTATCATCAGTATGCGTTTTTTTCGTTTATTTATTTATTCATTTATTCTTTCTCATAGAGTGCCAAGCAACCTGTTTCAAAAACTCCTCTTACTTTTTTTCGAAAAGCGGAAGAGATTGGGATCAAAACAATCATGCTTGCTCCGCCCAGAAAGGTTATTTAGTCTCCATAGAAACTGAGGAAGAATGGCAGTTTATCAATCGTGAGATTCAAAAGCGTGGTACTTCGAATGCTAGTGCGTGGCACATTGGTTTAGAGAAGAAAGGCGGGGTTTGGACTTGGCTGAGTGGAGAACAACTGAATATTTCGAAATGGCGAGATTCTGAGCCAGGTGGTGACGACAAAAGGGCGGAGATAACTAAGAATGGAGGGCTCTTTAATATTATTTCTTCGCCTAGAAGAAATGCCTATATTTGCGAGACGCCCGGAGGTAAGATCACATTCTAACCATAAAGTTAAGAATTTGTTCATGCTTAGCGTGCGTATAACTAGTTATGGGTGCACGCGGGAAGTTTGGAGAGCACGAAAAATGCGTAAGAGTAGCTCGAGGCGCAGCCGATAGCAACTCTAGCTTTTTGAGTGCTCTCCAGACTTCGCAAGTGCATCCATAATTCGATAAACGCACGGCTAAAAGCATGAGCAAATTCTTTTATAACAGAGAGACAACAAGGATCTACGCCAACTGAACGCATGAATGAATTCCCAGTGGATCAGGACCTGAAAGGTCAATGCTGATTGAAAAATTGGGCAGTTCTTCGCTGGTTTCTTCCGTATTTCTAAGAGAAGGAAACTGCACTGCAGCTTAACAGGACAGAAATTCTGAATCCAAGTAAAAAAAAAAAAAAAAGCTCTCGTCATCTTATTTACGCACGGGCGTGCGTAAAAAAAAGGTTTTGTTCATAGCGGCTCAATAGGACTTGTATAGGGCAGGCACGCGCGCTATGTTATGATATATCATGTGCTGAAAATTACAGTCTTGCAGTTGTGTCACGAAAATTGCTCTTGCTTCTTAAAAGTAAAAATATTGTTCACAGAAAATGCTCAGCTCACCTAACTTGTACGTGTGAGCGGTGAACGAATTTAAAAGCGCGTATTAGTAGTTGAACATACTAATTTCCGGGACACACGTTTCAAAAGAAAATTTGAATTACCCTGGTGTTGTCCTTTTTTTGCATCGACTACAGCTGGAAAACAGCGATAGCAATCGTACGTTTCACAACTTTTGTCCAGCGCGCTGCGGTTAGGATAATCTAGCCGACGGAATTTTCCCTTGCCACAAATCGAAGTATTTTATTTTTCTGTGTGTGTGTGTGTGTGTGCGTGTGTGTGTTTCTTGTAGTTAGTGATAAATATTATTTACAGACCGGGAGGTCCGTATTGGGTAAAATTGTGCCCGAGGTCTTGACCACCGGTACTTTAGGCAAAGTGCACAGTTTTTCCCAATATGGACCGACCTTGGCTGGTGAATAACAGTTTTTTCGTATACTTTACGAAATGTTTTCCAAAAGAACCCTAATGAGTCAGGGCTGTAATTACGGCAAGGTCCTCCATGAACTGAAAAATTTTTGAGCGAGTAAGTGGAGGTAATGCAAATTAAAGAATGGCTTCACCGAAATATTTTTATTTGTGTAAAGAAAAAGGTGATTTAAAAGACTTCCAAACAGAATTTCAAACATTTTTTGTACAAATATCTGTCACAATCTGACACCTGTGAATTAGAAAGTGCGCAAGGAAAAAACACATACACGCGTTAAAAAATCAACAACAACAACAACAACAGCAACAACAACCACAACGGTGCTGGTTTGGTAAACAAACTTAAGTGAAAAGTAATTGTAAATTCAAGTCTATGTTTTGAAGTTGTGGGAATTCGCTCGTTTGTTTGGTGCAATCAAGTGTGTAACTCTTGTCTTTCATCGAAAGGGAGAGTTTTCATGCAGCTTTTCCTCGTTGAATTCCTTCTGTATCTGTTGTGAAATTAACGTAGCAATGTCTAATTTGAAGGGAACTGCAAAGAGCTATCGAAAGCGTATTTGAAGTATAAAAGACTTCGCTCACTGGTTTTCAAGGGACAAATTTTTTGAGAATTCACATATAAAACGAATAAAATTTTCATCAATGAACTCAATTGTAAACAAATACCTCACAATTTAACTTTCTGAGTTACTTCTAATAAAGATTTAGGTTAATCACAAACGATTTTAGGCCGCGCGTCAACCCATTTAATGACATATTTCCTACCGAAATTCATTTCAAAACAAATTTTTTTCTTGGCTACCAAAGTGATTTGAGAGAGAGAAAGAGAGGATTAATAAGTTATTAATCGGCTTGGTTTTCTTTAAAATGGTTATTTAGTTTTAACAACTGGGTTGAAATCGTAAATTGGCCACCGTAAAGAGTTTAAAGGCTTCAAACTCCTAACAGTGGCCAATTTGTGTTTTTATCTCAGTTGTTAACACTAAATTATCTGTTATATTCTCCCATCGACGCAGCACCACAGTTTCTTTAGAAACTTACGCTTTTATCTCTTTAAAATGATTTGCTTAAAAATACTGCTTAGCCGGCAAAACGAAATATAGTTATGAAAAATGGCAACAAAGCTAAGGATGTAGCTTGCGACTCCCGCAAGCGATACCGTGCCTGTGGGCAGAAATAGGAAATTCCGGACCGCATTATAGATCAATAAGATTTTAGGATTCGTAACTGCACCCTCTGAGAAAAACAAATAATAAATACAGTTCTTCCGAGAAAGGTTGTCGGAAAAAAGCGTGTCGGAAGTGCAAGCGATAACCCCGAAAGGTATTGCGGGTAGCTTTTAGGTCATGGTTAGACTTGACCTCAGAGTTCAGGGAAAGTTTAGAAAATGTCACTTTAGGAACGAGGCATCACAGGTTTGATGAACTTATCTTATTTACAACACTGATTTTAAATTCTAAACTGCACGAAAAACGAAAAACAGATCGAGCTAGCCCTAAATAATTTATCCTTACTTTTTTATATACATATTAATAACCGTTTCCCACCTAACAATTTCCAGATTGCCGCGTGCACTTTAAATTGCTGCTCTTTTACACCTTTCCTGTAACAACTTTATACCGCTAACTGCGTATCTCCAGTTGCACATTTATAAGAACTTATATTCACATTTGATTTTACGTTTTTAAGACTTTTCAGGTTGGAAAGGGGGGGGGGGGAACTTGAGGTGTCAGCTCAACGAGGAACTAATTAATATTTAAAAACTCAACTACCAAAATTACATGAATTCATAGATGATCTTAGCTAATGGGACGTTACCTAAGTCAGAAAGGTAGGTCAGAGATGGCGGACGCCGTAGTGAAGAAAGATGTATTGTATCAATTGACACCGATCAACCATAATATTAAAAAAATAGGAATCAAATAAAGAATAAGAATAAAATAATCTCATTTATGTTTCTCCTTTATTAAGATTGTGATTATAATCATTTTATGTTATCATCATTACTATAATTATGATTTTATTTGTCATCATTATGATAATTAGTATTTTTGTTGTCATCTTTACCATTTTGTAGAATGCCCAAATATAACTTTTAATAACTCTTGGTACATAATTTCTGTGGATGGATGGTCCTGGCAGTGGAGCAGATACAACTGCCAAAGGCAAGGAGGGGACCTAGTTTCCTTTGAAACCGAAGAGGAATGGAATTTCATTAATGACGAGATTCAAAGGCGAAATACTACGAACTATAAAAATAAATGGAGTATTGGTTTAGAAAAAAAGGCCGGAAAATGGACCTGGGTGAGTGGAAGACCGCTGACCATTTACAAATGGGGAAAAGGGGAGCCAGGAGGTAGACACTACGCGGCTTTCATGTATAGGCGGTCTAGTAATGGCAAACGAGGCGTTTTTGGCAGTTTTCATGATAAATTTACGATAAAGCAGCACGCTTATATTTGTGAGATTTCCACGGGTGAGTTAATTTTTTTGTCGTTGTTGTTGTTTTTAATGTTATTTCGATTAACCTAAAGGGCGCCAGAAGCGCTTAAGCGTAATAAAAGCCTTTCTTTGCTAAAGTTTGTGATAAACAAGACAGAATTTATATAAACCTTCTGACATGTTTAACCACGTGATTAGAGGGAAGTTACATATGGTTCTGTTACTATCACTATTACGAGTAACAACAGTTGTGGCACTTTCAGTCATCAGTTATTTTCATGTACCGGTAGTTCATTTATCCTTTCGCTTGAATAAAATGATGGTGAATACCAATCGCAAAGAATTATTAATCCGATTGCTTTGTTAGATAATAACACATGATGATGTGAAGTGCGTTATCTTTTGTGAAGAGCTTGTGACTCATGTCGGTTAAGATATATGCCAATTATCACTTTATAAAATGAATGCAAAAGACTTGCAGATGTTTTTTCGCATTGGGGAATCAATTTTATGGTTATTGTATTCTATTTTAATACCCGATCGTTTGAACTGTAAATTTGTAGGGGCTAATTTCAATGCAACGCAAAATGTGCAGTGAACGTAATAAACTGACCATTCTGCATCTAATTGAAATATATCGGACATTTCGATCGACTTAGCAACGAGCACTCTCTAGCGAGGGTCACCTCAGTTTTCATACGTCACCAGAAGATGTATATACATTTTCTTGAGTTGGAATTTAATTGATGTAATTGTACTTCAGTGATTGGGTATGCTTGAGCGTTATCTTCATAATATGACAGAAGTAAGTTATTTAGCGTATGCGTTGTGAGAGAAGGAGCATATAAAACGCCTTTGAACTTAAAAGTGAAGCAAAAAGTTAAATGTTCTTGACCTTAATCGACGAGACTCTTGCGAAGCCCAAAAACCATTACACTTATTAAATGAGTCCAATATTTCTGGGTGATGTCATTCTTTGTGCACGGCCTCCTGATTCCATAACATCATGTACGAGAAAAGAATTCCCAAACGCTGTGGTTGGTGCAAGATATCAAAATGCTACGATGTAATTGGTGTCCGATACATACCCTAACGCGGCAATCTGGCTTGTGTGAGATACATACCAAAAAAGCGACAATTAAATTGCTGCAAAATACACACCTTTGTGCGGCGATCTGATTGGTGCGAGCAACATACCACTCTACACGCAAACATAGTTATTTTTTCTGAAAAAAAAAAAAAAAATCATTATTTCCGGTGCAGGCGCAAAGCAGCGCTTATCTTGAATAGTATGTTTCTCAGAACAGAAGAATTTTGTTACTTTTTGGAATAATTAATTCTTATGTATTGCAATTGTCATATTTTTTCAGCAAATCCAGCTCCTGGACGGAACTTTTCGCAGGACTCTTACCCAGACTACGATGGACCACCTTGCACGCAACAATATGGTAAGAAGAGTTGGTCACTATAATGCATTTGTGATAGAAAAAAACCGTTTTTACTCGAAAACTTGAAGGCTAGAGTCATGTTTTCACTCATTTTTCACTAAGGTTGTTACAGTTCCTGTGCGATTCAAGTTTCGCCTTGCGTTATGCATTTCTTTTTGCTTGAGAGAAAACATGAAACTGGCTTTTGTAAAACTAAAAACTGTAAATTTAAATCCACGCGAAGAAATTTTTATTGGCTATTACATCAGGAGATCATATAGATGCAAGCTTTCAAGTGGATATCTCGGAAAACACACATTTCAAGGCCTGGACAAGGAACCTCCCAATCATTTTCTCTCGCAATGCCCTAATTAACAAATCCATCAAATTATTCAAATATAAGCGCTGAATTAAACCTTTTACCGGCGTGACGGGTAAGGTTAAACCAAAAATCCCAAAAGGAGCCGTAAATTCATCGGAAACAGTTCAAAATAAAATAAGAAATGAAAACGTCATACTTAGTGGTTTAACAATAAATACGCGCGAATATTTTGTTATTTGCCTGGCATTTTTCAGGCCCCGTAGGGGCAAGTTGAAATGCCAAAAACTGGGCAAATAAGTACCCCTATTAGTTGTTAAACTAGTAATTCAGGGATGTATTATTGAACTATTTTTTCATTACTAGTATTTTCGAAAAACATCCTACAGCCCTATCTGATAATCGATCATACAAGACGTGTGCGACAGACGAAAATAATGTATAGGAAACAATAAGAGTGTTCTGCATAAGCAATAAAAAGCTTGAGTGCATTTAAGAGTTTTGATCGTTCATGGCGGCCATTTTGTTACTCCGCTTTCCGTCCGCATTTTTGCCCTTACAGTGTAATACTAAGGCAATTTTTTTGCATGATGTGGTCTCGATTAACATTTTTCTTTAAAGATTCATCATTTGCAACCTCGCCATCGCCATTTCCATCGCCATCGCCATCCCCATCGCCATTGTCGTCACCATTGCTAGTTCAGCAGCTGGTATGTTTTCTAAAAAGTAATTTACCGTTTTTATGCATGTCGCTTTTCAGGATCTTCTCCGTTTACAAATGTGACGGACATTAATTTTTATTCCAGGCAAATGAGTATGTTTCAAGATTTGGCGGAATAAATATTACCGAAACGACTTCCATACAAGTATGTAATTTTCATAACTTAAAGGCGTTTTAACCTTGATATATGTTTTTTAAACGATAAAAAGTAAGTATCTGACCTTTAAGTAGAAACCACCATTAAGCCATATGAGAGAAAATGATGAGGCTTAAAATTTAATCCAGGCTCCTAAAAGAGTTCTTTAGCCAATTAATACCCTGGACACCATTTGGGGCCTCCTGCTAGACTTTTTTCGCGTTCTTAATATTTATTGTACATTTGAGACTGGCTGGTTAATGACCTGGAAATATTTTATGTAATTGTAGGAGGCTGTAACTGTGTTTGAAGATTTCACCTTCAAAATCAAGAACGTCACAAAAAACAAGACCGATATAGAAGAGGTTAAAACTCTGAAAAAATCCATCTTTAAGGTGGCAGAGGCCGTCGAGAAATTTGCTCTTAATTATAGCAAACGACACCTGAGCGGAATGAAACCTTCAAAAAGGATCGTTTCTTCAAAAATGGGTGAGCTTGCCGCCTTGAATCCTGTTTATTTCCAAAGTCTATTCCTCTGTTACTTACTGACTTGCTGACTGACCGACTGAGTTGTCTAATTTCCTAGATATTGTAAGAACTCAGGTAGAACCCAACTATTTAGAAACGTTATTGTTGATGTCATCGCTTCATCTGTTATTTTAATTTGTTTGATACTTTGATTTTCCGCGATGGAGAAGGTAATAAAAGTAGAGAAAAAAAGAATCCTTCAAAATTGTAAAACCCTTAGTCTTGCTCTGTTTATTGAAACTTTTCTTGAATAACGGATTGGTGAGTAACACTTTACTAACTGAAACTGTCAAATCCTACAAATACTCTCCGCTTACTTCATACTATACACTGAGCTCAAAGTTGGCCGATCGTCTGCGATGCATATAAATGCAAGATTTTTAAACGTACTCTTAAAAACTCCCTAGAGACCTCTATAGTTCTCCAGGAACGAATTGAGTTTTGAAAATTTTTAGTCCGTCTAGTACTACTCGCTTTCTCATCAGTTTTACATTGAAAAAACGTTGTAAAAAGTTTAAAATCGTCGAGTAGTCGTTGAAGGAAAATAAGATACAAACAATACACGTCCATCCAATAAGATTATGAAATATTTGTGTACAGCACTAAACGCATGTTTGTGTAGATGTGCTATTGTAAATTTCACCGTAGGTGCTTTCATTTGTCATTTTTTTTTTAACAGTTTTGGCCATTCAAAAAGCCTATCGCCAGAATGCAGGTGGCGTCCACTTTGAGGAACAACAATGGCGAGCGAGAATCGATATTGCTTCTTCAAATTTTGAGGAAAATGGTTTGTGGTAACTTTACAACTTTTAGCATTACTTTGGTTTTTCTCCAATCGAAATTTCTGAATTGAAATAAAGTATCAGGTAAATGGGCTTCCTTAGTTTACATAGTCTATCTTTTTTAATCATTCACACACCTCAGAGCCTGTAAAAATTTCAACTTTGTGGTTTTTTGCAAATGTTGTTGTTTGATAACTTTTTTTGTTGATTCTTGGGGGTTTTAAGGAACATTGCTAGTTGTGTTTGTGTACAAGGATCTGCATGACCTACTTCTGACAGATCAAGCCATAAGGAGTGAAACAGACAACCAAAGGTGACGTTATTTTCTTATTACTCCATGTCGTTTACCCCCAAAGACACATAACACGGAAACACATAAGATCTATGTTCAGCTAAACTGAACTCAGAAACTTTCCAAACACCCTAACTGAGGTTGGAAGAGTCCCTGCTTGTCTCTGACCGTTCCACCTTCATGAAAAATTGCTTGAATCTACCAAAAGTATGTAATTTTTCTTCCTTGTTTCTGATCCATCTCCGAATACAATTTCTTCATAGGTATGTCAACTCCAGGATAATAGCCGTAACTATGGACCCCAAGCCAGAGACATTGCGGGAAAATGTCATCCTAAAGTTCAAAAACTTAAAGGTAACATGAACATTCGTTGCTATGCATTTTTTTAAATTTGTTCTGACAAGATAAAATCCATTTTCAGGTTTCGACAGCAGAGAAGCGCTGTATGTTTTGGAGTGGCCTCAACAAAAGGTAAAAAGACTTAAACATATTAATGTATAGTATTCATTCCTTTACATTTATTGTTTTATAGTATTCATAGCGAAGATTAACACTTTTCCTGTAAGCCAGCATGTTGTGGTTTTTATAGAGGGTAAGTCTGATTGAAATGTTCTCGCAACTAAGATTCTAATGGAAGAAAAACTTAGCGGAAAATTGTCAAACATTACCTCTTCCCCAAACTCTTTGTTAACTTTACTTTTTTTTCATCTCTAACAGCTTTGCAGAAAAAGGATGCCATATAGTTGCATCAAAAAGCAACTCAGAAGAAACAGTTTGTAGCTGCAATCATTTGACGCATTTTGCCGTCTTAATGGACTACGACGGCAGCACAAAGGTAATAAAGTTATTTTTGCCTTACTTAGTAATTTTTATGGGCTCAGTTTACTAACTCGATGTTGTCGTTTAATTTTTCTTTTTTGGACACAGCTCACCGAGGAGGACAAAACAATTCTGAAAATTATCACCTACGTGGGACTGAGCCTTTCCATCGTCGGGATACTTTTAACATTAATACTTTATTCCTGGCTTACGTAAGTGATGTACTTGAATAATAATGAGGTAGATTCTTAACTCTCCTCAACAAGGCTGGTAAGAAAAGAGATTTCAATGCCAATCTCCATGCAAACAAGAACAGTTATATCGGATAATTCACAAACTCAAGATACATGCCCCCACGTTTGACCAACTCATGCCTTCAATGTGTTGATGTTGTTGTCGTTGTTGCTTTTGTATAATTCATTATTTCTTTTTTTTTACGATTATTTCATTAGAGATGTTTGTCAACCTCTCTCTCAAATTCGACTGAGTGTTTCTGTGTCACTTGGAGCTGGACAGATCATCTTCCTCGCCGGAATAAACGCCACAGAAAACAAAGTCAGTGGTCTCTCCTTCTGTCTATAGAATGAGTTTACTCTTTGCACCGTAAATATCTTGTCGAAAGAGCACGGTAAGAAGTATACGAAAACTTTTTCTTTTCACAGGCTGCCTGTGTTACGGTAGCAGTTCTGATGCAGTATTTCTTGATGGCCGCTTTCTGTTGGATGCTGATCGAGGGAATTTATCTCTACTTCTTCGTTGTGAAAGTTTACAACATTAACACCAAGATGTACATGTATCATGTCATCTCATGGGGTGAGTTTTGTATTTTAAAACATGCACTGGTAACTGTAACCATGCTTTCGAATCGCTAAATCTGGTGTTTTTATGCAGTAAAGTGTTCGATTTCCTTCCTTTCTGTATGGGTAGGTCTTCCAGTGATCATGGTGGCCATTTCACTTGGCATCGCTGCTGGAAAAGAAGGGTTACAAAGCTATACGAGTGATAAACAGTAAGAAAAAAATCGACGGTTTGTTCTTGCTCTTCTCCTTTAATTCGTGACAATTAATTCTTTGTTTTGTTTTTGCATATAGTTTGAAATCGGTATCATTTCATTTGCTGAGGATTTGTGTCTTTCTTGTGTCTCATTTCTTCGAGTTTAGTTGCTGGCTTTCCTCGACTAACAACCTGATCTGGATATTCGTCGCCTTCGTGGCTTTCATTGAAGTTGTGAGTTTATGATTTGTGTTGGTGATTGTGATTGGTATACCTGAACTACTTGCTGCTAGGCATTTTTTCCTCTGCTCTATTAATAACGAATTAAAGACTTATGATATGACCCCACACAATATTTACCATTTTCCTTTTCCTATTTACTTATAACAAACTTTGGACGTAGGTACTGTTTACGAGGATGCTGGTCAATTTTAACCTCGTGATGGCCTTCAATAGCGAGAAAAACCAGTTGAGACAAGCAAAAGATAGCTTCATAAACTCTCCAACTTTTACTACATAGTATGAGAAAAAAGATCCTTGCCCTTCCTTGTTGATGTTTTCTCACTGTTTCGCATTGATATACCAAGATATGTTTTCGAGCAAAAATAACTCTTAAAAAACATTGATCAAGATGAAAGGAGCAGGAAGATTAGGAGATATCAAATTTATGTAATTTAACATAAGGATTCACTTTGCATATTTCACTCAGTTCAGACACTTTAGTTCGCGATTTCTTTAGCTCATTGTCAGAGAATCGAAGCTGATAATCTAGGTCCCTCGGTTGGAAGTTCTATTCCCTGTAAATGACTCTTCATCTCACGCTTATTACCAAACTAGTAACGTCTTTGGCAAGTATCCTCTCCTACTTTAGCTACGCGATAACCATATCTTAATAATCGATTTATTTCTATTGTATTCTTCAGCTCAACATCATGATACTCGCACGAGTCATAAAGGAGATGACCAATTTGTTGCAGCCAATAGGGGAAGACGACCATTCTCAGCAAATACGGTAACATTCACAACATAAAACTAAAACAATATAGTGGAAGAGGTTGCCTTGTCCTCCCGTGAGGCTCTATTTGCCTAACCTCCTCATTGTTTAATCAGTAAGGCCTTACGATATCTAAAAATGAAAATTCATCGTCAAAGGAAAATAAAGGAATGTTTTCTTTTTAACTCTTAGAATTGGCATCAAATCATGTGTGGTGATGATTCCCCTGCTGGGTATCACGTGGATATTCGGTCTCCTCTCGCCTGTACATAAAGCTTTCGTTTACATCTTCACCATACTTAGCTCTGCTCAGGTCAGTGTTCGATGGTAATTGTCAAAAATCATTCAATATCCATCCTTATTTTACTTTACAACCAAGTGAGACACCGTTACAATAGTCACATCATATTTATTGGAATTTTGAAACCAAAAATGCCGCTAACTATGCAAGAGAAGACAGACTTCTTTTTTCATTATAAGATATGCAATTTTCTCTCGTTCTTGGAAATCTTAATAGATATTTGACTAATTTGTTTGTATACTGTTAAGATTGATGATCTTGAAATCATTTTTATGCTGCAGGGTTTCCTGATTTTCGCTCTTCACTGCATGCGAAACACCCAGGTAAGATAAAACATCAAACTGATTATTAACTGCATATCATCAAGTTTTAGTGTTTCGATGGATATCCGAGTACTTGTGCTAAGAACCGTATTTCGTGTTGTTCGTCTATCTGCAGATCAGAGAGCGTCTCAAAAGAAAGAAGAATATCGTTTTTCCATCTTCTATAGAGAAAAACTCCACAAGGAAGAGTTCACAGGTCAATCCAAGTGAGGTTGGGGATGTATGGGCAGTTGAACTGCAATCCTGTGCTGAGTTTCAATCGAATTCGCATTTAACTTAAATAACTAGATCCAGCCAACAGGGAATGACAGTCAATTAGTTAATATAGTGAACAGCAGTTAGTCGGTTACGATCGATCTGACTTTCGATCAGCGGGCAAAAAGAGGTCTCTCTTCTCATTATTGTTTAAGCATTCAACTCGCTGTAATTGTAACCTATCTTCTTTATGATTATAAGTTTATTTTCTAGAAGATCGTATAGTTGTAGGCAAGATTCATCGAAATAAACCAATCTATAAATCTAAATTTCTAATGATTCAGTATGTTGATGATTGCCCTGCGAATAAGACCGCAGTCTGCTACAGACGAGGCAGGAATTTATACCAGGAAATCACGACTCTTCTCTCTTTAAAAAGCACTCTAGTACGCAACTTTAACTTAATGTATTCAACTTTTGATTCTTGCGTGCTAACTTTCTGCGCTTACTGCATGATTGTTTCATAGTGTACGTTTCACTTACTGAGTTTACGAACCTCTCTTCAAACACTGTCGTTACTTAACAATTAGCTTTGGATAATAACTGAAACTATAAGTTCCTAAAAATTCTAGAATGCTTTGTCACGCTGATGTTCATACCAAGGAACTTTCTGGAGCATTTTACTAGGTTACGTAGTTATGATGTAACACTACCATTATAGTTGTGTTGTAAGCTTCCGGGATTTTCTAGAATACTTTGTATATAAGGACACAGTCATGCAGCAGCAGTACTTGTTGTTGTCGGGAGTGATTGACTTTTCGGAAAGCTATACCGAAAGAGAGCTACTATGGAAGATTGTTAATTTAGAGGAACATTGGAGACAACTGTGAGATTGTGTCAGTGGTGAGCTAAGACATAGTTTTTAGTGGGCTTTAATAAGTTTATTAAGAACAAATATACTTCCTTTTGGAACCGCTCCTCATTAAGAATATCACAAGTTGCTTAATAAAGTAGTTGGGTTTGCTTGAAAATAGTGTTCTTTCTATCAGTAAAATTATACCGAAACAAATAATTCTAATAGAAGTGGCAGCTCACGCTGACATTGAAAGTTGTTGCTTAATTAAGAATTAGCTAGGTGAATACGGAAATGTTTGAATAAATAAACCAATAACTTAAAAAGAACAGAAAAAACCCCTTATGACTGGATCAGCTACATTTACCCATTTTTTTTCCCACAAGATAAGGAGTATCGATTTGAATCGAAAAAACATCGATTGATTTGGAATTAAATTGGGGCAATATTAGGCGGAAATGGCATAAACCAAGAGATTATAAACTATACGGCATACATCATTAAACAACGATTAAAGAACTCTTATACAGAGCATACAATTTCAAGGAAAAAGCTTAGCGATAGAAATGCGGAATTTTTACATGGGCCAGGTTTTCAAATATCAATACAACGGAGATGCTGGCATTGAAGAGGAATTTCAGCCAGTGAAAGGAGTCAATTATGTAGATGTGCTTAACGGCTAAATACAGTCTAGACTACGTCATGCCTATTAATAAATCAACATGGATGTCGAAGCGTTCGTTTTAGGCGAGAGAAGGCACAAAAAGGAGCATTCTCGAATGCACAAGTACATTTCTCCCTACACCGCTCAAATGCGATAGGTCAAAACGCTTCAAGCTTCGATTGACTTAATATATCGCAGCTATAAGACGAGCGAATATTCCAGAATAAATAATCAATTATTCCATGAGCGGGGAGAGATAAAAGGAAAATAGAATATCTCACCCACAGAGCACATCATAATGACCCAGAAACGTCTCGCATTCAGACCTTTTCAACCCATCGCTCCTTCTTTAATGTTGGAATTCAAACATTTGGTCACAAAAGAGATGGTCTGTAGGACGCTTGTGTATGGGAGAGTTACTTTGTTGGCTGAACATTAAACTATGGCCGTTAGCCTCCGTTGGTTTTATAATCAATCAACGATCAACTTTATTCAAATTCGCATCGAACTCGTGATCTAAGAAAACCGCGAAGAAATCCTTGCTATGAAAATAATAATACATGTTAATTAACACATGAAAGAGTTAGTCCATCAAAGAAGAAGACATATGAAGTAATTAGACCCACCAACTGAAACGCGCAGCAAGTCATCGGCGAGATGAAGAAATAATAATCATTTCCACTTATGCATACGAACCGAAGGCATACTAGCTTTAGCTGCCAGTTCATAAAACAGAAGTTTGTCTAAGACGAAGTTTATTTAGCAGAGCTCACAAAAAATTACCATTCCTAATATCAATTATTTCTGAGCTGCTTCTTCACAAACTTGAACTGCAAAAAGAATTTTAATTTTCGATTGTATTAGAAAAACAATGCTCCACGGCTGGTGGAAGTCGCTTTTTGTCCATTGGTCTGTATATTACAGAAAAAAAAAATGAAGACTAACGCCATGAATCATCATTTGCATGATGAAATGGATGATTAATGGAACTCAATCCGACAAAATGTTCAAAATCCCGGTAATATGTTGTGTGTTGGGTAAGTATGACTCCAGTTATTCCTGTTTGTAGCTGTAGCTGTGACACCGTCCAAATTGACTTTCCTTTTGTGAAATATTTATCTAGGTTTTTTTAACATACGGAATTCTAACAACGAAACATACCAAACTCTACACATGTCATTTCTAAATCATCTGTTAATCATTAAAGCACAACTTGGGGATCTTTGTATTATCATCATTATTATTAGTTTCTCGATATTTTTTATTTTCTACACAGTGCCAAATAATTGGAAAATAATCAGCCAGAATAACACATTCGTATACGTGTAAAGACAGCTATCAATAACAATAACCTATAATAGTATCATGTGCTTGATGAATTGCGTGATGAGTACAACTGAATCCGAAAAAGTGTGCAAAACTTCTTTTAAAAAGTTGTGCGTTGGGTTAGTACCACCTTAATTGTATTTTGATTTTCCTTTTGCGAAATATTTACATCGATTTTGTTACATCCTTTGAAATTCGACCAAACCAAACCGAGAAAAATGTAAGCTGCTGGTTATTTAGCACTCTTAATCAAAACAAAACAAACCAGACTCTAAAGATGTTCGCATGAAACTCTTAGTTTACAATTAGAGAATGATCTCTTATAAATTGGATTCCTGACGCCTTTTAGATTCCATACAGTGCCAAGTAATCAGAATGCAAGTAGCACAAGCGAGACATTCATGCGGTGGTCATGTTGTTTGCGTTATGGTTGTCTGCACAACAGCTTTGGCAGCCATAATTAGGATAACAGGAACACAACAGCTTAGCTGCTATCGTTTTACGCCACTATGACAAGATGTCAAAAGGAAAACATGTCTCCTCTTTCTATGCTTCAGATGGCTGCTGAACGTTCGACGAGCTTAGATAGGCGATCCAACTTACGACGCAGTCTCTCTATAAAAGGTCTGATACGTTTCGGGTCGAAGAATCGATTTCTTTCAAACATTGCAATGTAATCGAAACCACCATGTTTTTTTCAAAATCGCTTAATCGCTCAAACGCCGGTTTTTAACAACACCAATTATCAAAAATGGCACAAATTGCTGAGCTCGTCTTTCCTCAATATTCTAGTTCAAGGGTTTTGTTTCTAAATAAATGACATGAAATTTTCTGAATAAACCTGAATCTTGCCATAGCTATCCTGGCTTCTTAAGTTTTTCCCCTTTCTCATTAATTGAGTGCTAAACAAAACAATAGGTCGCCTAGACCTATGCTCTTCTTGTACAAAAAAATATATGGGTTCCGGAGGTTCCGCGGTCCGCAGATCCATAGCTTAGTAACGCCCGAGAATATGGAAAAATCCTCATTCCATTTTGGAGACCAACCCCTCAAGATTCAAATTGTACAGGAGTTTTAATTGAGCGGTCAGATTTGATACCCGATTAATTCGCTTAAAGGAACGTCGTCCGTTTTAAATTGAGCAAAAAAAATTTTTTTTCCCTCCGGATAGCACATTTTACAAACTTTTCATTGGTTTATAGTTTGGTTGCACTCCGAATGGCCCGATTAAAAATTTAAAGGAAATTCGCGAAGGTGTACCGTATTCTTAAAAATGTTTTCCACATGCAACAGGTTTTGTTCAGCTGGTTAGTAAATTGCAGGGATGCTGCATTTTTTTTATAATTTCTCCGTCAGCTCTCTAGGGAAGGTAATAAAAGTCATGGGTTGATGTTATAGGGCATGTAGCAAATAAAATGCATTAGCACTCTCTAACTCCAAATCTAATAAATTTTTTCATTTGTTTCAAATGTTATTCTTGAGATAATACTCAATTCATTTGCTCATTTTCTTTTCTACAGTCATCCTTCATTTGTTCATGAAATTTCCAAAAACAGGTGAGGCAGTTAAGTTACGTAAATGTTAAATGGACTTACATTTACGTAACTGAACTCTAACCTTTGCTTCAGTGATGTGGAGTGCTTTGATACCCATCGTTTCTTACTTTAAATTAGAAATATAAAAACCATTTTCTCGTCTCCATCATTATTGTTATCATCAATATACGTTTTTTCGTTCCTTTATGTATTCGTTTATTTTTTCTCTCATAGAGTGCCAACCAACCTGTTTCAAAAACTCCTCTTACACATTTTCGAAAAGCGGAAGAAATTGGTTTTTCAACAGCGTTGTCTGCTCCACCCTGGGAGGTTACTTAGTTTCCATCGAGACTGAAGAAGAATGGAATTTTATCAATTATGAGATTCAAAAGCGTCGTACTTGGAATACTAGTGCGTGGCACATTGGTTTAACGAATAAAGACGGGCTTTGGGTCTGGAAGACTGGAGAACAAATGAATATTTCGAAATGGCGAGATTCTGAGCCAGATGGTAACGACACATGGGCGGAAATATCCAAGAATGGAGGCCTCTTTAATGGTATCTCTCGGGGTGATGAAAAAAATGCCTACATTTGCGAGATGCCCGGAGGTAAGATCACATTCCAACCATAAAGTACATTTATGTGCTGAAACATTACAGTCTTGCACTTGTGTCATGAAAATTGCTCTTGCCCCCTAAAAGTTAAAATATTGTGCTAGTAGTTGAAGATAATGCCCATGAAAATTTCCGGAACACATGTTTCAAAAAAAAGTTTTTCCTTTTTTGCATCGCCTGCAGCTGGAAAACCGCGATCGAAATTGTACTTTTCACCACTTTTGTCGAGCGAGCTGCGATTGGGATAATCTAGCCAAAGGAATTTCTCTTCACCACAAGTTACAAGGCGTGTTCACTAGGGTCAGAGAGTGTATTATATTGTTTGGAACATAACGCACTGAACTATTTTTGTTTTGTGCGGCGTGCACGAGTGTGTGTTTGTGTGTCTCTTTTACAAGTCAGTGATAAATATGTTATTCACTGGGTAAGACTGTGCTCAAGGTCTTGCGCACCAGTACTTAAGACGGAGTGCACAGTTTTTCCCAAAACAGACCGACCCTGGGCTAGTGAATAACAGCTTTATTTTTTCTTAAACTTAACGAAAATGTTTTCTAGAGAACCCAAATGAGTTAGGGCTGTTATTACAGCAAGATCCTTCATGAACTGAACAGTTTTTTTAAATGGTTTTTGTAAATGGTAGTTGAAACAGATTGAGTTGATGCAAATTAACGGGAGGCTTCGCTGCAATATTTTTATTTGTGTAACGAAAAAGGTGATTTAAAAGATTTCCAAACAAACTTCGAAAAACTATTTTTTACGAGTATCTGTCACAATCTGACACCTGTCAATGGAGAGTGCTTTAGAAAAAAGCACATGCACGCTTCAAAAAAAACCTGTGTATCTCCAGTTGTACATATACGAGAACTTGTATTTACATTCAATATAGTTTTTTGAGTCTGTTCGAATTGGGGAAGAAGAATAGGGGGAGGGGTGGGGAAGGTGTCAGCATAACTAGGAACTGATTAATATTTAAAAACTCAACTACCAAAATTACATGAACTCACAAATGATCCTAGCTGATGCGAAGTTAAATAATTTTGAAAAGCAGGTCAGAGATGGTGGACGCCTTAGTGAAGAAAGATGTATTGTATCAATCGACACTGATCAAACATAAACTGCAGATGTTACAAAAATGGGAATTTTATAGAGAATAAGTCACGTTTTCTATTTCATTTATTTTTCTTGTTTATTGAGATTGTGATTATAATCTTTTTATGTTACCATAAATTATCATAATTATGTTTATAATTATCACTTTGGTTATCATCATTATTATAATTAGTCTTTTGCTTTTCCTCTTTATCATTTCGTAGAATGCCCAAATATAACTTTTAAAAACTCTTGGTACATATTTTCGGTAAAAGGATTATCCTGGCTCTTGAACAGAGAAACTTGCCGAAGCCAAGGAAAGGACCTAGTTTCCATTGAAACCGAAGAGGAATGGACTTTCATCAATGACGAGATTCAAAGGCGAAAAGCTACATGCAGTAGCTCTATACATATGTGGAGTATTGGTTTAACAAAAAACGCCGGGAATTGGACCTGGGTGAGTGGAAGACCGCTGACTATTTGTAAATGGGAAAAAGGGGAGCCAAGTGGTGAAAACGATGCAGCTTTCATGTACAAGCGGTCCAGTCGTGGCGAACGGGGCGTTTTTGGCAGTGGTGGTAGAATTTGGGGACAAACTTATATTTGTGAGATTTCCATGGGTAGGTTGTTTTTTTGTTTTTGTTGTTGTTTTGTTTTGTTTTTTTGTTTGTCCGTGTTATAACATTATTTTGAGTAAACTAAAAGACAGCAGAAACGCTTAGGCGTAATAAAAACATTCTTTGCTATCCTTTGTGATACTCACGAAAGGATTTATATAAACCCTCTGATAGTCAGGATCAAGTGAATGATTGCATTTGCATGAATGAAAATATGTTTTAAAACAATCTCAATGAACGTTTACACGATATACATGTTTAACTTTTAACGGCTTAGCTAGTGAGCAGAGGAAAGTTACACAGGTGGTTCTATTACGATCACTCTTACGATTAACAAAAGTTATGAAACTTTCAGTTATCGGTTATTTTCATGTAGTTAGTTTATCCTTTCGATTGAAAAAAATGATGGTGAATACCAATTACAAAGAATCATCAGTCCAATTGTTTTGTTAGATAACAGTGCATGATGATGTGAGGTGTGTTATCTTTTGTGAAGAGCTAAGGACTCATGTCGGTTAAGATACAAGCCAATAATCACTTTATAAAACTAATTAAAAAGACATGCAGACTTAATTGTTCTTCGCATAGGGGAATCACTTTTATGTTAATTGTATTCTATTTTAATATCCGATCGTTTGGAAAGCTGTAGGGGCTAATTTCAATGCGATGCAATTTGTGCAGTGAACATAATAAACTGACCATCCTGCATCTAATTCGAATATGGCAGACATCTCGATTGACTTAGCAACCATTACGCTATAGCGAGGTTAGTAAGGGTTATCTCAGTTCTCATTGGTCACCAGAGGGCGTAATACATTTTCTTATTTAACAAATAGTCAATACTGAGTTGGAATTTAATTGATGTTCTGCTTACCAAAAAGATAAACATAGGCATGCGTGGCATGCAAGAGTTATTATTTTGTTGGGAGGGTTGAGATGGGACACTTTGTGTACCTAACGCTTTCAGTTTGTTTTTTTTTTTACAGAAAAAGAGCATAACTTTCAAAAAAAACTATATCGCATTACTTCACCTTAAGAGAAACAATCTAAATTGTCTGAACTGACACAGGTATTTTGTGGTCTATCGTCTGTATTGTCTAAAAACCTCAGACAGACTTGCTGGTGCTCTACTACTCTGCTGTCGAGTTGCACTTTGGCCTCCTCTATTTTTTTTGTCTTACTCAAGATGACTGTTGTTGTACCTTTGTCTGTTTTTTTGAGGTTTAAAGCAGAATTGTTTTTCAACTCTTTCAGAGCCGTGACCTTATTGCGTGACAAATTATCTCCCTATCTTTGGCTAAAAGCCTACATTTTAAAGTGTGTCTACGCTCTATGCGTCTTATGCTTTACTTTTTTTTACTTCCACTGTTGTAAAAGCTAGCTTTTGAGGAGTCTGAGAACACATTGTATTCCATCTCTTTCATTTGCAAGTGTATAAATAGGCTCTCTAAGGTCAGAAATCACATTCCTTCATTGGGCTATTTTATCACTGTTTTTTACAATGTTCGTCGAGTGCTTTCCTTTGAGCGGTTGCCCATTTACCTGTTTGTACTTACGAGCTGAGAGTTCGTAGTTAGCCCTCTTTCTTTGGCTCTCAGCCTTCTTTTGTGAAAGTTAGTCAAGGCATTAGCTAAGCCTTGTTGACCTTGTTGTTTTCTTTTACTTCGAACAATATGTTCGTTATTCCTTTATAATACTAATTAGTTGTTATTAAACTTCACTTTAATTGCCTCATATTCATGTTGAAAACGTCCATGGTATTGTCTTCAAAGAAGAGAGGAGGCTTTTCAAACTAATTAGATAAATGTTTATATTTCTTTTTGTTCTTTTCATCCTTTCGTCATCAGAAGAATCATTAACAGTACCATCACCAACATGGACAGCATTACCAACCTACACAGCATCACCAACATGGACAGCATCACCAACATACACAGGATCATCAACAAGGACAGTATCGACAACAATGACAGTTTTACCAACACCGACTTCATTATCGTCATCAACAACTGAAGGTTGCTTATTTTCCAAAAGTTAGGCTTTTTCCAATTTCACATGGCATCTTTTCAGCTTTTTTGGAGTGTTAAGCACTATGATACATTTTGAGCACACCTGAAAATAAACTTTTCGTCGTTCTTCTTTTCTTACAGCGCCTTTTTCATGCCACCCTTTTCTGGAGCGAGGGTTTTGTCTTAAAAGTGTGGGAAGGACAGTATCCAATAGTCTAATTCGTGTTTTTGACAAACGCTATTGTAGCTGTTTCATAACGGAACATAAACGGGTATACAAGAGAAACTCTTGTATTTTGAGTAGGGGGTATTTCTTGAGGTAATATTACAATGGTTCCATGTTAGAAACTTAACCCGAAAAGCAATCTGAAAATGTCTTTTACTGGCTACTACAGCTTTGCCGAAGCACACTGATGACAAAGCAGAACCATTCTGATTAACAGTAAGCTAAGTTTAGAAAGTGACAAACTTTTCATTTTGTTGCAACGGCTTTTAGGTAAGACTCAGGACCTTGTTGCAGCCATTTCCGGCGGCGCTGAGGTGATTCGAGGACTCCAAGAAAACGTCACGTTGGATGGATCACCCTCATATGACCCTGAAGCTGCACATGATGACCAATCGGGAATGAACTTTACTTGGCATTATGGTAAGATCACAAGGAATTACTCCTTTGTGCTGGAAACAAAGAGAGATTTCTTTACAGAGGTAAACGAGTCAGCTTTGCAATATAATGGAAGAGCATCTGGCGTGCAAATTTCCTTGGATACAGGGGCTATGTCTCTTGGTGATATCTGCATAGTTAGACTGGTTGTGACCAAAGACTATCGCAATGCTAGCGTTTATCAAATCATCCACTTTTCGAAAGGAGATCCCCCTAAAATCGATCAAAGGTAAGAAATTTAGCGTGTTGTTGATGCTATTGCTGCTGTTGTTTGTTATTTTCGTTGTGACTGAAATCCCGATTTATTTTCCTATTTTCTTATTGTTGTTACTGCTTCAGTTGTTGTTGTTGCTGTTGCTTTTGCCATAGCTGTTGTTTCTCTTGTTATTTGTTTCGGACAACCTTTCATAAATGCCTCGTGTCGCAGTGTTTTGCGTTTGTTTCTGTTGCGGTTGCTATGACCACCATTGTTCTCAACGCGCAAGACCCTTGTTACGCCGCATTGATCTACAATCTCATTATGTAATCAGCATTCTTTCCTTCATTTTAGATGTTTCATTAATTGTCTGCCTAAAATCAGCCCCTCAGTACGTCTTAGCGTCAGTTCAGAATGCCAGGGATTACAGTGCTTCCAAATTTCTTCATATGAGTGGAAACTCTACCAGCGATATGAGGGAAACGCGTCCACTGCATGGCAAAGAAAATATGATTTAGAACTCATTACAAGTACACCACTAAATGCAAGCAACATTGTTATAAATGGAGGTTCCCTTGCTGCTGGAAATAAGTACCGCTTGGCATTATTTATCACAACTACCGACGGTTTACGGGCGATGTCAGCTTATGACATTTCCACTGCGTTACCGCCCACAAGGGGAACATGCTCGATCACTCCGTCAAGCGGCATCTCCTTGGAATCATACTTTACCCTGAGTTGTGTCAACTGGACAAGTGACAGCACCCCTCTGTCCTACCGTTTTCAATATAGACTAAAGAACGGTATGTACACTGTGTTATATCATGGTGTCAACAACTCCATAGCTACTCTTGGGATACCGCCTGGGAACAATGCAGAAAACTATAACATAAGACTCAACGTTGTTGTGACTGATAACTTCGGAATTTCTGCCTCTCCTGTTAATCTAACAGCACAGGTAAGTTTAGTCGGTAGGTACTCTAATATCGATGCAGGTGGGAAATTTTGTTGACATAATTTTGTCTTTTTTTTGACAGCTGCCCATCGGAGGTTAAAGGGCAAATTTTTCTAAATATGCAACTTGATAAATAGTGACTGATGCTCTTTCCGTAGGTTAGACCTTCCCAGAGTCTAAGACCAGATAAAATCAAAAGCTTTCTGATGCCAAATGATAGTTTGTTCCAGGAAGTCATCAGAAAAGGAGACTTGGGAAAAGCGGCACAATTAGCAAACTCTGTTCTTGCTACACTAGAAACCAGGATGAATTTTGAGGAGAAAATCAAGGTAAATGCATTTACAAATGCTTTCATACTTCTTGGACGCGCTATTCACGTAGTTGCATAATGATATCTCTGCGTATCCACGTATTTGCGCATTCGTGTCTTCATGTTTTGTGGTACTAATGACTTTTATCATCCAACTGTACTGAGTAGAGTACAAATAATACATAGTATTTATATGAACTCATCCATTCGTGTATTCGTGCACTCATGTATTTGTGTGGTAGTGTACTCTTGCATTCTAGTATTTGTGTAGTCGTGAATATTTGTGTACCCGTGCTGACGTATAGTCGCATGTTAGAAGGTTCTTGCATTAATATATTCGATTAACCTTATTACATTTCAAGGTTATAGACTTCATAATCAGAAATATTGCGTCAGTGAAGGTAAACAACACTGCAGACCTGCTTCAAAGCTCCTCCGTGATTGGTTCTGCTCTTCACGTTTTGGAAAAGGTCTCTCCCGGGCTATTGGTAAGTAAAGTTAGATCGATCGTTCATCGAGAACAATGAGACACATGTAGAGGAATATAAAATTTCCATAATTGACATAATGATGTAAATCTTTGAATGCTTTTTTCATAAGCCGGAGTTCCGTAACGCTATCATGGTTGTCTTGGTTTAGTTTATCAAGCGAAACCTAAAAATGTTTCAAAAAAAGAAGATTAAGCGCGTTTTCAAATTCCTATACCTGAACAAACTCGGTTTAAAAGTGACGATACCTCTCTAACCCCCGACTCCTAGAAATAGAAACGTACTGTGCTGAGCAGCTAATCCTAAAAAGAATAATCCCATGTTTTTACATAATGCACTCTCAGGAACTGTCGTTATCGGCTGTCGACTCGCAAACGAACTTCCTATGGTCTACCGTCCAGTTGAAAGACGTTGCTGATTTGTCGTTACTCACTCGATCGGCCGAAAACTTAGTTTGGTGTCTTCAAAGGGTGCTAAAGATATCTGCAGAGATGGCGTCAATAGATTCCACCTTAGACTTCCAAGAGCAGGTATTTTGTTAGCTGGTATAGTCCAACAGCGAAACCTAGTTACATATGAAACTTCAAGCTGCACTTGAGTCGGCTTCTCTCATTTTTAATCGATACATTGCGTGCCAGGCTGATGCTACTGTCAAATAATGTAATAAAGTTACCATTATCGCTACTTACAATAGGTCGTCACAAACCTTACAAGTGCCTGAAAAAAATTTTCATTGTCGTTGGTAAGCTCTTTTTGTTAGTTTAGCTTCGCTTCTTTTCGTTATTTTTACCTGTTATAAACAGTAGGTCGTCGCAAACCTTACAAGTGCCTCTTTTGTCTTTGCTAAGCTCTTTTTTTAGCCTAGCTTTGCTTCTTTTTGTTAATCTTTCATTTAACAGGGTGAAAGATCTGTTAATACTGCCCTTAAAGTGCTTGGAAAAGTTGCAGACGCATTGTTAGCCCTGAGAATCTCGGATGAAAACATGATATCAATCTCCACTGGTCACCTGAAGATGACATTAGGGCGACATAGCCCGAATAAACTTGCAGGGCTGCAGATAAAGGGCGGAAGTGGCAGCTTCATTTTACCACCGTGGCCTGTCACAGGAAGAAACACAACAAGTTTTGTCGACACCCAGGTAAGGGATTACATCAAAATAAGAAACGAGCGCATGTCAAAATCGATTTAGTCGTGGGTGACTTCGGAAAGTCTGATAACCCAAGAGCAAACGCATTCGAAGGTACAGTCTTTGTTAGCCATCCTGAACTCTTTTTCTCGTTTGGCTTCCATAATTGTGGTCAGTTAGCAATAATTATCATGTCTCTGAATCCTCAATTCCTTAAAGTCAACAAAAAGTTTTGATTTTTTCTTATTGCAGATGTTATCAATGTCATTCAACCCCTACACCTGGGACAGCACCAAGGAGCGAGTCGACTCTGATGTTCTCTTTCTGGACCTAAAGGACAATAGAAGCGAGCTATTGGAAGTGTCAAGTCTACCAGACGACATTGTTATCGTTATTCCATCAAAACCTCGGACAATGCCCAAGGAGCTATGGTACTTCACTACGGATGACGATTTACGTTTCCACGAGATAACTGTCAAGTACGAAAACACTCTGATACAGGTAGAGGTCAAACCCCAAGAGCCAACTGTACATCTCTTTGTTTACTTCCGATTTGGTCAACGGCCAACAATTCGAAACTACGATCTCAATGCAACAATCTCTCAATATGGACAGTGCGTTTGGACCGCAAGTACGCATGACAAAAAGGAGAGACAACCAGAATGCTCGTCGATCCCACTTACCCCAATAGCAACATTGGCCAGGCATCCTGGAAAATACTTTGTAGGCGTAAAAAACTATAATGCCACCACGACCACCCCACACAGGAGAAAGAAAAGATCGTGTTTTATAGCTGGACGGCAAAAGCGCTCTTGCGTCGAAGTCAAAGATCCCCCACCTACCCTACCCATGAGTAAAACTGCATCTGTGACACCAGCTTATGATTCCAAAACCGATCAGAACTATACTCTGAGGGTGAGCTTCGGTAGCTGTGTATACTGGTCAGCGAAAGTTGAGAAGTGGGTAACAAAAGGCTGTCGGGTGAGTCGGTGTAAATTGCTTACATTATCGAATAATTTTTATAATGTGGAATTAGTCCAGTCACTTTTCAGAGAATTCGTGGGTTTCACGTAATTGTGGAAAAATGAGTGCTTCATTGTGATCATCGCTTATTTGGCAACTAAAAATCGAGAAGACAAAACCTTGTCGAGCCCGTGTGTAGTCTTCTATCGTTAAAAATATAATTATTCTCATAGCTAATCACGACCTTTGAACACCTTTGAATGGACAAGACACATCATTAGTACTGAAAACCGAAACAGTGATTTTCTGTCTGGATAATTCCAGATTTTAGGAGCATTGGACAGATTTACTAACTGCAGCTGCGATCACCTGACATCCTTCGGGGGAAGTCTTTTGGTCAAACCGAATCCTATCGACTTCGACAAGGTTCAAGTGCAGATTCAAAAGTTGCCAGAATCTGGAAATATCACAGTTATTTTGGCGGTAGCTTTGGTTTTCTTAAGTTACGTGATTGTGCTTGTTATCGTCAGGAAGACAGACATAGAAGACTCTAAAAAGGTAAGTTCTGAACATATTTCGTATTATGTAGAAATTAATACGCTTTGAAAACTTGCAGAATTCATATTTTTCTAAGTATCCTCAAAAAAAGTGATCAGCAAACTTGGAAGAAATCACAGAGATAATTTAAGGTTTCCAAGTTTTTTTAATATCAACAATAGATGTATTTTTTTGTTTTTTTTAAGTAAGGGAAAAAGTAAAAAAAATAATAAATCACCGATTCATTAATGGTATTATCATTTTTCTTAAGAACGTTTCACCAGTCCATTTGCCATCCTCTCCAGAGAGTACATTTGAATACGAGATAGTAATAACTACAGGAGTCTGGATATACTCAGGCACAACAGCTCAAGTTGCTATGGAGATTTACGGTTCTCACGGAAGGAGTGGAATTCTTCAGCTCAGCCAAGAAGAGGCTGGTTCAATTGACGTGTTCTTCTCTCGTGGTAACTCGGCCGTGTTTCTACTGTATGTTAACAAATCACTTGGTGTAATTCGAGAAGTGAAGATTGGTCATAACAACTTTGGTGACAGTCCTTCGTGGTTTTTGGAGGAAATTTTCATTCGGGACGTACAATCCAATCAGTCTTGGAAATTTATGGTCAGTCAGTGGTTTGCTCTTGAGCGCGGAGACGGGCGTATCGAGCGAATGTTTCAAGCAACGGTATCTCAAATGGACTTTGTCAGTGAGGTTGCAAGACGCTGGTGGAGAGGGCTTACGGAGCTACATATTTGGGTTTCAGTTGCTGCCAAACCAAAGAGAAGCCACTTTTCAAGAGTACAGCGGGTTTCTTGCTGCCTTTCAGTGCTTTTGACATCCATGTTTGCAAACGCGATGTTTTATGAGCTACATGGAAGATGTGAACAACCTTTTCAAGTTGGACCGTTGAAATTCTCCTGGAGACAAGTAGTTACTGGTATTGAAAGCGCGCTCATTATGGCACCAATAAACATACTAATAGTGCTTTTATTTAAAGAAGCATCCAAAAAGTCCTCGAGTAACAACAGTCCTTGCTATAAAGCTAATCTAATCAAAAGTATCGCCTGGTTCTTGTTTTTCGGTTCTTGTGCTATTTCTGCTACGTTTACAATCGTCTACAGCCTGATTTGGGAAAAGAGTGTCAGTGAGCAGTGGCTGTCCTCAATGCTTATCTCCTTTGCTCAAGATGTCACAATCACGGAACCAGTTAAAGTGTTCTTTACAGCTGTAGTTTTGGCGGCCATTATCAAGATGAAGGCGAAGAGATTAACGGTACCTGCATGTGAAGACTCTAATCAAGTTGAAAGTGGTCGCTCAAAACAAAGGCTGTGGACGTTGAAATTATCGGAAGTAGAAAAGATGAGGAAACGCCAGGCCAAGAAACAGAACCTGTCACGTTACTTCACAGAGTTGGGTATCTACTTGGTTTTCGTTTTCTTTTTAATGGTAGTGTGCTATGGAAACAGAAATGACCATCGTTACCTAATGACCAGATCAATTCGAGATGGACTGCCCAATTTTAACAATGTGAGTAACATTTATTGTGTTTGGAGAAATCCTTAAAAGACTGATATTACCCAACGATTGATTCTGGATTGCCAAACCCTATTTGAAATCTATTTTCACGACATAAACGTATCCTCCAAAGCGTAAACACATCTTTTCTTTATAGGGAATTATTGCCACTTTTCAAGTCCGTGGGTTGTGTATAGAACAACTGTTATGATCACATTTCGAATTTTGATTAGAATCTGTATCAATTCTTCTCAGACTTTGCATCATAATGGCTTGGCTCCCTTACCTGTTTCTAAATGTTCCTGATCCACCAGCGAGTCATGCCTCCATCTCAGTCCGTGAAATCCGACCAACACATCTCCCGTTCTTGACTTTCTTTTTATTTAGTCTGTTTTTAAGCATCATATCCACAATAAGCGATACGAAAGGTGATGTAGTCACAAATTGTAAGTAACGTATTAATTTTCATTGAACTCAGATGGCAGATGACAGGAAGTACTGGAGCTGGCTGCGGGAAGTTTTCATTCCTGGAGTGTTTTCCGGTAGATGGTACAACGGTCAGGAAGAGAAAAAAACAATGTACATTGGTAATAAATGCTCTCTTCTCGTCGGGATGGCTCGATTAAGGCAACTGAGAGTGAAATCGAGTAAGTCCTTTCTTTTATTTACTTTTAAGTCTAACTCAACCTAAAGGAGACGCCCAGAAATTATAATGTTTTTTCTGTCAAAGTGTTAGGCATACGTTGTCAAGATTTTGATATTCTACTTTATTTTGTATTGGTCTATACACCTTTTAAAAAAAAAATAAAGGACACAAGTGAATATCCGGTTTTTAAATAAATTTTCCTATACGATAAAGAATATGGGAGATGTGCTATACCTGTAGATTGAATTAGTTCCAAAACAAACTTTCTAATAAATGTCCCTTTTTTTATTAAACTTACAGCACCATGCAACGTGTTAAAATACATGAAGACAACTTTCCAGGAATGTTACGAAGGATATTCGGAAACAAACGAAGACAAGACCGCTTTCTATGAACCGGGCTGGAGGTTTGTCGACAACTCTACAAGAGACGAAGATTTATTTCGACTTTGCCCGAAGCCATGGCGATATCAAGATGCGGAAGAAAGTGATAGCGGGTCAGAGTGGGGACAGTTCTCATTTTATCGTGGAGGAGGATTTGTAGCAGACCTCGGGTACAAGAACCATACGGGGTTCAAAGCCGTAACCACTTTGCAAAACAACGGTTGGCTTGACAGGCAAACCCGGGCAGTTCTCGCACAGTTTTCCGTGTTTAACCCATCGGTGAATATTTTAGGTGTTGCCACATACTTTTACGAAGTTGAGGCATCAGGACTCAAAGAAGCTTTGGTACAAACTGACATTCTTTCTCTTGATCCTACAAACACAGCTTCATATCAGTTCTATTTGATTTGCATTTTACTATACGCTGTATCCGTTCTGCTGTTTTTGGGAAGAGAATTCTTCAAGCTTTACAATCACCGTTCCCGGTATTTCCAGTCCGTGTGGAATTGGGTGGAGATGTCCCAGGTTGTTTTCTCCGTGTTGGCCGTGGTTTTGTACATAAAACGACAAATCATAGTCTCTTCAACATGGGCAAGGTTAAAAGAAAACAGTTATGCAAATATAAGTTTCAAAAAAGCTATCATTTGGCATGAAGCAGAAAATGTTGTACTTGGAATCCTGATGTTTATCGTCACTGCAAAACTCTTGCGAGTCATTCGCTTCAATAAACATGTTGCTGTATTCTCCAAAGCATTGACGATATCTGCACAATCTCTTTCATCCTTTAGCATTGTCCTATTGATTCTCTTCGTGGCATTTCTTCACGTCGGTGTATTGATGTTTGGCACTGGATCTGAGCGCTACTCCTCAGTGCTAAAAGCAGCTTATTTCCAACTCGAACTGACTCTTGGAAGAGTAAAAGCCAGACCAATCAGTGAATTAGCAGAGGTAAACAGCACATACGCTAAGATATTCGTCTTTGCTATTCTTTTCACTCTAACAATTATCTGCATGAACTTTTTTATTGGCGTAATAAACGATGCACTTCTGGATGCAAAGGATACCGCGAACGAAAGTAAGTTGCACGAACTTGTTGATGAGGTTCGTTGCAAAGGCTCAAAAGAACGGAACGCATTTTTCGATGCTGTCAGCAGTCGACTGAGACAACTGAAAGTCGTCCAAGCATCAAACATGGAAGAGAAAAAAGCAGTAGATAGAAGCATTACCCTTGATTCCACGAAGAGTTCAAAAATCAACTTTGACCAAATCAGTGAGGCCATCAAAGCTTTGAGGGGGAAAACAGGTCAAGAACCAGGAGAAAAACAGCCGAAATACTCAAGAGGAAAATCATTTTTCGATGGAATTAGCAAATTCTTGAAAACACTGGGAAGAATGAGCCATGACGAACACTGCAAAGTTAAAAAAAGGAGGAAAGTTCGATTCCAAGAGGATGTTGCTAACTCTCATCTTCGGAAATTAGAGAAAAGAGAGTATGACCTGTTTCAGCGGCTTGATAGGGTTATGGCGGGATTCTCAAAAGAGGACGAAGAATATCGTTATCTAATGGAAACAACGCGAGCTTATGACTTCTAAGGAGAGAGGAAATAGATAAATGATGAAAGGAATGGATCATATACTCGAGAATTAGACTGAAAGATCGAGACTGTAGTCTACATTACCCCGTGACCATTAGCAAATGGCTGAAATGCTTCGCACGTATACGTATTAAATGTTGAGTTTCTCTTCTTTATAATTGAATCTCACGCTTAAAATAAAGAAAAACTTGATAAAGGATGGCAACATAGAGGTGGCAACAAAAATGTAGAGGCGATCAAGTAGAAAGAATTTTTTGCGACTTTCCTTCAGAGTGTATTATGTTTGTATGTAGGTCCATCTAAATTAGATCATTAAAACGTAGCTTCACGACCTGAAGATTAGTTTCTTGAAGCGGTGCTTAGGGAAAGGCTTCGTTAGATTGTAAGCAATCATCTCATCAGTGGCAAGATATTTTAAGAAAACCCACTCATTTGCAGTAAATTGGCAACCAATTTTGTTAAGTCCACTTATATACTTTGTTAGCGACGACTGATCCTTCCTCCGTTCCCCCTGAAAACCATCTATTCCCCACCACCGATTTTTAGCGCGGGTTTCAATATTTTGGTGAGCATCGAATGTTGTCTCAAAGTATCAAAAACACCAAATCAAGAAAAAAAAGTTACAACTCCATGAATCAACGGAAAAAAAATAATTAGGAGAATATCACTTTATTGCATTTTCATCCTTAATGTTACTCAATATAGTTCACGTTAGATGTCTGTGACATTTCATGCTTTAAATACTAATTGAAAAGGATATTTTTCTTTTCTTGATGGCGTCCGAAAAGCAACTAATTTCCTTTCCTTAAAGCTCAAAATATATTAAGTGTTGACGACTTGTTCGCTTTTTGTTTCGACAAAGGACTGCTAGCAGAATTCCTTAACAGGGGAGGGGAGGATCCTACTTCAGAGTGTCTCGAGTATATTTTTTTTCATTTCAAAAATTGTCAAAATTATTTTTTGATGCACTCACGCGCTATAGTTACGCATCTGGGTTGTTTTGCTAAGGGCAGTTGATTTCTCTCCCAGGCTCACCATAATGTAATGATCATATGATATTTCTGATATGTCTTGTTTTAATTTTTAAGTCAACCACTTTTTAGCAAGCTAATGTTACTCAGTCATTAAATGACGTCAAGAGACGATTGAGGTATGTCTGAGATTAATGCAAATGGCTTGAACATGGTCAGAGATATCAACACGTAGTGCAATACGAGATTAAAATGAAATTTTTGGGTACTGCTCTATAAACTCGGGTGCCACTTTACAATATACCATCACTTTCAAAGAGGATTGCTTAAACTAGAAATCTGTAAAGTTTCTGAGAAAAAAAGCAGTAATACCTAAGACCATTTATCCATGGTTTCTATATTGTTCAGCGTCGTCGATAACACTCGTTGATCTTGAAATTCCAGCCGCATGACAAGAAGAAATATTCGTGGTAGAAACTGCTTAAAGTTAGAAAGAACGGACGATCAAGAAGCGCGTATTGTCCTGGAAAGAGCCAATGTCCATGAAAGTGATGGGCACTAATTTCATGCCTCGCGGAGAGGAAGTCAGATGAAAAATTGGTGATCACTTAAATAGTTCACTTATCCAAACAATTATACTTCACTATCAGCTTTAATAACTTTACTTCTCAACTAATTCATCATTTGATTCTTTCTTTATAAAGGTGGTTTTAAAATATGGATTCCTCTGTGAGTAATGTTTAAAACCTTCTCAATATTATTCGATAGCTAACGCTTCTAAATTCATCGTGTTGACTAATTGTACATTCAAAATACAATCCTATGGCAAATATGTTCTATTGTGTCAGGTGTGTAATCTGTTATGGTCCATTGGCAAAGAAAACGCGGTGTAATTTCAGAAAATATTACCTACAATATCTTCTTACTGATTATTAAAATAAACAGTGTTTGAAAACTGGAACGAGAGTCAGTTTGTTAATTCCTCAAGGCTGGGTGTTTTGTCTTTTATTGACACGTTGTCGAGTAACCAATTTGCACACGACCAGAGGTTAACGTAATCTCTTACGTAAATACGAAGCCAAGACATTAACACCTAAAAGCTGCAAATTGTTTACAAAGTGAAAACAATCGAGGGCACTCACATGCATGCAAACTTTCCTGATCAGTTGGCTGACGGTTGTTAAGATGCTCTCGAGAACAATACTTTCATTCTTACTTGAGTGAGGTAAGTTTTGTTTCGAAAAATCATCTTTTCGGTAGAGAGGATATTGAAATTCTCGGCTTCAGCGGAGCACAAGTCAATATTGTGTTTAAGATTATGACAATCTAATCCCTTGCCATACAAACTCTCACGCAGTCTCTAAACTTAAAGAAAGTCAAACACAAAACCATCCGTCCTAATTTATTTTGTCCGACATCGATAGATACTTCTGACATGCCTGGGATGGTTTAACAATTGCTCTCAAAAGTGGAAATCACAGCTACATTTCTTTCCAAATAAATCTCTCTCTTAACTGATTTTACGATATAATCACTTCTTAAACAACGCAGGTATTTCAACTTATGCAATCACAGTGACTGAGTTTGTTTATTCAGTATGAGGCAACTCACGTATTTTTACGACAGCTAGGGCATTCGGTCATCACTAGAAACTTCTCTTGTTTTGAATGAAGGCACTTAAAATTAAAATAACACTTAAAATTCCCATCTCAAAATAATGTAACCTATAAGCGTTGTGGCTCACGATGTTGCCTTTTCTCTCAACATCACGTCGAATTGTTATGGTAGCGAGATCTAGCCGTGTAGCTCACTACAGCAAAAAAAAGAAACGAGTTAAAAATGTGCTTGCAGTGTAAACTAGCCTAGTAGCTCAAGTTGAACTTTTTCAAGAGATTATTATTATTTTAAAGTTGCGAATTGCGGCAATGTGAACGCAGTAGATTTATGCGAAAACGATGAATGAGGGTAATTGATTATTTGTTCTATTTTTTCCCTCAAAAGAAAAGCAAACCTCCGTTAACACGAAAAGAGAAGGCAGACCCTTGCACTTTCTTTATTCGCGCGACGCCGCTTTTTTTCCGCTGACTCGACGAAAAAACAATTGCAACAGGAAGTGCTAGCTTAAAGGCGACATCTCGACTGATATTTAATTCGAACTTAGTGCGTGGTTTACGGCTATGATCATGATTCTCTTTTTTCCAGAGGCCTTAGTTTCCCTAACTCTGCATTCCATTGCTATTGTTCTGCTATTGCTCTGCTCATTATATCTTTTGTTTTGCTTCGTCTCCGTTGCCGATTTGTTAAAGGTCTCTAATCCACGACGGCGATGGCAACGATGACTTGGTAAAAAAAAAAAAGATTTAATGGCCTATGAGCTCAGCACGTGCGTTTTTTAAAGTTTTGTATATTTCTTAGCCGTCTTCTGTAAAAAAAATACATAAAAACTATGAAATCATCAAAATTCGCCCTGTTGTGAGAACGGAATCCCAAAAAGAAATCTGTATAAGTTCGCATTCGGAACACAACGATGCCCACATACGTAATGCCCGGAGTTGAGGGGACGAATCGATACGAACACGTAGACACTCCATCTACCCACACGATCGTTCACGAGCTGTGCAATCGGAATATAACTGATTCAGCTACCAGCTGATCATCTGAGTGTTGTGTCCCTTCAGTAAATCGCGCAGATGATGGTGAATCGATCCGACCATGCAAAAAATCATATCGAGACAGAGACGAAGCATCCATTTACCACTGCAGAGTTCGCACTAAAATTTCTCCGGCACATGTTGTATTCTGTTCTTGTGCAAGACACTTTATCCTCACAGTGCCTCGCTCCATCTAGGAGTTTAAACGGGTACCTGCGAACTGATAGAAAAAAGAAAAACCTGAAGAAATGCTGAGCAGGGAGTTGGGAAGGGGGGGGGATGTCACGGACTAGCATTCCAGCCAGGGGGAGAATTGCAATACTTCTTGTCACTTCACGCTACAGAAACAAGAATAGGCTGTTGCTGGATAGGTATCTTGGCTTGAGTACAGATTTATCTCTATATGCACTCAATAAGAAATAAATGGCGCGCAGAAGGCTTGAATCGAGGTAATGAAGATTTTTTTTGTCTCCGCTTCAGACCGAGAAAATTCCAACATCGCTCTGTCAATGTTCACAGTTTTAATTTGATCTTTCATAACTACTTTGATCCAGTCGATCTGATCACTGAGGACGCTTTCCGCCAATAATTTAAAAATTTCCCGCTTTTAATCCTCTACGTACAGGCCATTTGCTCAAATTATCTAGTCAGTCTTCATCAATCACTCTTATTATCCACGGAACTTGCATAAGAAGATGACCGTCTCATATCTTAAATGAAGAAAGGAAAGCCGCCACCACTGAAAGGCCCTTGACTCCATGCCCCTATCTACATGATTAATGCTCCTTCCTAGTTTCCCATGAATAAATTCTTTGATAGCCAGTGATTGGTTTTAATGAGGTAAAGGGCTGTACAGTAACAACCCCCTTGCAGCTCTGCTTTTTAGGCTTGGCTACATCTAAATATTATCAATTGTTCTTTTGATTCATAAAAGTTGATCATTATTCTTTTTTTGACTTGTTCTACTTTCTAATAGTCCAATATCTTCATCATGGGAAACTCTATTGATTGCTGTTACGCCACTCGTCAATACAACCAGTGTTTCTTCCCGTGCATTCGGTCGTGTTCGTACACCACTCGGCGAGTCTGGTACAATTACGATGGTTTGGAGACTGTGCAACCTTTGATTGACATCATTAAGCCTGAGAAGGGTGTGATCCGAAAGTTTCCGAAGTCACTAGCGGACATCAATACAGACAGAGAAATAGCAAGTGAACTGGCAATAGGTAAAGTATCATCACACATCAATGTGAAATGGAATGATATGTTAATATCACAATATTAATGTTGAGGATTGCTTTTCATAAACCTGTAGAGAGTAGCTAAGAAACTAAACAAATTTCATTCTTCTGCAAAATTGTAACCAAAAATTTCAGTATTTAACACTTGTTGCTCGAAATTGGAATAGCTACGGAGACCTTGGTGCTGAAATACACGGGCTAATGTATCCAGAACTGGTATTTAAGAAAAAAAGGTAATTGTCACTCTCAGTTTGTGCTGAGAAGAAGTAATTGGAAGTCTGGACACAAGGCTGACAGAGAGGAAATTTTAAAACTTCTCTGCAGGGGGGGGGGGGAGAAAGTGAAATTCGTGTTCGGGTGCCGATCAGTGTCGAAGCTCTAAAGTGCATGCAGGAGTCCAAACTTTTCGAGTGTAGGCCTCAAGAACTAGATGAAAAGTTTGTAAACAGAACCATTAGAAAGGATGAAACTGTTTACACGCCTTTTGCATGCTCATCCATACGAGTTTTTCACTGGAAAGAGGTGTTGAAACTGTTTGAGGAATTTGTCTAGATCTTGCCTTCACGATTACCTGAGTACACGTAGATATGCGTGTAGTTTTCTAAATAACATTAACTAGCAAAGATTTTCCTTCGAACTGAAGTTCTTGGATAAAATTTAATATCGTTAACTTTTTTAAATCCGTAAATCACACAGGCCTTGATACACCAGGACAGCTGGCCGCTATTTGTCGCTTTGCTAGTAACTACGGTTACCGTGTGCGAGCTGTGGGGACTGGGTCCTCATGGTCGCGTTTGACCAGTACACGTGACATTTTGATTGACATGACAAACTTGAACAGGATTTTAACACCAAAACCTGCCAACAGAAAAGACAATTTGAAGCAGGAGTTTGTAGATATTGAGGTGGAAGGAGGAATGCAAGTGCATCGCTTTGTGGAAAAGCTAGACAAGGTCTACGGGCTGGCGCTACCCATGATGGGAAATTACGCTGGTCAGACAGTTGCTGGGGTGGCCTGTACATCAACTCATGGCTCGGGTTACTTTACCGGCACCATGGTATGTATCACGTCTAGAAAGAATTTATTATTACAGATTTCGCCTTCTCTATTTTTATTCTTGTACCAGTTTTCAAACACAAACTTTTACCAATCTGGGATTGAAAATGATTTTTTTTAAACCCCCTTCTACAAAATAATAATAATAATAATAATAATAATAACAATAATAACAATTATTATTATTATAATATTTGAATAATGTATTAGCCTCTCTCAGGATAACAGGTAAGATTGATGCTAGCCTTCTTGGTCTCTCTTTTTATAATGGACTGGGCTTCCGTAACTAATTATTGTAAGCTATGGTTGATTTAAATTTCTCCTCAAGAGAGTCTTGATTAACGGTTGAAGTTTCAAGACTCAACATTTTCAAATTTCGAGCATTAAAACTCCAATATTTAATCAGTGTACTCAAAGAAGATTACATAGGTCGCAAAATAAGCTAAAAATTTTCCAAGGAACAAATGCAAAGTAGTAACTCACGAATGAAATTACACAGAATGATAAAAGCAAAATAGAGACGAATTTACAGGATTATAAAGAATAAACAGACGCCCTACACGAAGCTGCGTGATTGTCTGCCAAGGATCTTGTCATCACTACCGGTAACCTTTTCAGAGCTACATGGTGTACCCTCAGTCAAATTACGTGACCTTCTTAACAAAATTTTTAGCGTTCGTCTTACCAACGGCAACCTTATAACTATTTTTCGGGTTTTTTGTGGGCAGCTTTGTTTTTGTCACACAGCTAACAAAAAATTATATTTCACTCTCCCCAGTCTACTTCAGTCGTCGGTTTTCACCTCATTATTTCAACCGGCATCCAAGTGAGGCTGAGTCATGGAGAAGAGACTTTTGACCAGTGTCAGGAAAAGATCAAGCATGCGCAGTTCGGGGGCGCCCCCGTTGAGTTGAAAAGCACCGAGGTGTTCAGAGCGGTAGCTGTGAGCTTGGGTTCGATGGGAATTATTTACTCTATTACATACCGCTGTATTTCCGTATACAAGATCGAAGAAGAGCGCACTGAGGTGAAAATTCCATGGCCCGGGAAAGAGAAATTCCGCGTAAAACAGAAATTTGAACCCATGTTCACCAATAGAGCGGAAGGAGAGTTTTTCTCGTTTTTTGTGAATCCATATCCAGCGCATAAAAGGTACCTAAAATAAAAGAGAGAACGGTCTCATAAGGGTTCGGTCATTATTTGTCACCTGTTGGGGGGGAGGTGGGGGGGGATGGTGGGGGGGGATTTGGGGGATTTTGGTTACGTCACGATACAATTTACCAGAACCCCCCACAAAGGGTCTGTAATAATCTAATGATTCCCCCTCTCCCCCCCTACCCCACACACGCACACTGGCAGGTATTTAGCAGTCTATTTTCTATACTCCCCCGATAATAACATGTTAAACACGATGGTCGGTTGCTATGTAAATTCCTCCCGTTGCTATCTTAGAGGTCACGTGATGACGCGTTCACGGCTTGAGCTGATTTCAGGCGTCAAGCTAAAGGGCTTTTTTCAGTCGTTTATTTTACATTGGATAAAGCTTACCAACCTTCTTTTTTTCATATTGAATGACTATGGCCTTTCACTTATGGAAGAAGAAAGAAAAAATCAGGTTTTTCGAATGACTTCTCCACGAAACGGCTCGTCTAAGATAGGTACGCTACCGGCTAGCAACGGGTTTACAGAAGCCAATACGTCAACACAACCGCTGTGATTTCTGTATTTCTAGAGTCCTGGTACTGAGAGAACAATTTTTTACTTAGGGGGCTCCACTGTTAAGACAAACGCAGAACATAAACGAAGAAAATACACCCAAAATACCTGTCCTCCTCCCTGAAAAGTATAATTTTGACCGTTTAGTTACCGAGCGTGCCATAAATCGAAAGTTGAAAGTGGACTTTGGTGTAAATGGCGTCGTTTTCGCCGATTTCTTCGGAGGAATCCAGGTAAAAAAATGTCCTGTAAACTCGATTTTCTCCGTTGATCAGTTTAGGCCGCCATCTTGAATTTCCTCAGGCTCAATGTCGAGTGTTTTATTTCATCTGTAGCCCTGAAGGAGACCGTAAATGTTGCGGAAAAAGCCGAAAATGCAGCAAAGGGAAAGGCCATGTGGGCAAATGTGATTCGAAACGACAAGTAAATCGTTTCTGGGAAACATCGCCCATTTTTAACATTCATAAGGAGCGCCAAACGCTCCAAGACAACTTTCGCCATCTTCAAGTCCAAGAAGATGCTTTATCCAAGAAGGAGCAAGATATCTTGGCTTTACAAAGGGAGACAGATTCTCTAGTGGAGGAATCAGGTTAGTTTCCTACTTGTAAGTGGGTTAGTTGCGGCAAGATAAACGGAATTGATTATTATTTATTCATTTATTTGCCGTTTTGGAATTGTCATTATTTTGATGATGATTCCCTATCCTTGTTTATAGAAATAGCACTGCAAAAATCAAAAGGAGAGAAAGAGACACTAGAAAAAGAAATAAGTGAAGCAGAGGAGACACTGAGAGAACTAAAGGAGGCATATGAGAAAGTGAAAAAGCTGTTGGAGCAGAAGGATTATTCCCGAAGACGAAGGAGTGCTGCTAGCACATCATATGAAATGATTAATGATTATAAGTCGAGCACTAGATATAGGAGAAGGGAAGAAACTAAAAACATTTTAGAATTTATTCATGGGGGTTTTGGAGCTTCATTGTATGGGGCATGGGATTTTTGGCTGCCAATGCAAGTAATGAAACCATGACCAAATTAATGAGTAGTTATAAGAGGGGCCGATTTCTTCAGGGTATTTTTGAGAGAGCCATTAATGATTTTCAGAAGTCAGAAGAAGTTCTGAAACAGTCTGTGGCACTTAAATATCAGAGTTATTTGTCTAGAAGAAAGTATAATCTCGTCTGTAAAACACAAAGTTCATTTTTTAATGCTGAAAAAGAAGTCTGGCTGCCACGTAACATTAAATGTCTTGGAGTTGACTTAAGGTTACCCAAGCTCAGCTTCTCAGATGACAATGTTGACAAGTTTGTGAAAAGTTTAGACATTGGTCATGTCACACAGATCCCAGGGGTATCACGTGTTTCTCACACAGTCACTGGCCTGGTGTTTATGATTATTGATTTGCACTTGAGAGTTCCCTATCTTTCACGTAAACTTGCCTGGTTCAATGAAAATGAAAATCATTTTATTTTTCAGTTCTCAGATGATGGAGCTCCTGAAACAAATGAGCTGACAATGTCAATAGGAAGTATGGTGTGCTGGAACTTTGGAGATCAGGTACGAAGTAGGGACTTCCAGTACCTCCTCCACTGTGTAAGTGTAAAAGAGAAAGATCAAATAATGCATGACCTCTGGAAGCAGCACACTGAAGAGATGAAAATGTTGGAAGGTAATGTTTTGACTGTTTGTGATAAGGAGTGCACTGTTGAATTTCAGCCAGGAGCAGACATGTCCTGGCAGAGCTGGGCTGCCAATGAACTCAACCAGGCAGCTACATATCCTTCCCCATATGCAAATGTTCATAAAGGAAACATGAACACTATGGGGGGTAGTATTGGAGTGGGTAAAGATGACACCTGGAAGCCTTACACTATGGAAATGAGAACCTCTAATACTGAGAAGGTAAACAATTTTATCGCCTCTCTTCCCCCAAACCTTTCAGAAAAAAATAAAAATTCCAGAAAGTTGCAGTTTATGGCTGAAAATGGCATCCGACAGTTAGGTCTACCAAGGATTGGGCATTTTGCAGACAAGTTAAGGCCAGAACCCATGCACTGTGAGATCAATGCCTGGCAGCATTATATTGATCTCCTATATTTAGAGGCAGTAAGAAGAGGAAAGTTTGATCCTTTTGTTTCTGCCCTGGCAGCACCTATAGGGAATAGAGATGGAGATGTTAAGGAGGGACAACCCCAAAAGACTCTTTTGAGGGTTTCTGATATAGACAGTGTTGGGGAGCGTGCCAGAAAGCAAGAAATGTTGCAGAAATCAGAGGAGGACCTAAAACAATACCTGCAGAAGACAGGTTTTCCTCATGTAAGGCATGCAACAGGTGAGGGGGGGTGTGGACTGGGATACTTGGCTTCAAGAGTAAAAGAACATTTTAGTGATGAAACTAACAGGTATAAAAAATTACCAGTTAGGCTTATTGGCAATCAAGCTATTGCATTGGCTCGATATTACTACCGTTTAGTTGACACTTTAGAAAATGAAGATGAAACAGAGGCACAAACAATCCAACGACTGGCTCTTAGCAAGATAGGTGAGTATCTGAGGAATGCTGGGGGGCTTTTTAATAGAATAGAGACCAATTCTGCTCAGGTTGCAGAACTGAAAGAAATGTGTAGTATGTATTTTAACCTGATGTCTTTGTTTTTTTCATCCAGTGTTAATGTCACAACATGGACAATTGGATATGCCATTCCCTATCATGCAAATTTGCTGTTTACAAGGTATGGGGTGGGCTATGGCATTGTCTCTTTGCAGGCTAAAGAGGCCAAACATTCTGGTGTGAAGGAAGATTTGACCTTAACTAACCGGTCAAATGTAAGTACTGCCACTGGTAAATGGTGGCAAGTAATGCGAAGTAATTATGTTCGCTCATTTTACCTCCCAGAACATCAACCAATGCCCTCTTCTTGTATCTCACACTACCAATCACGTTCTCCACCACACTGTCACCAATCAAATGTTTGTAATTGTGGTAGAAATAAAGAAAACGATTTGCTCAGTTGTCAAGTTTGTTTCTCCAGTATGAACCTTGTGACTTGTGCAAGCAGCAGAGGTCTGACAGAATCAGTGTTGTGTGCACTAAAACCTGTTGTCTGTAAACAGTGCAATACTCGCTTTGCTGATAACTTGTCATTATTGTCTCATTTAAAGTTTTGCAATGCCACTGAGCTAAGAAAGGTAGCTATACAGCCAACTTTGATGACAGTACCTAGTTTAAAGGAAGCTTTACAAAGTAGAGGATTAAGCACTGCAGGTACTAAGGAAATTCTAATTAAGCGCCTTGAAGGTGCATTGGCTGGGGAGGGGTAGTTGAATTATTTTTTAATCAACAGTTTCAATCTCTCAAAATATTTGATTTTCAAGTTATTTTTCTTGGCCAAGTTGGTGCACAATAAGTATGATATGTTATGAGAATGATAACTAGGCTCTCAACAAATTCTGTGTACCAGTAATGTGAGTAATATACCTACTTCATAAGAAAAATATATTTAAATTGGTGCAAAGTTTTTTAAATTAGCTATGTTTGTCAGAGAGGTTAAACCTGTCCAAATGCAAAAGTACTGTTGTCACTGATATCACTTGGTATGCACTGATATATTACATTTAAAACTTTATAAACCCATTATTTTTTTTACTAACTTGCATTTTAGAGGCAGGGTTTCTGCTCTAATGAATTTATGGAATTTTGTACTTAAAGGTTTGGCCACTTAAGCCTTTACATGCTAACAACAGCATGAATATTCTCTATACTGTTCTCAATATATTTTACAAGGTGTTGACAAGGAGAATTTGCTAAATAATCAAGAGCTTCATTAGTTAATAATTATTTCCCTCATTCTTGTGACCTTATGTTTAATTTGGGGTTAATATTGTAAGAAGAACTTAGATTCTAGACATTGTAAGGGGTCAAAGGGTCAATAACTAGTGACCCAGCATTTTGCTTATGTGGACACAATACATTTGTTTTAGTAACGGATTTGTCTCAAATAAAAGGTAAACGAATTTGCAGCTTGATAGTTTTAAGAGTAAGATGAAGTATACACAGATAAATGAAATTTGTATCTAAAAGGAGTAATTCTGTATACTGATAGATAATTTCATAAATGAGTCAGACATCATTGTTAGTCAAATAATAAAAAAGCTTTCAGCTATTATGTTTAGGTAAAACCATAATTCTATTAATTCACTTCAATGTATTACAGTCTACAAGATACGAAGATTAAATTTTAAAATATCTGCTTGTATTAAAAACATGTTTCCTTTAGAACTTTGTTTCAGATTACATTCAAGGTTGTCATTCTTTTGATGTATGAAGTTTCGTGACAAGGTCTAACAAAACATTAGCAAGTCCTACTGTTAATTAACTGTCAAGCTAGATAGTGTTCAAATTCAATAGCTTTTGCAAATTGGAGTCCTTTGCAAATCCTTCTCGATCATAGCGCTGCACGCAAAATGTGGTTACTACCCTTTGTTGTTTTGTTGAATAAACCATTTGCAGCGGCGTAGTTGGTGTTACAACAACAATTGACTTGCCGCTGTAACTTTGAAGCACGCGACCATCCTCGGGGATTTTCTCGAAGTGCCGCTTCTTGAGAAAATTCTCTCCTTTAAATCTCGCGGGAGACCAAATTTTTTCTGCAGTGTCGAGCCTTTGGAAAGTTAGCGTTATTCTCTCACCATTCTTGGTTGTGTCCGCGCTTCCCCCGTAGCCTTGTACTAAAACCCAGATATGTTTAAAGATTTGAAATGGCATAAAGAGAGTGATGGGCGCCATAAGACCGGTCATTCTAGAGCGAGCGAGCTTCGCATTAATAGAGAGCCCGATCTCCTTTAGGAAGCCATCCACCAAGGGACCTACAAGCTCCAACTTGTTGCCTGTGAGCTCTTCCAACACGGGATCAAGGTCTCTCATCCCGTAATTAGGTTTATTTTCTGCGAAACGAACCCTCCTCAACCATTCTTTCTCCGCAGAGAACTTCATCTCTACGGAGTTGGTATTCCAAAACCGGTCTCCTCTCTCTGTTTCATCCTCCATGCCGAAGTGCCTTAAACAGAGTTTGTTTGATGTGCTCGCGCTGTTATTATTTGCCGCCATTTTTGAATAGGCCTTTACTTTTCGTGCCAACTGCCGCTGATGATTTCTGCGCCAGTGCGCATCAGAGTTGCGGGAGGAAAACCCATGGCAACCGACCATCGTGGTTGGTGGCGACTGATCCTTCTCCCCCCCTCAGTTCGGCCTGAAATTCATGTCATCCTCCCAAAGTCCTCCCACAGCCACCCACCCAGGTGATAGATATTGACATTTAATGAATGAGTTTTTTTTGTATGCTCTAAGGTTTACAGAATTCATACCGCAGTTGACAAGAATCGAAATTACCAGTAATAATGTTTTCATGGGATCTAGAAAAACGTTAAAAGCACCTTTGCTTAGTTTTTAATTTGTCATGGAAAAGGTCTTACCTTATAGTTTAATTTACATCCAACTTTTCTACAATAAGTAAATAAACAATTTTGAAACAGAACAATGCAGAAAGTTGCAAATCGTTACATGCAATGAGGGCCGCTCTATCTATGTTAGTGCTTTATTACCTCGGATCTATAGCTGTAGAAGCAAAATTGAATTTACCTTATATACCTTTTTTTTAATGCAGATTCTTGTATGCAGCCTACCTAAAAGGGAAGAGAACATCCCGCCGATCTACATGCTGCGCCTGCTGTTCTTGGTGGTGTTGTAAAGGCGGTAGAGGATGCGCAGATGTGGAATGTGTACAGACAGACTGCATAGCGTCATGTCTTCAAACATGCGCTTCGTGTTGCCCAACTAGAATACCAGATATCACAAACTGTGGTGTTTCGCAGTTCTCTCGTGAGCATTCCTACGTGCAGAGATGGTACAATGTGCTACAATTCACCAAGGGAAACATGCAGTGAGTGTTAAGATGATGTTTATAGAACTGACATAGACAATTAATAGAATTATATGAAATAAAACATATGTGGACTTTTGAATGAAATTCAAAAAGAGAAATGGGCCTCGCAGGTGAGCTGTTATCAATTAGGTACAGCTTCAAGTTTTGTCGAAGTTTTTTTTTTAGGCTATTTTTTCCGCAGTTAGCTCGCGATGATCGTTTCTATATCTTAAGAGCAGATAGGGATCAGTCATTATTTAAAACTGGTAAAAAGGGAATAGGAAATTGGAGGAGCGAAGGGGGAAATCAGTACGTCGTCACTAATGGAGTATAAACGGGGACTGTTATAAACTAATGACCAATCCAGCGAGGAAAAGGAGCATGATGACGATTTTGTTCAGGCTGATTTGGATAAACGAGGTACAACTAAATTTTTAGCAGATGTTCACCTATCTACGACAGTTATTTTCGTTCCTTTATGAGGCGTTAAGTGCTGTGTTGTAAATATACACCACCTGCATATATTTTTGACGTTGGTATTTATACATAACCGTGAGAGAAATTTACAGTTGCAATGTGAAAAGATCATTAAAATACCAAAGAGCCGTAAGAGAGGATCAGGTAAATTTAATTGGGACACGACCACCATCTTGATATTAAACGCCGTTTGTATCTCGCCCTTTCAGCGTGCGCACAGCTGAATTTTGTCTTCCGCTGTCCCAGTTGGACGAGGCTTTGGGTGACGTCATTGAAACAGCCAATCAGTACGCCGATAAGTTTTCCCAGTACTCTTTGCTACCCATTTACGTGCGAATAGTAAAGACAGACGATTTGTATCTGAGTCCAGCGAACGAGAGATGTCCGCAAGGAGGACAACACGACCACGCGTGTTATATTGAGGTAAACAACGATCAAGTGGAAGGGCGCATATGTTTTATTGCTTCATTTATATTTTACAGTGCTAACTGTTCATTACCGGGGGCGGGTTCAGATACTTGATAGGGGGGCGGGGGGATCCAGACTCACGCCCACAACCCCATCCCCATTCCCCTGCTTTCGCAACCACTCGGCTGCACTGCTTTCCTCAAAATAATATTCGACTTCTTCCACTTCTCAGGTTCCATTTTTACCGGGTGCATTTGGCATTGAGGAGTATCACAAGACCATTGAGGACAAACTGTTCTATAAATACAAAGCACGACCTCACTGGAGTAAGAACAACCACCTCACCACAGGGAGGGTCATTGAACTATACCCAGAGCTTGAACAATGGAAAAAAGTCTTTAGAATGTTCAACTCCACTGGAATATTCTGCAATGAATTTACACATAACATGGGCTTCGACACGTGTATTGCAGATCTCGTAAGACCTAGGAACGCACCGGGTATTGGGATTGAAAATAACGGTCTTGAAATAGAAGATGTCATTACAGTTGAACCAATAAATTGAATTGAATTCTTTACTCACGTCAAAACCGCTGCGATACTTCGGAAGAAGTGTTAGATCTGTGAAAAACTTCTTTAGAACAAATGATGAAGTTAGATATAGAATCGGAACAAAACAGTGAGAGCAGGGCATTTCCTTAATTGTGTTCAACCCAATAGGATATAATTTTTTTGTGCAAACTATGACAAACGAAGAGACAAGTAAATTATCTTTGCCAGAAATGTTTTACAAGAACAGTCTATGCGTTGACGACAGCAAGATACTCCATGATCAGGTTGCGCGTAGACAGGGCATAAACAAGAAGAAAGCCGCCAAGTGGGATTTTAGAGCCACTGTGGAGAAGAAGAAGGTTCAAGAAATTTCTCAAATTTTATGGTTGTTGCGATATTATTCCATATATTTCATGTATTATGCTTATTAGCTTTTTCGGCTCTGTTACGTTGTCTTAGCTGTTTTAATTCGTACCTTCACATGATGTTAATGAATGTAGTAGGATCAGTGTCAGTATTGCGATAAATTTGAGCAACCTATGCCATTATCTGTACGTGACTATGATACTTTTTAAAAGTAAAATGTAAAAAAGAAAATCACACCTTGTTTGCTAGTTTGGAAGTGGTATTATCACCAACTTTTCGTCTGTGGAGTACAACCTAACACCAAATAGGTCATTTTAAAGTTGTGTACTTAGTTGCCATACCTTTGATTTGGAGTGAGGCTGAAGGTGACCTTGTTGTGATAGAAAGTAGTATCCAATTAGCATAATAACAAATTAATTTGCCCTTGAAAAACTGTAAGGTTTGTATCATAACAAGGTCACCCTTAGCCTCATTCCTGTTCAAAGGCTTGGCAACCAAGCACACATCTGTAAAATGGATTATTGAAGAATTCGTCACGCTCCACTTGTCTTTCACTCATAGTAAGCCGTATGACTCAGTATGGCGGCTTCCTTCCGTGTAGTACGATCTCTTTCCGATGGCTTTATTATCGCAAAAGTGGAATGAAAACGACTTTAAAAAAAGTAGCAAACATACGAGAGCCACTTAAAGAAAATAAATGAAGTTATAAAGAGCTGGTTCACGATCAAGATTGCAAAAATATTCAAGTCGAATGATACTGCGCACACAGCAGGTTTTCCTTTTAACTCTAACATCTCACCCTCATACCACGCAGTCAGTTATATCCTTCCTAAAAACTTTAAATTACTTCGAAACGATTCAGGGACTGATACTATCTTTTCGCAACCTCCTCTAAATTCATTCACACGTGACAAAAACCTAGGCAGCTTTTTGGTCAGAAGTACATTTCAAACCAATGACCAACCTGGAACTTTCAAATGCGCTCTCTTACGATGCAAACTTTTTCCTTTCATTCATAACGTAGATAAAATATCGGGACCTAAGAGATCCATTGAGATCACTGATCACTTTACATGCACTTCCGCCAACGTCATTTACTGCACAACTTGAACTTGATGCAAAAAGTCATACATTGGTGAAACAGGAAGACAACTAGGTCACCGATTCCGAGAACACCTTCGCGACCTATAAAGAACTGACAAGGACGCATCCAAACCAGTCGTCTGACACTTTAATCTCCCTAATCATTCTAAGCTGCATATGGCGGATTGCGGCATTTACCTACATCTAGGCAGTTCGGAAAGCCGCAAAACTCCAGAACAAAAATCTGTCTTCTAAATGGGCAGTCTTAATTCCCACGCTATCAACGAGCCCTTTTCATTCAATTAATTTTTTCGTGTTTTCTCGTCTCCACCAATGACGTAGCTCCATTTTATGCACATAAACACACACAACCTACAGTTCTTCCAATCGCTCTGACGAAGGGCCAACGTTTGAAACGTCAGCCTTTAAACTCTACGCAGTGGCCAATTTACACAATCAACTCGGTTGATAATACTAAATTACCCTGTTTCCTTTTCTGGCCCCGGTTGTTCGAAGCATGGATAACGCTATCCAGTGGATAGAGATTTATCTTTTGGATAGCGTTATCCGCCCTTCATACTAAAAAACCCTGTAATACAGAAAATGCTGAAAATGCAATGCATTTTGGTTCTCCAATTGCCCCAGAGATACTTAGGACATAGTCCTCGATGGCAACTGACAGCGCTCGGCTATCTGTTCCACTCGGTCCCAGGCACATGTACGATAGGTCGGCAACATAATAAAATTGGCACTGAATGAGCACAATTCCATCTGTTAATACAGAATTGTGGGGAAAAATGGTGTTCTTAAGTCATAGTTTTTCGCATCGGCCACCACTGATAATGGTCGCATAACTTTTTCATTGCCGACAACAGCTAGCTTGCCTGTGAAGTTGCACTCAGCTCAACCTTGCAGGCGCAACGGTAGTCAATGCCTGGGACAAATTATGAGTCGGTGATAAATATTCACAGATTCCGTAACGTATTCCAATGTCGTTAGCTCAAAAAGGAGCTTTTGACACTCTTTACGGTACCAAATTATCTCGGGACACTCCCCAACCGACGCAGCTCCACAGTTTCTCTAGAAATTTATGCCCTTTCACCTCAAGTAGAGTTCCAATCAAAATACAATCAGTGAGTTTTTCATGCCTCTCAGAATCCCTTTCTACTTTCTTTATGCGTAGATTATGGAGAACTCTCTGAAATACCAGCGTGCGCTCGAGGCCTTCGACAACTATCGGAGGAGTCTCAGTCAGATACAGCTTTATCAACGAAAGTTCTCTTTTTCGCACCATGAGGCCTTTGGCTTGACGAAGGAAGAGTTCCATGATTTGATGGACTTTTACAAAGTACCAAAATGTAAACAACACGGGTCAAAAGCTTTGTCTATTTCCGTGCCGTACGCGGAGGAGGGATGACGTATAAAGAAGACCATTTTTCTGTTCACTGCACCAAGAGAGGAGAAGTATGACGTTCTCGTGGCTGAGGTGTCCTCTTCGATTGGCTACAACTGGAGAGGGTAACCGTTTAAAAGTGACACGTTTTTATTGTTTTATTTCCACTTTCTGTGTTATGAATTATGCAATGAACAAAACTGTTTCAAGATTTTAGATATATGAAGATTCATATATTTGCACTGCGGTGGAGAGATGAAATTTAGAGATCCTCGCAGCTAAGAACACTACTGAAACGAGTAGTTGTAAATAGGACCTGAAAAAAATTATTCAGGCCCGTACGGGATTTGAACCCATGACCTCTGCGATACCGGTGCAGCGCTCTACCAATTGAGCTAAAAAGCCAACTGGGAGCTGGTCAATGAATTGGGTCCAAATAAACATCCAAGTGAATGAAGATTTTAGATATATGAAGATTCATATATTTGCACTGCGGTGAAGAGATGAATTTAGAGATCTTCGCAGCTAAGAACACTACTGAAACGAGTAGTTGTAAATAGGACCTGAATTTTTTTCACCGGTATCGCAGAGGTCACGGGTTCAAATCCCGTACGGGCCTGAATTTTTTTCAGGTCCTATTTACAACTACTCGTTTCAGTAGTGTTCTTAGCTGCGAGGATCTCTAAATTTCAAAACTGTTTCATTTTGTTTTCCTTTTCAGCGAGCATTGTCTTTGCTTTTTTTTCTTGCAGGATTGGTCTTATTGTGATCTGCTCACTTTTGGTGTGCGTAGCACTGTATATGATTAAACCTCGCGCAGGAATCATTGCTGCTGTAGTTTGCATTATCATATGTGCGACAGCGGCCATTAAAGACCGTGACCCCGTCGACTTCGAAGACATCACCACCGGGTTTATGATCCGGCAACTGATAGATGCGAATAGTCTGATTGCTGATAGAGGAAAATTCACATTTGTTCACGGCCAAAATCATACTGTTCTCGAAGAGTCAGCAAACGTCTCAGGAACTGAACGAATCCTACCGCAATGACCTGGAATATCTCAAAAAGAGAGTCAGGAGGATCCACTGAAATAAATGATTTCCAAAATTTTCTAAGGGAAAACGGAATGAGGTTACGTGGAGCCGCAATGTCAAAGGAGCGAACACTAAATTTTAGGTAGAATGAATTTAGTAGAATAAGTTAGCAGGTGAGAGAAAGAATAAAGATTTCAGAGCACAAAAACGCATTATGTTGTGATTATATAATTTAGTATTATCTACTGAGTTGATAACGTAAATTGGCCACCGTAAAGAGTTTCGAAGCTGACGTTTCGAGCGTTAGTTACTTTCCCACCAACACAGCACTAGAGTTTCCTTAAAAAACTTTCCCTCTTTATTCTGTTGTAATTTGCTTCACTCTAGTTCCCAGAGCCATGTTATTAACACAACTGCGCAGTAGGCCCTGGAATAATGCAAACAACCCCCGTTCCCAGGGTCTTTCCTCGTCTCTTTCGCTTCAAAGGAAGGGAGGAAGAGAGATCCTGAGAACGAGGTTGTAATCTAAAACGAATTTTTTAAAGAAATGCCGGGAGTAAACTCGGATCGCATTGGCTTCTTGACAGTGACTATAAGGTGGTCTACAACAATTTATGAGGGTTGTCAGACGCTTTGGATAGCATGATCACTGGTACTTATTGCTAGGAAAACAAACAGCTAATACAAAGTAAAAACCATCAGGCAAGGCAATGGGTGTTTTCTTAACATGCTCTTGTAGGAAGGAGTTCAAAACAAGGGGCCGATCGGCTTTAAAAGGAGTGGGCTCTAATTCTTCGGATACGTGCTACTTTGATGTTGTCAAGCAGACAAAATAATTTCCATTACTCAAGATGACCTTTATTTCCGAACTATCTCTCTTGACTAAGGTTAAGACCAGGATAACAAAGTGAAGCGATGACATGCCCCTGTATAAGCAGAAAAATGTTGAACAGATATAAAATAAAAGTTAAGGAAAATAAGTGATATACATTCTAAGTTCTCTTGTTCCTTTAGGGAATCGTACATGCAGAGCCAACATGTTGATCAGCCACAGGCTAAGGTGCTTTGGGTTGGGACGCTTTCCTCAGCATTATATGCGTTAGTATCCTCCTTAATATCCTTAGGTGGGCTGCTCATCACGGACACGTGGCCATTGTGGATAAAGGCAATTTCCCTTCTGGAAGTCACCATCAGATTATTTGCGTCGATGAGCTGCCTCAATAGAGTGGTTTAGCAAGAGGACGGGAACGTCATTTGAGAACGGCGCGCGCAGCAAAAATGCCGAGAAGAAACTGGGTCGAGAACGCCGTCGCGTTGTGTTGAAAAGTGATT